CCATTCGAGAGACTATGCCTATCAGTAGCGGCCAAAGTCTCATCCAAGATTATTGCAATATAATTGCAAATTGAGATCTACACGAAAACAAAAGAGCAATATTAACATTGCGAATCGTTATCTGCACGTGTAAGCATATATCTCTAACCCAAGAAAATTGTTTCATTTAAGAGAGTGTAATAAAGTAGTATCTTCTTTTGTCTAACTTAAACATGCAAACTTTATTAAGCAATTGTTCAATTAGACCATTTGTACGCAGTTTTTCTTTGCTTATCTATATGTGCATATAAACATTGAAGAATGCTTTGAAGATAATTGAATTGCGTTTAGGGGGTAATTAATGAACTTCAAATCTATGTATCTAACATCTGATTGCTAATTATGTAATTACACAAGGTTATTGAATAGCAAAATAAAAACAAAGCTGATATTAAATGTACAAGGCAATTTTGCCTAGCGCGCAGTAGCAATCGCTTGATGTCTGACCTACAATGGTGGGACTATTTTACTTATAAGTAAGCTCATAACATTAGTAATTCTTAGCAGAAGAGTGTCATTTGTTATGTGAGACTCTAAAACGCTCAAAACCCTCTTCATGTAATACGCCCTAAGAATTTATCTTGCTGTAAATAATAATATTAATATTTTTAGTGTGTTCTCAGCAGGAATCTAAACCTTTGCTTAAGAGAGAAATCAAGGAATGAAGTTAGCTGATAATAGAAAGATTCACAATCTACTAAGAATATTTCGTAATTAATGGTTACGAAGTAATGAAATAAGCAAGACTCTTACTTTAAAAAAAAGAGAGGATTATATGGAAAGCAAGTAATATTTGAAATGTGGGGAGAGACGGGACTGGTGACCGCCATGGGGCTCGCCAAACTTGTAAATTATTACATTTACGGATTACGGTGGTGACCATGTAAAAAGGTGCCCTCATAATGAAATGTGGAGGGTGTTCACCTTAATTGTCTTTTTGAGATAGATATATACCATACTTTATTGAGAAAAGCGGAGAGCTGAACTGAGCACTTTCCATTAAAAGCGCAAATTGTATGCAAAAAGTTTGAGAACCACTTGATGATAATGCTTTTGGGGGTAAAATTTTAGTTGAAGGTTACAGAAATCATCACAATGCTAGATTTTATGGTCTGTCATTAAAAGAGCCAAAGCTATAAGAATTGAAAGTGAGAGAACTCAATCAAATATCTCAATGTGTTGTGATATCGGCTGAATTTGATTATACTCCCTACCCCCTCGATTGGTGAAAGTATTTGCGAAAATATGATTAGCAAAAATTTCTTATAGATACAGCACAAAGGGGGGTTAGGGGATTAAAATTTTCATAATTGGAGCATAATACATCAGCTGATTAAAGTATGGATTCAATGTCTGGTACATGTTTTTTGTATTAGAGCCTATGGTTGTTGTGTCCTAGGAGACTCTACTTAATGTACAGTATACTAACAAGGTTTATATAGACTTGGTCTTGAGCTGTGCATAGAATAAATTTAAGCTTTTTGATTTGCGCATATATTTGGCAAAAATGTACAGGAGACATACAAAATAAAAAAAGAAATTTATAAGTAATTTATGTTACGCAGATGGTTTTTTGAGGTGATCAGGTGCAACTGAATATTTAAAACTTGTGGTACTTTATCTACAATTATTGCGAAAACAAAGATCACAACTAAATGAAACAACAAAGGGGAGAAATTAGGGAGAATAGATCATGAATTTACCTGAATTGGCCTACATAAAATTAACATATGAAGGTTTTCTTAGGGTAATTTACACCTGCTGTTGATGGAGCATTATCTGCATTTTGCGGACTTTCTTTTGTGTAGTTGTAAACAAATTAAGCAACATTAAATGATATCCATAGAAGTTATTCACAAATCTGATGCTACCCATTTGACTCCTTGAGAAGTTATATTGCTTTGTCGTGTACTATATTAAGCTAGCGTGATTTTAATAGGGATACATACCGACCAATTTGAGTCAGGCTCATAATCTGCATTGTTTTACGACTCTGAATTCAATCAGTGTTTGAGTTAAATTCTCAACTTTAAGCGTTAGCAATCCACCATTAAATCTTACTTCATCCAAATGTATAGTGTAAGAGGAGAATTATCATGCAATTATCAAACTTTTTGATATTTTAAACTAAAACTCTATTATTGATGCCAATAAATTACTCTATTAAGCTATATATTCTAAGTTTAGAATCTTGACCTTCTTTGGCACTAGAACATCTCCGATAGATCTGGTTCCGTAATGAGACACAGATATCCATGATCTTGTCATACATTATTATAACAATCCTGCAGTATTGTAGCAACAGCAATATTATGACAAGTAAATATTGTTGCACCATTTCGATAAATGCTTATGCGGAACTATCTTTATGAATACAATAACATAATCATTCAATCCATAAATCTTACTGACATTTACTCTTGCATAATGCTGTCTTCAGCATCATCATAAGTTTACTAGAGCCTATAAGCGAAAAAACGTAAGCTTGCAGGCAAATAAGAGAACTTCATATTACAATTTCTTTTTTCTCGCATATAAAATTCTATGATGTAAGAATTTTAATCACCTTCAAGTTATTGATGATGCTAATATGTATAGAAATGATGCTTATTTCAACCAGTCAAACTAATTTCTGTGAAGGTTGACATACATACTTGACACAACAAGCATTTGACATGTCAACGTATGCATGCTTTGACGTATAAATATGATACTATCAGCTATTAATGGTTGATTTGTTGATTTAACTAACATCAGCTCTATGTAACTTTACGGAAGGGTAGAATATTCGGCTTCATTAAGTTTATGCTTCCAAGAATTACTCATGTCTCATGTATCATTTATTGCTCGTTTTATGTCTTTCTTTCTTTCTTTCCTTTTTCAATTTAAGTATTTTCATTCTTAATTAGCCGATTTCTTCTTACTATTCGTATATTTAAATTGGATTGGTTAATTCTTGGCTTTTACTGATATAGAATCTATCAAGATTCAAGCTTTATTAATTAAGTCACGAATTAAATTTTATTTATAACTCTTTTAATTAGTTTCAGAAGATAGTTAGTGGTATACATACAAATCAGGTGATGATTCTTATTATGTAGTATTGATTTGAATTGCAAGTTTACACAGCTCTATAATACTAAGGGATAATGTTACTTAACCTTTTGCGTTTGCGACAATAAGATCTACAATTTTAGGTAGTAGTTTATATGTAAGTGAATTAAAAAAAGTCTTGTCAAACTCAAATTAAGGTGTATGTGAGTGGCTGCTGGTCATGATCAATCTAGATTAAGCTAATGACCTTTTTCTTGAGATAGTAACGTACAACAGAAGGAAATATCAAGACAACCATAAGTTAAAATAAATTTATGAGAAAAGAAAGAACAAATAATATTATTTTTAAAATCTCCACTTTTCCAATGAAAAGTACGAACAGTGCTATAGATCATCTTGCTGGTAACATTTTTGCACGATAACACCATTGGACTCTAAAAGTTGCTCAATAATTATATTGATTATCAATTGGTTTGCTAGATGATTATGACGACCATTTCTCCACACAAGATAAGACTTTGTTAATGATACACTCAGACCCGACCGGACATAAGACACAGTCTAATTGAAAAGTTGGAGATTCTTACTGGACGGTCTGCTGACTGAGATAATATAATATTATCTACATTCACTTTATTGTTAGCCGTTGTCATATTACTAGAACTAAGGAACTATTGTTTCGTAATGCCAGCATGGAATATATAGGAAATCGTAACTTTTAATGAATAGTGAGACAACAAGGCACATTTCCTTTTTTCCTGTTAAGTAATGCCAAATATAAAACAAAAAGAGGAAGAACAAAAGAAAAGTAACAAGAATTTGTTTTCTTTTTTTCTGTTCATGCACCTGCACACGCCAGAATTATTTTTTGTCTCTATTATTTTTTATTGTTCCTAATTATTTTTTATTTTTTATTTTTTATTCTTCATTTATTTGTTTTCCCCCCTCCTAAGTTTGGTTTCGGGTATGGATTTATATGGATTTATCTATGCATGCAGCTATTTTTCCATTTGGAAAAGGGAAATGAAAAAGAATACGTACATATGTGCATACTTACATACAAAGTCCAAGATATCAAAATATATTGATATCACACTTTATGCCTGTCACTTTCAAACTTCCATTTTCAGATTGAGAATATATAAGTAATTCCAGATCTCCATAAAGTAGAATTTAGTATAATACGTAATTTAGTTTTCTTGTATTTAAATTATTAATTTCTAATTAACTCATATTCATATAATTTATTACGTTTGCATAGAAAGTCTGGGACTATTATTGAATAACGTAATATATAATATATAACATTCATATCATATCACTGTATACTATAGTATAGGATACTATCATATAACGTACTATAATATAACATAACATACTATACTTTTCTGTATAGAATCACATATCATTTATTGTACTTCATAGTGTAATACAAACGTACCAATTTCGTTGGTTGTAACTTGGTCAATTCTATCTTCATACTGGATATTAAGAGTATTGAGCAAATCTACACGTTGAACCTCCTCATTATTGCTATTTATTATTGCTAGAATCAATTATCTTTTGTGTAATAACATATTACTGCTAATTTATAAAAAGCATATCATAACATACTATTGAATCTACAATATAATCATTGAAACCCCATATTTAGAGTCTTTAAAAGTAAAGGAGGTAAGCAAAATAATCTAATTTAAATTTAATTATTTTCATTCAAATTCAAATTGTTTTTTTCAGCCATTTAGAGTTTCTTAATAACAAACAACAAAAAATATTAATAACACAAAAAAAAATTTTTACGTAAGGAAAATTTTTTTTCACCTATAAACAAAAGCTATATATACATAAGGAATCCTTAGTTATTAATTATATTAAAATTTTTCCAACCTTACTATCAACAGTCTATAATGGGTTCTATACGTAAGTCTAATCGTGTTCGTACCTTGACAGCTAAAGTTAGGGATACTTTACCACAACAATCCAATTCAATTAACACCATAACTAACGCAAATATAGAATATGGCAAAAAAAGAACCATACAGAATACCGAAAATGAGGGCAATTATATTGACAATGATAACACCAAGAAAAGAAAATTGATGATAACTGAACCAATTCAGCGTCAACAACCTCAAGATGACAAGATTGATCCAGTTGAGAAATTGTTAAGTTTGACTAATATAAATAATGATTTCTTGTTGGATTTAGATTTGGATTCTGATTATGTGGTATCGTCTCCTGAAGATCCTATGGATGATGGTGAAGAATATGAAGATGAGGACGATGAGGAAGATTATGAAGATAATGATCATATTCAAAGTCAGGAAAACATTCCTCAAGTTAATTTTACTAAAATTTTGCATGACAATATTAGACAATATTGTTCCTCCGTCAAAAGGAGTCCAATTGAAATATATTCCAATTCTTCCTTTGCATTTTTAAATAGACCTAGTGTTTCTGCATCTACTCAACAAATTAAGCAACTGCAAGTTGAGGCTCACCAATACTCCCATCATCATTCTCATGCATCTCATCATTCAATTCAAGCTCATAATGATAGTATTACATCTATAACTGGTTCATCAGTTATGATTGCATCTCCATTAACTCCTGCTACTACTACTGCTCCATCTACACCAATTCAAAGTGAGGTTCCATTCTTTAGAACTGTTAACTTTTCTGGTCCTTCTAAGAAACAGCAACAACAAAGATTACAGAAGAAATTTGATTCTTTTGAAGAGTACTTTTCTTATGATCAAAATGTTGAAAAAGCTGTTGAGCCAACAGTTCCAATCAATAATAATTCTTCTACAAAGGAATACTATTATGTTGATGATGATGAGTATATTTCTCCTACAGATAAGCCGGAACCAAAACAACTTGTTCCTGCTTCACAAGATTTACAATCTACAGTGGAAGCTACAACTAATGATAATGAATCACCTTTATCTACTCCTACATTGACTTCAAACAAGATGAGTTTCCATTGGAGACAAAATCATAATAACTTGAATTTAGCTTTGAATGATTTTTCTAAGAATGGTCAATCAGCTAACAATGCAAGAGCGGTAAATTCTTTATCCACTAATCAACAACAATTTCTCATGATGGATCAACAAAATGAAGATATTTTTAAAATATTGAATAAACATTCAGTATTTACTGGTAAAGCTAGTGAAATGATAAGCACTAGTAATTTTTTAATCAATGATTTCTTCATTTAATCAATTCCATCCTTCCATTCAGATCGCATTCCATAACATATCATGGTCATTATTATTTATTTATTTATTATCATTCACTTATTAATTCCTGATTAATATCTAAACTTAATTATTTATTTCATTATCGATCTTCAATTCTTTTAGTGATAAACAATTATTACTAATTATTAATGTTTTACACCCCCTTTTTTAATCTTTTCTATTTCTTTTTTACATATGGTTTCAAAAATATTTTGCATTCATGGTTTGATTTTAACACACTCGAATCATGACCCCTCAATAATAATATACGACGACTCAGTATTCTGGGCTTGTATTTGAATGACATATAATGCGTAGATTTAATACTAATAATAGCTGCGACTAATTGCTACCATATATTTATTATTAATTAGTAGAAATTAGTAATTACTATTCCTTCTAGGGCTACTACATTGACAAGACTACTACTAAGTACTAATGTGTAACTACTCGTGCGTGTTGCATTATTACGATTTAAGACAATAGAAGTTCGTAATTACTGCAACATTATTAAATTTTCTACTCTCCTACAAGGACATAATTCACCCGTGTGGCTGCTACAAATCAGTATCGGTGATCATTATTCCCACATTATTTGTCTCCCGTTTCACCCTTCTCCTTTACTCCTTCCTATACAATATGCTACAAAATAATGCAAATGTCGGCCGACGTGAGAAAATATCTCGCCCGCCTCTATGTCGTTCCGCCAACCTATTTAGGTAATTTTGGAATGTGACTGCACGCACATGACCGGCATTCTAAATTTCTAAATTTCCTCGTAATTCACACCGCTTTAAAACTATGCTAAACTAAGGCTAAACTAAAGCTGTTGCTACTAAGAATGCATAACATCCACACCGCAACATATAGTGCCACCTTACATACATGCCAACTATCACATTAGCAAGTATACCTGATTCAATAATTTCATTACTATACAACTTGTTGTTTAACAATTTCTAATATAACTGTTCATACTTCCACCACTACGGTCATTAATCCCGACTATTACCGGAGCCTCTTCAGTCACTCCATCATAACTACTTATTTATTACCATCATGGGATGGTTTCTTACATTAGTGTCCGTGTATATCCTCGGAGGTATAACTTTTCTACCCATTCTAATCTTTCTATTTATTTATTTACATCCAATACTATCATCGGATGATATAGATCATTTATCCGAAAGTCCGGGCCATCGTAATGCAGAAGAATCAAAACATTTACCTACGAGTGATTTAAAGGCTGGAGAAATTGAAGAAGATAATAAATCTGGTCTAGATACTTATAAAGCTGGTTGGATTATTGTCACTCAAGATTATCTTGAATCTCCGGATGATATTAATTCATCTACTCAATCAATTGTAGAATCCAGTGATAATAAATCGGCTTATTCAGCTTTATATAAATTAGTTCAAAAGGATAATAATGAAAAGTCTCCTGAAACTATTACAGATTTTGATACTTTTAATGATGATGTATCTACTTTAAATACTACTCCAACAACAAATACTTCCAAAACTCCCAATGCTGCTAGTACTTTACCTCCTCAACAAGCTTCATCTACTACAGCCACTACTCCAACTAAATCATCACAAAAGAAACATCGATATTATGGAGTATTAAAGCATGGTAATTTATTTCTTTATAAAGATGAAACTGTTAAGGAAGTCAAACATGTGATTGTACTATCAAGTTATTTTATATCTATATGGCCACGACATTTATCAGATGGTCAATTATTTACTAAAAGTTCAGCTATTGCATTAATTAATGTTAATAAATTATCTTCATTTAATGATAAACGTACCGATATAAATATGTCTGATGGTACAAGTATTGAATCCGCTCCCAAGGGTTCATTCTTTCTTTATTGTGATGTTAATATCGATAAAGAGGATTGGTATTTTGCCCTTATTAGAGCCACTAAAACCAGTGAATTACATGAATCATTAAACCCCAAAATTTATGCTAAAACATTACATTTTAAAACCAGTCATATGATTAATCTTATACAATCATTATATAGTTCTGAAGGTCAACTTCAAACTAAATGGCTTAATGCAATAATTGGTAGAATGTTTCTATCTTTACAAAATACAAAAGTATTGGAAGAATATTTGTATACTAAATTTTCTAAAAAATTAAATAAAATTAAGAAACCAGGATTTCTTGATAAATTTCAAATAAATTCATTATATGCGGGAGATTCAGCTCCATTTTTAACTTATCCAAGTCTTAAAGAGATAAGTCCAGATGGAACTATATTAATTTCTGCTTATGTAACTTATAATGGAAATCTTTCATTACAAATAGCTACAAAGGCAAATATTAATCTTGGATCTCGATTTAAAACTCGAGAAGTTGATTTATTATTAAGTATAACTTTAGCTAAATTAGAAGGTCCAATATTAATTAAAATTAAACCTCCACCAACTGAAAGACTTTGGTATAGTTTTGAAACAGAACCTAAAATTAATCTTAAGATTGAACCAATTATTAGTTCAAGACAAATGACATATAATTTAATTACTAATTCAATTGATAAGAAATTGAAGGAAGCTGTAAAAGATAGTTTAGTATTACCTCATTGGGATGATATAGTGTTTTATAATACTATGGATGAAATTTATAAAGGAGGCATTTGGGATCCTAATGAACGAGAAAAACCAGTAAGACCAACTTCTACTTCTTCAGCATCTTCAGTACATAATTCTACCACTACCACTACTAATGGGAATGGAAATGGGAATGGTATAGATTTAGAAAATGATGATTCTAAATCAATAACTAGTTCAATTAATGGTAATGGAACTGGAAATGGAAATTCAACTGGAGCTCAGTATGATGATCTTGACGAAAAGTCGGAATTATCATTCAAATCTCAAATAAGTAAATCCACAAAATTGTCCAATACGTTAAGTGACTTATCCAAGCGATTAAAGAAGAAAACCACATCTCCTGAACCCAATGAGTTGTTTGTAGAAAACCATAATGTTCATCCTTCTAGAGCAAGCACGGCTCCTGTATCTGGCAATAATACTACCAATACTATGAGTACACTTCGAAAGATCGGTAAATGGTATTTTAAAGATGATAAAGCTAACCACGATGACAATTATTCACCTCCAGAAATGATACTGTCAAGACGAGCACCAAAGAAACACTTTGAACCAGTGTCAATTCCGGAACTGGAGTCTCCATCTCCGGTCCGTAATTCGCCTACTTACGACTTTGGTAAATTCAATTATAATGATTCTGTATTTGACAATAAGAATACTGGTGGAACTACTGGTGCTACAGGTACAGGTACAACTGGGGGCAGTATCTCTCGGAAAGTTAGTTCCAGTACAATGAATCTGAGCTTATATGAAAAGCAGCCCATCAGTACTCCTCCATTACCTCCTCGTGATGATGATACTAATTCTGAGATTGGATCTATTCATCACGAGAAGCCTAGCCACTCTGAAACTTCTACTGCACCACTCCCCATTGATATGACTCCAGGAGTTCTGATTGAATCGGCGGGTATAAGTATTAGTCCTAAAGAAGCCACTACGGGATTGGTGAATGCACAAGTAACCGCTTCTACTTCAGGTGCAACATTGCAGAGAAGTCAATCAACCATCAAGAGAAAACCTCCTCCTCCAGCATTACCTCCAAGAGAGCCATTACCTTCAAGTCATGCAGCACCAGGAGAAGCAGCACCTCCACCAGATACTGAGTCGGGTGAGCCTACAGAGTCGAGTAAGCCTACAGAGTCGAGTGAGACAGAGAAGTCACCAGAAGCGATTGAAACAGAACAGTCTGATATATGAATCATATATGACATTATATATATATATACATGAAACTATACACGATGTATCATACGTAGGGAGCCCAGCCCCCATACATCTGAGCCAATCTCTCTACTGAAGTTGCCTCTTGAATAAGTACATCTACTTGCCCACTAATATGCATAGGCAACCCTTCCTTTTCACTAACCAAACCTCTTAATTTCCGTCTAACTTTAGATAAATGAGCTTCAGGCTTTTGAGTCTTCCAATCTAATAAGGGATCATATAATAAAGTTTCAAGAATATTCATTAATGGAGCTTCATTATCTCTTAGTAAAGATCCGGCCACTTCACAAGTTATACGGAAACTACCTTCAATACCACAAATTCCCATTGCATCAATTAAATTTTGGGTTAATCTAAATGGAACAATCTCAGGTGTCGGTAATGTAGTACCCTTTTCAAATAAACAATCAAAATCAATATGTAATATTGAACCCGATTTTTTAAATATAAGTATATTTTCACAATGTCTATCACCCAATCCAATAATATAACCTACTATAGACATAACTGCTAAAGATCTGGTAAGATTGGTACGAGCTAAATACCAAGCTGATGGATCAGAAAATTGATCAATAAACCAATGATGAAGTACGGGAGGATGATCATTCATAATTGTATTAAATACAGAAATCAAATTACTCATATTATCATTAGTATGACCATTATTTCTTACTGGTTTTTGAGCTTCTTCAAGTCGAATAAATACTTTCCTTTCCAGTAATGATTGTCCCATTCTTTTCCTTTGATCAGTAGTTATTCCCTTAAGAGTTTGAACATCAGGTACAAATTCAATAACTCCAGAATCTTCGGCTAGAGGTATAACTGCATAATTTGGAATATTTAAATCTCTCTTTCTTGCTTCATTACTTGAAGAAAGTAATCGATTAATCATAGTAGTAAATTCTCCAACTTTAGCATCCTTTCTTGTATCATCACGTTTAACCATTAATCTATAAGCCTTACCATCGGAACCTCTAATAGTTATTTGTCGAGGCATTTGTAATGAAAAGAATAAATTAACTACATCATCAACTCCATCAAAAGTTACTGTAGCAGACCGAGGAAATGGACTAATTCGAAGGGTATAAACTGATGGAAGTCTTATATCCAAATTAGATCGAACTGGAATAACTAATGCTTCAAATGGATCATCAAGATTTAATACATTAAAATTCCTTTTCAATGATAATCTCTTCTGTTTAGTATTCTTAGGAACTTTAACATTAGCAATTTTATTTAAACTATTAAATAATTCTTTGGCTTTATCAATATTAAGAGTATCAATATTATCAGTGGCTGCTTTAACTCTCAGAAGAATATCTGATATTCTTTCTCGTCTAATAGAATCTCGAGAATTCGAATGAGATAATACATACCATAAACTATGTTGAGGATATTGTCTAACTATAACATATAGTATAGTAGATATATGTTCATAAGATGGAATATGTTCATGAACAATTCTTGATAATAATTGAGTTATGGCTGTATACCAAACACAAGCTGGAATTGATATAATTCCCTTATTTAAATCATCAACCATTAAATTAATTCGACGTTCAGCTTCTCTATTTTTATTACTTCTTTGAGCTAAATCTAACCACATAGTTATAACTTTAGGTAATGCTTCAAATATATATCTACTACCTAATGATAAAGATTTAAGATAATTTCGAACTGTTTGTTGTTCATAATATCCTGTTTGATCATTACTTGATTCAAATACTTTATTAAAATAAGATCCAAGATCATAATAGGCTCGTTCCGATGCCAGATTAAGTTGGATAGCCTTATTATATTCATCAATAATGGCTTGAGATGAAAGATGATTCGATTCATCAAGCCATTTAGCATAATATAATTGAACTTCAGCCCGTTTCTCATCATTCCCCGTATCACCATCAATATCATGACGAATTTCTGATAAGGATTTAATGGCTTCAGTCTGTTTACCTTGAGCCCAAAGTAATTTAGCATATTCAATATTGGCATCTTTACAATTAAGGGCCATAGCCTTTAAAATCGATCGAGTAGATATATCTAACCGATTATTCTTTCGAGCTAATGAAGAACTGAAAAGTAATACTTCAGCGATTTTCCCATTATCCAATTTCATTTGATTTCCAATATTATGTAATGATAACACTTGTAATTGAGTATCAAATCCTTGATCAATATTAGCTAATCGTTGTTTAAGAATTACTTCATTATCATTATCAGGATCAGACTTAATTATAAGTGAAAGATCATAAATAGAATGAAGTTGATTCATAAGAGTTACATTTCTGGAAAAATTAGATGAGGTGGTAGGCACTAAATTCTTACCAATAATCTTATAAAGATGATTCATACAACTAGTGAATTCCAGAGGTTTATTCTCAAAGAGAAAGTTAACTCCCTTAGCAAATTCATAAGTTATAAGAGTCTCTACATCTTGAGGCTTCCCAATAGAATTCACGACAAAGAACCATTTTTGAATCTCTTTAACATCTCCAGAATATACTGAAGATTGAAGTCCTACAAGAGCCCAATCCAAAGGTATTAAACTTAATTCTCGGGCATCACTCTTTTCTGCTAAAGTAGCCAATACTTCTTCATGTAATCCATGTTCATGAAAAGATTTTAATAATTTAGTATTATTTTCCACTTGACTATCACCTACGGTACCCAATATTTGAAACGATTCTTGAGCTAAATTCCAATTCTCATTATATTGGAAAGTTTTAAGTTTCTCGCCTAAATTATTAGTTGAGAATTTCTTTAATACTCCATTTAATGAATCGTAATCATTTAAATTTGAATACATTGATTGTAAAGTAGTTACAAGATTTAAATTGTCTACTTTACCCTCTCTATAACATTTCTCCAAGTATAAAATAGTTCTTTCATAAGAATCACATTCGGCTGATTTAATGGCAATTAAATCCATGGGTATAACCAGTAAGAACTCTCGAATATATTTAATATTGGCTTTAATCCTAATTGAATCTTCATTTTCAAGATAATTGGTACTGGAATAATGAGTAGCCGTAGATACCCATTCATTTAAATAATCCAATACTTCAAATACGGCTTGGAAACATGCCTTTAACAGTTCAATTCTTTCTGGAGATATGGCTGTAACTGAAGTTGTGAAATCAGTATGAAGAATATTTAAGAATTCTTGTTTAATATTATTAATGGCTAACTCATTACCATTAATAATATGAGATAAGGCCACATATTTTAGTAAATAATTACATAATGAAATATCTTGATCTCGATCTCGGATAAGTCGAGCACATGTTTGAAATATGGCATGTTTCAGACTTTTTGGTTCTGGATCTGGGCCTGGTTCTGATTCTGGTTCTGTAGTAGTATCAAATATACTTACTAATGGTCTCTTTAATAGATCAGATGTAAATTCAACTAACCAAGCTTCATATTTCATACCTAATTTAAATAATGGGAATTCAATAGGTTCATATTTTACTGTGGGGGCCACATATTTAGATGATAATAAAGGTGTTAAAGTGGATTTAGCAATCTCACTAAATCTATCCCATACTAATAGAAGATGATCTTGACTATTAGGAGTTAAAATATCATGATTTAATTTAAGAATCTTAAGGAAATTTTGCATAGCATAAGCCGAAAATAATTGTTTAACTGGATCACTCGATGCCCAAAAGATTTTTAGTACTCTATTCTCAATAAAATCAACTAAGAATTCACTATTCTCTTTATAATCCTTAAAATCTTGAATTATAACTATTTGTTTCTTAATAGTCTTGAATTTAAATTTATTACTATCTAATGATCCAATCACTGACATGGCCTTAGCACATCCAGTAGATATAGATTCATTAGTAGTTTTAAATTTTGCAGCCGTATCTAATACTACTCGAATTAAATCTCCTATACTAACTTCTAACATTGGATCCTTAAAATATTCAGTTTGACAATTTATTTGATACTGTTGACAATAATTAGTTAAATCAAATAATGCTTGTTTAACTACATATTCATTACTAGTATTTAATCGTCTAGTGAATTCTTGAAAGATTACTAATCGAGAGATTTGTTTAATGTTCTTATTAAACCCTCCTGATATAATATCTCTTACTTCAATATGTTTAAGAAATGGAATTGAAAGTAAATAAAGTACTAATCTACTACTCCGCTTAGTAGTGATTTCTGTAAAGATATCCTTAAGTACTCGTACGGCTAAATCCTTAGAATTCTTATCAAATTCCTCATATTTCTGATATATCAGTGAGATAATAATATCAACTATAGTAATAAGATGATTTCGAGGTAATTTAAGTATTAATGCATGGAAATTTCGTAAGGTATGATACTGAAATTCCGCAGTCTCTAATGATGCTTGTAAACAAGTAGATATTTGTCCAAGAGCCGTAGTGGCAGCATTAATATTCGTATTAATAAGAAATTCAATGGCTCGTAATGAACTAATCTTCTCTAAATATGGTTTAGTACCTTTAATATGATGCATATTCTCACTAAATCTTTGGACTAATTCAAGTACATTCTCATCTAATAGAAATTCTACATATTTCCCCTGAACATTGATTGGTTTATCCTTTTGTTTAATAGTTACTTTGGCAGTATACTTTAAGGCATTCAATATTCTATCATTATTAACTATATTATTCCCCTCATCTACTTGAATTTGAAGTAGAATAAACCAAGTCAATTCTCCACTCTTTCGAATGATATCAGCAAGAGTTAATAATTGATAATTAGGATAAACCGTTGAAAGAACATTGATTATATATTGTTCATCAATATGAGCATCTCGAACAAGATAATAAGCAATAATTCTTGATAAATTCTTATGAATTAATTCTAATTTAGTCAAGTCGCATGCCTGGGCAATATCTTGAATAAAATCATGTTTATAATATTCAAGTAATCGAGGAGTAGTATACTCTCTTGTTCTGGTTAAAAAAAATTTAATGGTGACACCCAACACTTCAGTAACTCGAGATAACATTCGAGGTTTCTTTATAATAACTTCAGATATACTAGGTAAAAATGGGAATAATAATTTATAAGGGGGCATAACTTTTGCACTTGATATATATAAAATAGCACTATAACCATAATTGGCATGTTGTTCATTATTTTCTCCAAAATAATCGATAAGTTTTATAAATATAACACATAATCTTTCGCCTTCAGATATAACGGCTAATTCCAGTAATGCTCGTATAGTTGATTCAGCAAAATGTTGTCTATTTTCACTAGTGAAATCAATATTAGTAATGATTTGAAAGATTCGTTTAAAAATACTATCTGTATTAACTGTTTTATCTTGAATTAAGTAGAGTGGAAGTATTCTTCCTGCTAATAATCGTACATCTCGATTATGATTATTGGTTAAACAATAGATAATGAAATTGAATACTCTTTCATCATGAACTGTCAGTGTTTGAGGATTATAACTAGCAAATAACTTATAGATAGTTAATAATAAGTTGGTACATATTAATGGATTAGTATCTAATACATGTCTCTTCTTCCCAATTAAGAAATCACTTATAATGATTTCATATAATCCTACAATCTCTGGTGAAGTATAGAATACTCGACGTTTAACATCGATATTATCATAGTAATTCTTGTATTTAGATCCACTTCCACATCTCGAACATTCATTAATTCGAAAGTTAAAATCTTTACTTAACAAACATGAGAAATTACCTAGGGCAGTAATCATAGTATAAAGTGTATAATCTTCATCAAATATCTGGGATTCATGTTGTATAAGATGTTTAACATAATGAATCCATTGACTAAGATATTCTTCTTGACTTTGACCATCTATTTCTTCATGGTTTAAATGGTTAGATGGTACTATAAAGTTGAGTAATTGTACTGTCATATTATTAACATCCGGATCAATAGGACTAGGGAGATTGAGTAACTTTAGTCTTAATGATTCTAATTCCATATCCACAAATGGTTTAATAATAAACTGATTGGAATCAGATGTTCGATACTCATTGACTACAATAGTATCATCTATAAATGTACCATAACGAAATCGAATTATGTGTAATGCCTTAACGATTAATCCCGGTAATGACTTAGTAAATGATTTATCATCTAACTTTGCCAATAAACTTCGTAAATTATTGCAATTAATGAAATTCTCTACAATATCCTTATCAATACATAAGGCAAATATCTTCAAAAATGTATAAGCTGCTGATTTCGTGACATTCATAGATTTATCAAGATCTGTTCTTAAATATTCAATTATCCAAGTTAATACCATAGATATTTGATTCCAAGTTGTTGAATCATAAAGTACTAAATTATCAGTAAGATTCATTACAACTATAGATTTTAAATTATCAACTAATTGAAGCGTATCTTCATTAGATGGATATGGATATATTTCATTAAGGATAAACCAAATCTTTCGACTATAACTTTCGAATTTTAATTGATAACTAATAAGATTAAGCGATAATTTAATCGATAAATCATAATCATTTAGGATAGAAAACATATGAACAGTTTGAATTAATGTTTTATTCATTTCAATTCCATCATTCCCTATACTATTAAGTAATATAGATATATTTGTATCTAGTATAGTTAATAATTTACTTCGTAGTTGTTTAACATATTTAAAATTATGAAGTTTAGTAGTAACAAGATTAATGATATGAATTATAAATGATTTAATATGATTTAGTAGAGTGATATTATTATGATAACTGGGTATATGATCAATAGCAAATAAAATTGACCAATCGTATAGAAGATAGGATGATTCTGATGATTCTGATGATTCTTCCTCTTCAGTCGGTACGTATATAGAGCAGTAATCATCATATTCTAGTAGAAGATTCAATAAATGTAATCTCTTGGATAATACCAACTCAATGGTATCCAAGAGTCGAGGTACTAACTCATGACTATCTTCACTACTTAAGTTCCATAACTTATCGTTGGTGAATTGAAACAAGTATAGTATTAACTTTTTGAAATCAGCATTATCATCGGTATTAATGTTCTTCTCGATATCGTCCAAGAATTGAGTCAAGTCAGACTTACTTATTCGTTGAGTCGCTGAGACTGGAGCTGAAGAACCCACCGACATGTCGTAGTCGTAGTTCCGCCGTGCTGTGAGATCCTGGTGAAGATGGGTAGACTCGAGTACGCGTTAGTGATTTTCGATGGTGATAATGCGATGGGATGAGGTAAACGCCAAAAGATCGAAGTGGAGCTTAAGTAGTGGTTTGGACAATTTGGTAATATACCACTCATTGATTATGCGCTTTTAGTCTGTACATGTACAGTCTCAACACTCAAGTCTAACAATCTACAATTTCTACAAGCTGTTCTTAACAGTATACTATACTATACTATACTATACTCATATAACACGTTATATTGATTAATTAAATACTATGCACATTTGATAGCTGTTACTACCAGATGTCTTGGCAAAAACATCTTCTAACTCTGGGTATCTCTCGTTGACTTCTGTTCTGATTAACTGCCTATTGACCATAATTGTTGGGTCTTTTGAATAACAAGATATGAGGCTCTGGGGCATGAGTCTCATAATGAGCCCATCCTAATGACTGAGTAATACCTAGACCTCTCCATTCCTCTTCCAATAGTATTCGTAAAGTTCCTGTTTCCGGATTGAAGTAATCTTGAGGAATAACTTTTAACATATTCTTAGGTAACATCACATGTCTGTATTCATGAGTGTCATCACTGTATCGTGGACTGTAATGAATCATATCTTGAAATTCAAGTACTTTGGATCTTTCACTATCGGTTAGATATCTTGGTCTAGTCATTATATGTATGGTTGGTTAATTTGTTTAAGCGAATGGATATGGTTGTCAAGTATTGAGTATTGAGTAATTGAGTAATAGTTGCGGGGTGAGTTATGTAGTGAGTTATCTGTGGTGGGTGGTAATTATTTGTCAATGGTGGATTTGTGACTGTTCAAATGTCGCGCACTATACTCTTTCGCGTCGCCCAACAAATGCTAACCTCAACTCGTTAACTGATGATAGTGCTTCGTTATTGTTGATGATTCATTTGGTACTTTTTTTCCACTATTTGCCAGGGACGCGTACCACCACAAATTTTATCTTGGTCAATTGCGATCAATCGCGGTACTCACGGCATTGGATGCAGCATTCGTTAATTGTCTGGATGTACTATGGTGTATCTGTAGATCCCTCACAAGAGGTGGTACCACTTCTAAAATTACGAAAGTTAGTGTCTTTGTTATACGTAGAATTGAATGATGTCTCTCAAGTATCTCAAGTATCTCAACTAGCCGGCTTAAAGGAGACATTGACTAAGAGATTCATAGTGACAATAGCTTTACCAAACAATCAAGATGTGGAAGCATTCTTCGCACAGCTCTATGAATCATTACATTTGTTAAAACCGTTCAAATACATAGTATTGAACATACCTACATCTGTATTACTAACATTGCATCCATCACTCTTAAAGAGACATCTTGATAAGCTACGACTGCAAATAAATCATTTATCCATTCAAATACCTCTAGTCAATGATAACAAATTATGGGTCATCTTTCAGCAACTTAAGGTTCCTGACTTGAATGTGGCATTTGAAATCACTGCAGATCATATTGATAAACATATATTGCAATTATGGTCGGTAGAACAATTACAGTATATAAAAACTAGATATTCTCCTTCCACAAATTTATTGATAAATAGTATTTTCTCTATATACAATTCCCAAATTCCATTAATACTTCCTGATCTTGATAATATCACTCAATTCAAATTAATTCAACCAAATCCCACCTATAATTTATTGATCGATCCCTTACAGCCATTGCGAGATGACTTAGATAGTGGTATTTACGACCAATTTGAGAAGGATATCACCAAATATGATCAATATGAAGCAGCTATGGATTTGGCTATAGACGATTTAATTGGCCAATATATGTTGGATCCCTTAGTTGTCTTAGTAGTGGGTCCTGGGAATGGAGGAATTCTTGATCGACTCCTCAAGATAGTTGAAGCTCATCCTTTATGCAATTTTAAAGTATATGCTGTTGAAAAGAATCCCAAATGTTATCGAATTCTAAAGACATATAACTCTATAAAATGGAATAATAAAGTAACTATTATCATGGATGATATTCGATTTGTATCACTTAGTTTCCATCCTCATTTGATAGTTTCTGAATTACTAGGATCATTTGGTGATAACGAATTATGTCCTGAGATACTTGCCCGATTCAATACAAATACAGTACAGAAACCTTGCCTCATGATCCCCAATAGTTATACTACATATTTGCAACCAATCTATTCTAATATTGATATTCCTGGGTATGATCAACCTTATATAGTTAATCTTACCAGATATTATCCTATTTGTGAATTCCAAGAAGTATGGACATGGGAACATCCTTCAAGTATTATTAATACTACTTTCAGTACCAAATTGAATTTTGATATTTACAATAATGAAGATTGCGAAGTAACAGGATTTTATGGATACTTTAAAGCTAATCTATACGGACACATTAATATTCAAATAATTGATCCAATGGACACCACCACCTACTGTAAGTCATGGTATCCGATACTATTCCCTGTGCGACGAAGTAAAGTACAAAAAATACTGAAATTTGAATTACTGATTAGTCGATTATCGGATGATCACAAGGCGTGGTACGAATGGGAATTCATGGGAGTACACTATAACAAAGATAGATGTAGTTATATAGATGCAAGTTAGTTAATGTATGATCAATATTTAGGGATATATCTTTCCTTGGGAGCGTTTGATGATGAATGAGTGGAATGACTAGAATGACTGGAATGACTGGAATGATGGTGATGGTGTCTTGATGTAGATGAAGATGAGGATCTGTGACTATGAGACGGCGAGGACTCCTTTCTTACTTTATACGGCTTATCCTTGTCACTTCGAGCTGAAGAACTATCCCTCTCTCGTGATCTATGAGAGTGTCTTGATGCACTGAGTTTGTTTGAGCTCATTTGCTTACGCTTCTCTTGTCTTATTTTAAGTAATGGATCATCACTTACGACACTCTGCTTAATTCCACCTCTCCCCACATTCAATATATTATCAAGTGAGGTTGTGGTAGTTCCTGATGTTTTATTAAAAGATTTATTACCATTCAATAAATTCTCAACCTCATTCTTGCCCTCAGTAAACTCTTTACTTTCAATAAATCCTGCTTCATTCTCTACCTCTGCTTCATCAGTTTTAGGCATATCATCATACATCCAACTGAGTTTATTCAACTTCAATTTCTCCTTCCCCTTTAAGTCCAGAACTTTAAAGTCATCTCCATATTGTAACTTAAGCAAATGCTTATATTCCTGTTCTGATTTGAATTCATCTTCAAGTTTTTCAATCTGCTTAAATTCTGCAAGCTTATTTTGCTCTTCTTGCCATACTTTCTTTTGGTTCTTAACTAAGGCTGGATTCCACGACTTCTTTAAGTTCAAATCTCCTGCCATAGTTGACTTGTGTTTGTTATGTATGGACAATATTCTTAACAAACAATAATAATAATAAATTTTGTTATATCCGCACCAGCGCATCTCATTTTGTTCGGCTCAACCCCAAAACGGTAACAATTGTAATTGATGCAAAATCACACTAAAGAGACATGATAAGGTTAAAGTATAATAGTGAATGAATAGGATCATTCATGTTTATGTTCTTGTTATAATTCCAAAATTATTTTGGTGGTGGTAAAATGTACACAGAGGTATTTGTTTATAATCTAATCTACAGGTTCAAATTTAATTTATCAAATACATATATTAAATATGCCGGCTACTGCTTATGCAGAGATTGCAAAGACGATCTTAATTAGAACTATAGATAAACTAAACATCTAGCAACAGAAATGTTAATAACTGGAAAAACATTTCCTAATTCTAAAATCAACAATTAAACCAAATTAGTTTTCTTATTAACAAAACAAAACTAGAAACCATGGATCTTGATATTCTTCTTTGGTAATTGTAATTGAGTGGTTAAGAATTCACTGACCTTAACACGTTGATCTCCTTGAAGTTGGATGACTTCACCTAATTCATCATCCTTTACGATATTACCATTACAGGCAAAATCTTTCTTTAAAACTTTAAGAATTTTCTTTAAATCATATTCATTTGGAACACCTTGTACAGTAGTTAAAGTCTTTCTACCGTTTCTTTGTTGAATTCTGATATGAATATAATTAGTTGGTTGAGCTTCTGAATCACCAGTGTCGGCGAATGGATCTATATTTATTTAATGTTAGTAATTTGTTTTACGACTTTAATTACAGTAATTATTAATTCATTCCCTCATTCGAATCAAAAAAAAAATTCATTTTCTATGTTGAAGATAAGGATAATTAAGGGATCAGATATCATTTTTTGATGATAACAGTAGTTTACAAACTATCATGAGTGATAGTCATATTGTATGAACATGTTTGAATCTTATAGATATGAATCATAACACTCATTAAAGTTGTAATGATATTTTACACAAGTAGTAGACTACCGCCACTAACTTTTTAATTAAGGCAATGCGAATGACACTAAGGAATGAATTGTACAAAAACACACATACCAAAGGAAGTTAAATTCTGGATAGTTGACATATAACAGTAAAGATTTGATGTATAGTACTCCTTTGGATTCTTGCTAGTTGTCTAAATAAGAGGAATCTTAAGTATTAAACGAGTCTTTAGGATAGTTATTGGCTAAGGAAAGAAGAAGGAGTATGACTGCTTGGCGTATGTAATTTTCTTTACTCATTTCTTTTTCGTTTCTTTTTTTTTTTTTTGGTTGTTTTGCTTTGCCTGACTGATTTTACTGCGGTCTGGGTCTAACGTGAACGTGATATAAGTATCGTGATCAGATTACCCGGACTTAGCTAAAAATTGGGTTCTCTTATGTAAGCATCTTGATGATTCTTATGTCAGCATTGGCATGTGATAAGTTTCATGCGACCCAGAATAGGAGGTAAGCATCATAGTTGTATATTGCGGTAAAGGTGTTTGCCTCTTTGGGACCTGTCCATAATCCAACCGCTTTAATAGGAAACTTGAACTTTAACTATGCAAGGTAATTTTTTGAACATCGACTAACACTAAAGAATAATTAACCAACCATTTGTTGACCACTTTGTTAAGTTCAAACTAACACTACCATCAGCTTTGTTCGAATTAAATAATCGACTCAGCCAAAAAAAGAAAAAGTCCCCATACTTAAACTTTAATAATATACAGCGAACAAACAGATTGATCGATCGCTCATACTATTTTGGATTTTGAATTTTTGGATTTTTTTCAACTCTTTCCACCATTGCCATCCGACCAATTTCGAGCCAATTGTTTTGAAACAACTCATCAGTGGACAATACTAGAGTAATATACTTAAGATTATTCTGACTCAATTATTTTTTATCATTTATTTGTTTTCCATATCATTGCCCGCTAAAATTAATAATTTATTTATTCATCGTCCATAGATCAGATCATCTCATCTACACTTGCTAAGCATTATATTATTTCAATTTAATTTAATTCAATTCAATCAGTTCACCAATATTTATTTATTTAATTAATTAATTAATTCATCATGAGTAAACATAATAATAAAATATTTAATAACCCTTCGGTTAATTCAACTGCCAATACTACTCCTGCTCTTTCAACTGTAACTTCAAAGGAAGATAATGTTGAATCTAAGAAACAACCAGTGGTCAATGAAAGAGAGAAAAAGAAGCAAGCCTTTATTACCAGAACCATATGGACTTTAATTATGATTGCTGGTTTCTTCATTGTATTAGCTTCAGGTCATTTGGCTATAATTGGCCTTGTATTATTATTTCAAATCTTAACATTTAAAGAAATAATCGCATTAACTTCAGAACCAGCTAGAGATAAAAAGATTCCTTATAATAAATCATTAAATTGGTACTTTCTAATTGCTACATTATATTATTTGGATAGTCCTTCATTTTTTGGTTTCTTTCAAGATTCAATCTTTTCCTATAAAATCTTAACTTTCCTCATTGTAAATCATAAATTTATAAGTTATTCATTATTTGTAGCTGGATTCATTTTCTTTGTGTGGACTTTAAAGAAGGGTTATTATCAATTTCAATTTGCTCAATTATGTATAACTCATATGACCTTAATTTTAGTTGTATTCCAATCTCATCTAATTATTGATAATATTTTAAATGGTATAATTTGGTTATTCCTTCCTGCTTCTTTAGTCATTGTCAATGATGTATTTGCATACTTGTGTGGTATTACATTTGGTAGAACTCAATTAATAGAAATTTCACCAAAGAAAACTGTCGAAGGATTTGTTGGTGCTTGGATTTGTACTGGAATTGCTGCCGTTATCTTCTCCTTCTTCTTATCTCAATCTGATTATTTGATTTGTCCAGCAGTGAATTTATCAACTCACTTATATAACTTCCCTCATTGTGAACCAAATCCAGTTTTTATTCCTCAAATTTATCAAATTCCTCAGAATATTATTGATATTGTTTTTACTCCTATCAAAAACTTTAATAGTGCAATTGAACCTCAATATGAAATCATCTCAATCAAGCCAATTTACATTCATTCTGCAATACTAGCAACTTTTGCTTCTCTTATTGCTCCATTCGGAGGATTCTTTGCATCTGGTTTAAAAAGAGCTTTTGGTATCAAGGATTTCGGAGATACTATCCCAGGTCATGGTGGTATAACAGATAGATTAGATTGTCAATTCCTTATGGGTTCATTCTCCTATTTATATTACCAAACTTTCATTTCCAACCAAAATGTTTCCATTGGCAAAATCTTACAGTTGGCGATTATAAATCTTTCTGTACCACAATTAATCCAATTAATAAAGAGTTTATTAAGATATTTAAATAATTTAGATGTTATTGATGAAGACAAATTGAGAATAATATTTGGTTTGTTAGATAATTAGTCAATTTTGTTCCGATTTAATAATTTTTATCCATTTCCATCGGACTGATCACAAATATTGGTTATGGGTTAATCACTAAACATAGCTCAACACTTTTTAATGATGATTCAATTAATTTTTTTTTTTACTTTATTATATTTCTACTCCGTTACTTAATTCAACTTAATCTTGATCTCGTTAATATGTCATTTTAATAATATCATATTCCTTTATACATATTATTGTTGCCTCTTATAAATACATCCTTTATCATAACTTCAACAAATAAAATATGAAAACTAATTTTAATATCACGCAATTTGTAGTAAACTGATTATGGCACTAATCAACATCTTCTTCTATTTGCTTCATTTGCAGATGGAATGAAACGAAATATTTCAATTTCACATAAACAATAGAAGTTGATAGCCGAACGGATGGAATTAATATGTAAATAATAAAGAAATAGAATGATTTTGCAAGCATGGCCCCTGTTGTTGAATCAACAGAAATTCCATATACAGTAAAAGTCAGGGGATATTACAGAAGTAGCAATATTCAATGGCTGTGTCAAATCTAACAATAGATCATTCAAATCAAATCAAGCTCAAGGTTTGTTGACTTGGAACGGAATGTTCAGCACTCCGGAGTAACAACATCGGTTAACAAAGTAAACTATGAAATGAAACTAAGAAGCCCATAGCTCAAATACCGAATCCCACCACAATAGAATTCAAGACGCTGGCTCTAGTAAAGTTACACTAAGAAGCCACTTGCCATAATTCAATACATTATGGTCTACAATTTGCCATAATTGTGCTACTAACCTAAGCCTAATTGGGAAATCGCCTGTCATTTATCGCTGGTTAAGATACTTCCCGATTGGGAATAGTTTCCTGCAGATAGTCTATTTTTGTATTGCGGCATGGAGCTTGCTTGAGTATGAAGAGAGATTTTTCGATGTTGCTGGCGCATTACATTGTTGCTGGTTAGTTGCAAAAAAAAATGCGCAAAGACTCGAGACTTTGCTAGTACTGTAAAGATGTGGACATAGGCCAGCTCATGTAGTCTAATGTGTATATATACCATGTACCACCCCACCAAGAACAGTTATTTTCTAAATCTTTCTTTCTTTTCCATCTATCTCACTCCCAATACTTTCGTTAATCTCGCTTCGTCCAACTCGAACATACATTCTTTCACTAGCGACCTACAAAATAAGACTATTTCATTCTTTTAATACATAATCCAACATAGTCACACACTTTCGTTCATTAATTCACATAATCATACACTCTTTCTTAATAATAAGTATAATAATAAAATGATATTAATAAATCAAATTTTAGCTGTGATATTTTTTATCCAATACATTGAAGCTATTCCTTTACCTATAATACTTACAAGATGGCATACAGCTCCAACTTCAACTACAACTCAAACTTATACTACTGGTACTACTACTGTTTATTTACCTCCTGTTTTATTATTTATAAGTGATGGTACTACTTATACTAGCACTTTAACTGATGGCCAATGGGCTACTACTCCGGTTACTACTACTAGCTACTATCAAGATCCAGCTCCAACTGAAACTCTTGCTGCTACAACTACTAATACTCCTGTTGATCCTCCTGCTCCAACTACTTCTTCTTCAATTCCTCCAGTTATTACTGTTCCAACTACCACTAGTACTACCCCAACTACTACTAGTACTACCCCAACTACTACTAGTACTACTCCAACTACTACTAGTACTACTCCAACTACTACTAGTACTACTCCAACTACTACTAGTACTACTCCAACTACTACTAGTACTACTCCAACTACTACTAGTACTACTCCAACTACTACTAGTACTACTCCAACTACTACTAGCACCACTCCAACTACTACTAGTACTACTCCAACTACTACTAGCACCACTCCAGCTACTACTAGCACCACTCCTACTACAACCAGCACTACTCCAACTACTACTCAAGCCCCAACTACTAAGCCAGCCACTACTAGTACTTCCAGCACTTTAACTTACTCATCAATACCTTCAGCAGTTGCTACTTTGACTCCTCCAAAGTACATTGTCTATTCCCCATATCTCAATGATGGAGGTTGTAAGGATGTTCCAACTATGACTAATGATTTAGAATTAATTAAGAGCAGAGGTATTAACTATATCAGAATCTACGGTAGTGACTGTAATTCGGTTCCAAATGTCTTACCAATTGCTGCTTCATTAGGCCTCAAGGTTAATCAAGGGTTCTGGTTCTCTCAATACCAAGTTGACTCCATTGACAGTGGAGTTAGTGACCTTATTTCCTATGGTCAACAATACGGTTGGGATGTTATTGATTTTGTTACTGTTGGTAATGAAGCCATTAATGATGGCTTCTTAACTGTTCTGCAATTAACCAGTAAAATCGCTTCAGTGAAATCTTTATTACAAGCAGCTGGTTACACAGGTCAAATTACTACTGCTGAACCACCAAATTCATTTATTGATAACCCAAGTTTATGTACACAATCTGCTATTGATTTTGTTAGTGTCAATGCTCATTCCTATTTTGATCAATATGCTGCTCCTTCTGATGCGGGTACGTTTGTTGCTGGTCAAGTCCAATTGGTTCAAAATGTTTGTGGCTCTAAGAACGTTTTTGTTGCTGAAACTGGTTATCCATCTCAAGGTGCTACTAATGGTCTTAATGTTCCAACACCTGAAAATCAAGCTATAGCCATTCAAGCTATCTTAAGTGTATATGGTACTGATATTACTATCTTGACTACATTCGATGATTTCTGGAAAGCTCCTGGTCCTTATGGAATTGAACAATACTTTGGAGCTATCCAATTGTTTAGCTGAGCATTTTCAGTATGTACTTTTAATTATTAATAGATTATTTCGGTTCGTCATCTTTAAAATTCTTCATATACATAGTCAATAAAAACATTAGAAATTTGAAATTTTCTGTATTCAGATATTGTAGGCATACATTTGGTTATATACATATATATACATATAATACAATTTAAATAATGGAAATGGAAATGAAAATGGAAATGGAAATGAAATAAATACCAATAAAATGAAACCTAAACCTGAAACAAAAGAATACAACAAAAATAGCTTGATTAAAACTCTATGATCTTCTTTGGAAAATATTCATCAATCAAGTCTAGATAATAAGGCTTAAGAGTCTCAACGTCGAAAACTTCTTCAGTTTTTGAATACAAATCGTATGCATTGAATGCCTTAACCGCTTTCAACATTTGTTTATCGTGATCATCCATGAGATAGCTGTATGCATACTCCTGGTGCCAAGGATAGAATGAATGATATCTAATCATAGCTAGAGCTTCCGGTGGCAAAGTTGAATTACCCTTGGCTACGTGATACATATACTCATCATGACCCCAACTTAACATAACTTTATCTAATCCACAATTTTTAGAGTAAATACCATATTTGGTATTATACAAAGGATTAACAAAGTCTGGATTCCTTTTAAAACTATCAGGAAATATGATCTTTTTCAGAGGTTTACAACCAACGGGAAATGTATCACCTACTACGTCCCATTGTCCCTTTGAATCAAAAAAGTAGAGTAATTTTCCCAAATCATGAATGAGCCCCACTAATTGAAACCATCTTGGTTTTCCATCTCTTCTAATTGCTTCAGCTGTTTGTAAAGCATGATCAATTTGACTTAATTCAGTATCAGGATCTGAATCATCTAATAATTTATTCAACTTTTCTAATCCTTCCCAAATTGTCATCTTCGCTCTTGATTTAGTCTTAAAATTAATTCGAGCTTGAATATTATATGCCACCGTTTGTTTTTCATGTTGTTCTTCATAAAATTGCTTAACTCGATCGCAAGCTAACTCATACTGTCTGAATTGTTTGGTATCGATATTCTTGAGATAATTCGTTGCATCAGACCAGTCAACTGGTTCTTTCTGACTAGATACTAAATTGTCCTCTTCTCTTTCACTTTGTATTAAAAGTTTATCAAGTTCTTTATCCAAATCAACAATATCACCTTTGGAAAAACCTTTTATCTGGTTTACTAAAAATACGTCATCTTCTATTTTTTCTAATATTTTACCTGATTTTGTCTTAGTAGTAGCTAATTCAGATTCAGTATTTGAAGGATCTGGTTTAACTGGCTTTAAAACTTTCTTGACATTATCTAACGTAGCCAGCATTACAGCATATTAAGAAATATATTTACTAGTTGGGGCTGTTGTAGTTCAATGTATTTTTTGTGTCTAGAGATATGAGTCATGTGACTTTTCTATGAAAAATAACTAGCGATAAAATTGTGTAGATAGATAATTATAAATTTCTTCCAGTAATCTTATAAAAAAATAACTATATAATATACTTCGGCAAAATACCACTATTTACAGTAATACAGGTGAAGATTTTCGCCCAATAGCTAGCTGCACTGGGTATTAAGAATTCCAGCTATATAGACCAGAACAGGTCGTTCACTGATCAAATATCTTTACTTTTCAGGAGACCATCACAAAAATGCGCACTAATGGAGATTTCATTAAGAACTTTGAAATGCGTGCTTGTTGCAAAATCATTTAGATGACAACTTAGTAAGTATATTAAAAAATTTGAAGTGTGTTGAGATCTAGTAGGCATGGATAATTATAATTAACTGATAGAATGATTCATATTCTTTATTTAAGTACTACATATATAACAAACCCGAGAAGGTAAGATTTACTACGACCCTCGGTTAACTGTGGTACTAATCTGTATGGAAATACTCAGCATTACGGAACAAGTTCTCATTAAAGACTCAATTCTTTTGTTACGAATTATAGCCCAAGAGAATTGGATATTGGAGTTTCCACCAAACGCAATAGTATAATAATGAAAAGCGTTTTTACAACTCTTGACCACTAAGTTCTATCCACTGGCATGGTTCAACTTGTCTGTCTATTACAAACAGGTAATTGTAGAAAGTAAAATACTGAAGCTTTGGAAAATCATCTATATTAATTTTTATCCAGTCCACCAAGTTTCTTATTTCTTGCTTAATCTCAATATAGTCAATACCGTAATCATACTTACTTCTATAGAAGAACATGTCAATTGTTTGTAAGGTTGTTGGTTCATATGTTATACTAATTTTTACGATCACAAGGCTTGACCCAAAACAATTAAGCAAATTCTTGACTAAATTGCAATGCTCTTTAATATAAGCTAAATGAGGAGATACACGAACATCTATACAAATATTTTGAAGTGGAGCCTTGTAGAATTGTTCGAACTGACATCTTCTAATGTAACGGTCATCATTCATAACAAGTGTTTTCAAATTGGGCATTGAGTTAGCCAAATACGGGTAATATCTGCTATTTGATAGTTGAAGTTCTTCGATATTTTCACAACGAAATAGTAATAAAGCTACTTTCAACACTTCTTCACAAAAAAAAAAAAAGAATATAAACATAACGAATTGGCTTCAGAAAAGATCCCTTGTAATTGGGTGACACCTTCAAGATCTCCTAATAGCCCTTTGCTTGATAATATCACCTTCTTGAACGAGCACATGAAATTTCTGTTACTTCTTATAAATTCAATATAAGTACCTAGTCGGTAAGATAAGTCTATACGTAATGGTTTAGAACTGAAAATTGAAGAATGTCTATTAATTAACTCGTGTGAAAAAGCGATCTTCTCAAATTGGTCAATTGTCATGTAATATTCATCAAATAGTCTATATTCTTTTTCTACAATCTCAAATCTTTTCACGAATTTATAAATAGGCAGCGAAATGTAAACAGAATTATACTTTCCAGACAAAACTGTGGAATTTGTATATGTAAATGTATTCAATTTTCGATGAAATATGGCATAGTCTTGTAAATTCTCAACGTCTGGATCTGAAAGAGTAATAAAAGCCCTCTTGAATAATTTGCTCATACATAACGAATAAAACCTTGAATTGGTAAGACATAGGTCTAGAACATCGAACTGGTTCAAGTGATCTATGATTTGAACTAAAATTTCATCAGGTAGAGACTCTAAACTAGTGGCTGGATTTGGAGGCTCTAGGGTAGATTTAACACATGTTGCAGTTCGATATATCCATGTCTCATTGAAAATAAAAACTATATTAGCCACTGAGCAAGCCATCCTTTTATATTCAATAGTGGATGAAGTATTTGTTAGTCTTGACCTACATTTATATAAGAGGAGGTCGCAGTTACTCTATTTTTTGCAGCTTCCCTTTCAATAACTTTGTGTCAGGTCACATTTCAGGCCAGTACTTCACCCCAAGATTTAGAGGAGTCCTCCAATGAGTACTATATATTTATTAGTATCTAGTTGAAATGAGAAGAAAAGCCCCTCTATATTGGTTCAAAACCTCTAGATGACACGATTGAAGCTGATTTCCTTCCTACTTTACTTTATGAAGTGTAATTCTCTCGCAAAGTCATACAATCATGCCATTTCATCCATTTGAAAATCCTTTCAAATTTGCTATAACATTATTTTGGAGTATACAGCCAGAAGTCACTAAACTGGTACTTTGAATGAGCTTCGTCTAATGATATTGAGACTTATTTATCTTAGATTCGTTTTTCAGAGAACACTCCTTAGATTAGGTCCTGGCTTATTTATAGAATGCATAATTTTGAATACTTTCATAAATGAATCCTTTGTTACCGTACTTATCAAGAATATATAATTGATATAGCCGATCAACCAATTAATCAATATTGCTACTCATTAAGTTGGGCGTCTTCATAAAATTCTACAATTACTCAATTACTGAATTTTACAATTACTCAATTATCAATTACTCTAGCTCTAATTACTACTTTTAAGAAGAAGTAATACCGTTGAAGAATCTCCCCTGCCTCGCGTCACTCTAAAAGTCTCATGCTCTAATTTCATGCTCTATCTTAGAATTTGAAAAGCTTTATTTGTACTATAAAGAAGGTAGACGAAAAAATTAAATCTCGTATAAATGCGATGATTTCTTGGCGTATTATAACACTACTCATATATGCAATACATAAAAAAATAGAACTATAATTTATTACGTGTTAAGAGTAATTGTTTATTAAGGTTATGTCTCTGCTTTTGTTACCACATTAAGGTTCTGGTCCGTTTTCTTATTGTTGTTTACCCTGGATAAATATATATATATATATTAATATTAATAACAGCAATCCAATTACATATTAATAATCCCAAACGGGGTCAATATGTGGTGGAAAAGTACATTAACAATTTTGTTTCTAGTACTGGTATATACGTCATACTTACTAGGAACTGTTAGTGTCAAAGACGAAACAATCACACTGCATAACTCAAGAATATCCAATAGAAAAGTATCTAGTTATCCACATAATGAAACGATAGTAATATTTCCTAAGGATTTCGCACAAATAAATAGAAGATTTGGGTATGAAGATGACTATGCATTCTTCAATAATCAGAATCTATCAGAGTATTACTCTGAAAAGTTCAGCAATTCGGCCTCGCTGAGTCATTTGCATATCATTCAACACAATGATGAGGAATATATCACCCATGCTGAATACTTTACGAGTGATTTTAAGGATTACAATATCGATATCTTCGATGCTAATCTTTTAGATAATGAAGAAACAACATGTGATAGTGGATTTAAAAATCAAACTATTCAAATTGGTGGACACCTCCAAGTAGACTCGGATTTATTGGGGGCTGTACAGGCTTTGAGGAAATTTATGGAATCAAATCCTGGATTCAAAGATTTAGATAACTATATTTTTGAAGATATTGATGCATTGATCAAGTTCAATTTATTAGATAAGTATTTCTTTAAGTTTGTAGGAACTTCTGTTTGGTTAGAACAATTTGGAGTTCATTATATGGTTTCAAGAGTTTCTTATACTCACAGTACCGAGAAGCTGAAGCCAAATCTCAGTTTATTTTATGCCCAAATATTTGATGAAAATTGGCAAGAATTGAAAGACGTGGAATTAATTATGCCTATAACAATTGATAATATTCCAAAATTCAAGAATATTCATTTCCCTTCATATATTCCTATTCCTTTCCATAGAAGAACGCATACAGCAGCTTCATATGGTATAGAAGATCCCAGATTGTTACTTATGAAGAATAATTTTGGGTTTGATGAACCAATGATAGTATACAATGCGTATCACAGAGATATCCTTCTGATGGAGGAGGCTAGTAAGGGCTATGATCAACGAGTTAGTTTGAATCTTGGAATTATAAGATCCATATTCTTTGCATTCCCTTTCCAATTTGAATTGGGGATTCCTCCGGTAATAGATGGATTCTACAACCCTACGTATGACAGAGAATTGTTCAGCAAAGTCATCATTTTAGATAGGACAGGACGACAAGGAATACAGAAGAATTGGACACCTTTCATCAACCCAAATGAAAGAGTTAATGGAGTCGATACCCACATCTACTTAATTTACAGATGGGCAAAGCTTGAGATTATTAAGTGTGAATTATCTAGCTATTCGAGTAAGGGTAAATCATCGTGCAAAGTTGTATATAAAAAGGATAAGAAATTAGATCCTAATGCAGATGTTGGTGATTTTAGAGGAGGAACAGAGATGATACACGTTAATCAATACTTACCACATCTTAAACAAGACACTTGGGTAGGATTTCCTCGTGTTTCTATAAAAGGTTGTGGATGTGGTTTACGATTCTACAGACCAAATTTAGCCATTCTTACTAAGAATGAAGAGGGATTTGATTTACCATATATATCTTCACTTATAACCTTTGATATCCCAATAACCAGCTTCAATGGTAAAGATAATGTATGTGATGAAAGATTCCCTAATGTATTGCTTCCAAATGGAATTTCTAGTTGGGTTACTTCAAGTGACTCATCAGAAGATTTCTTAACAATCAGTTTGTCTGTATCTGACTCAACCAATCATTTACTTACAATTAAAAATTTCTTACCTCTTATTGATGAATTAATAGCCAATCAAGGATCCAATTCAATTACAGATAAAGTTTTAGATTGTGCTTTACAAGAATCAAGAAAGTTCTGTAGCATATATGGAGCTCAAAATTTAAACCAACAGGATATATAGATATATAGACTTGTACATGTATTATACTGCAAAATAAAAAATTTATAAGCCGTTCAATCATGTGATGTTCACATCGCAAAAATTGCTCTCTAACTATCCCGTTAAACGCATAATTCCATTTAAGAGCATATCATAGCAAGGAAAAATATTTCACTACGGCTTAACGATTATAACGTTATGTTACCTATAAATACAAGCTGAAGTGGTGAAATTTTTTCAAAGTTGTAGTTATTTGTCTTCTACTATAGACTAATAGAAAGAAGAAGATGGCTCAGTTATCATCTCAAGGCAGTAATGCCATTATATATTTAACTTATGCTTTCTTGTTATTTACAGGGATATTCTTAGCATGGAAATTTACAAATAAAACTCAATTCTTATCATCAAATGGTACCCAAAGAGGTATACCATTAGCTTTAAATTTTATCGCTTCTGGTAAGTAATAATTTATTTTTACCTTCTTTTATTGATAGGTTTCGACAATCTTACTTACTCGGTTTAACCGAAATTTGCTTTAACAGTCTTGTTTAGTAGCTTAGACAATGAACGACGGGTGTCCTCCGAAAGCGAGGACTGAGATTATACCGTTATACTCGATCAAGGTTATGCTTGCGTGAGAAAGTTTTATTGTTTAACTAGTTATAAAAGAACTATTGATCAAGTTGAAGGAGGGGATATATACTAAAATATGATAGTGACCGATGTGATCTATTCGGTTTGAGAGTTAAATATGTATCTTCCTTTAACTTTGTCAATTTATATGTAATTTCTAATACTAATTAAAGTTTAGCTATGGGATGTGGTATTATAACCAGTTATGGTCAAATCGCTAATATTTCCGGTTTGCATGGTTTATTGGTTTATACTATTAGTGGAGCTATTCCAATAGTAGGATTTGCTTGGGTTGGACCAATCATCAGAAAGAAGTGTCCCGATGGATTCATCTTAACTGAATGGGTCAGACATAGATTCGGAATTGTTACTGCTCTCTATTTATCCTTCTTTACTTGTTTAACTATGTTTTTATTCATGGTTGGTGAATTATCAGCCATTAGACAAGCTATTGAAACTTTGACCGGCTTAAATGCTTTAGGAGCTGTCATTGTTGAATGTGTTGTTACCTCAATTTATACTTCAATTGGTGGTTTCAGAGTTAGTTTTATTACTGATAATTTCCAAGGTGCTTCAGTATTAATTTTAATCATTATTTGTGCTGCAGGTATGGGTTCTTATATCCATATTGATACCTCATTAATTGGCCCAAGTGGATTATTAAAAGCTAATAAATTAGGATGGCAATTAATCTATATCTTATTAGTAGCTATTATCACTAATGATTGTTTCATGGCTGGATTTTGGTTAAGAACTTTTGCTTCAAAAACGGATAAAGATTTATTTATTGGTACATCAATTGCTGCATTTGTTACTTTTGCAATTTGTACTTTGGTTGGTGTTACAGGATTCATTGCTGTTTGGACTGGTGATTTAACTGTAGGTGATGAAAATGGTTCAAATGCATTTTTCATCCTTTTAAGTCATATGCCAAGATGGATTGTAGCCTTTGTAATTATTTTTGTTATTTGCTTATCAACTTGTACATTTGATTCGTTACAATCAGCCATGGTTTCTTCCATTTCTAACGATGTCTTCAGAAATAAATTACCAATGATTTATACCAGAGGTTTAGTTGTTTTAGTCATGGTTCCTATTGTTGTTTTAGCTGTTAAAGTCGCTGATTCTATCTTACAAATTTATCTTATTGCTGATTTAGTAAGTGCAGCTATCATTCCATCTTTATTCCTTGGATTAAGTGATAGCTGGTTCTGGTATATTACTGGATTTGACGTCATGACTGGTGGTCTTGGTGCATTAGTTGCTGTATTTGTTTTTGGTACTGTTTACTATGGTAATGCTCAAGATGGTGGTAGATTATTACTTATCTGGAATGGTATTTACGATCCAGAAGATTGGGGTGCATTTGGTGCTTTCGTTGTTGCACCATTTGGTGGTTTAATAATTACATTTGCTTCGGTCTTAGTTAGAGCCGGACTTTTCTACATAATCTCCAAATTAACTGGTAAACCATTCACTGTGTTTGATAGACCAGAACCTCCAACTCAAATCATCAAGGATACAGATGTAGAAGAAATTAGTTATGGATCTACACAATCAGATGATGATAAGAAAGTATTACTTCCATAGACGGACTTATAATTCCTGGACCATAATTTTAGTCTCTTAATCTTTTAATATATGTACAATTTTATTTTTGACAGGTGCCGCATATTACCGAGCCACCCTCTAAAATTAAATTTCCTTATCTCTGCAGCTAATTCTTTTTTCAGTTCCAAAGGAACAAACAATTTGTGCGCAAAAAACTTCGACTCATCTTCGAGGCAGCTGATGTTAATGGGACCATTTGTAAAAACCCATTGAACAGTATTAAGTCGCTATATCATATTTAATTGAAGTTGATTCTGGTTGGTTGGAGTATCTTTACGTAATTGGAATTGTTGTTCATTAGACTATAGATTATATTCATTTGTTGGTGAGTTCCTTATATATTTAAGGGCCCTCTACATACCTCATCTCCTCCTAGTCTCGAAGACTCGTTGAGACCCTTTCATAAATTACTATAACTATTCCACTCATTTTTTTTCATCTTCATTTTTATTTTCATATCAACATAACAATTGAAGTCTTAAAGTATAATCAATATCATGTATCATTTTGAAGTAAGTAGATCTAGGCGATTAGTACAAGTTGGTTGTGCAATCTTCTGGTGTCTATTATCGGGTGGTCCTATATTCGGATTTGCTGCTCTAAAACCAATTTTAATTAATGAACATGTTTACGAATATACTTGTGACCTTTCTATCAATGGAACTATGACAACTCCTTCTCCTTCACCATTCTATACATCACTTTTACATTCTTCATCCAACACTCTTACGGCCACGTTGCTTGGTAATTTCCTTAAACTGGATGAAGGAAATGGCAACCTTGATGGTATTGCTGCCAAATGTACGCCACAAGATTTAAAATTGAACTTCATGTTTGCTGTTGCAGCTGTGTTGACTAATGTTTCAGCTTTAGCTATTGGTAGAGTCTTGGATTTATATGGTCCAAGAGTATGTGGTTTGGTTGGTGCTTTATTCTTATACTTGGCATCATTTATCTTTATCTACACCAAGGAATTAGAGCCTTATTTTGATCCATACTTGATTGGTTATGCTTTTATGGCTTTAGGAGGTCCATTTGCCTATATTTCATCTTTTCAATTATCTAATTCATTCCCAAAAAATAGTGGTGCTATCTTAGCATTAGTTACAGGAGCTTTTGATGCTTCATCAGCAGTTTTCTTGATTTATAAAATATATTATATTAAATCTGATGGTGCTTTCACTTTGGCTAGTTTCTTTAAGTTATATTTATTTGTACCAATATTTATAACGATAGTTCAATTCGCCATCATGCCTTCAGATTCTTATAAAACTCCTACTGATAATACATTATGTGTCGATGATGAAATTGATCATCATCAACATGTTCATCCAACTACTTCACATAATGAAGCTTCAGGTGAAGCTGTAATTACATCTTCAGTTGATGAAACTTCTCCATTGTTAGATGAACATGTTGTTATGCCATCCCATCCTGTTAGAAGAGATTCTATCGGTGATGCATTGAAACAACCATATGTCGAAGAAGGAGAAGAATTCTTAATTGAACATACTGGTGGTGTTTTCGGTATTCTTCATGGATATTCTGCTCAATTTCAAATCAATACTCCATGGTTTTATTTAATTTGTCTTTTCAGTACTATTCAAATGTTAAGAATTAATTATTTTGTCGCTACTATAGGAACACAATATGCATATTTATTTCAATCTGTAACATTGGCAGATAAATTAAATAAGATTTTTGATATTGCTTTACCATTAGGAGGTGTCATTTCTATTCCATTTGTTGGTTTATTTTTAGATAACTGTTCTACAGTTACTGTTTTAAGTGGATTATTAACAGTATCATTATCAATTGGTATATTGGGACTCTTTGGTAATTATATTGCTGCTGTTATTGGAGTACTCATTTTTGTTGGTTATAGACCATTATTTTATACAACTGTTAGTGATTTCTGTGCTAAAGTATTTGGATTTGAAACTTTTGGTACAGTTTATGGTACACTTATTTGTATCTCAGGTATTGTTAATTTTGGACAATCTATTTTAGATGAATTAACTCATACTACATTTAATATGAATCCATTTCCAATTAACATATCTTTAGTATTAATAACTTTTATCATTGGTATCATTACTATAATTTATGTAAAGATTCAAGCCCGATTATTCAATGAAAAGAAGAGAAGAGAAGCTTCAAATTCTTCAAGACAATTTGGTTCTACAACCGCTTAAAATTTTAAAAACATATATAAAAAAAATTCAGCCTTATTAGGATTGATTTTCAGCTTATTACATAATTACATATAAGTTATATAAATATACATATACATTTACATTTCATAATTTTATGGACTCGCAACTTTGCAGCTTTGTTTTTAAATTTGCATCGATCGCTAAACGACACGCAAAAAACTATAAAAGTATTTTCCAACTGTGTTTATCAGTTCCCACCAGTTCCCACCAGTTCCCACCAGTTAAAATAGATAAGCATACCATGACTAGACTTAGCTTATTGCTAAGTATATTTATGGCATCTATGGCATATGCTTCTATAGGCGATAGGTTAATTGAATTTCAGGACTGTGTCAAATTATGTATATCAATTGAAGCTGATGCAAACGCACATCTAACCATTTTTCAAAAGATTGAAAATCAACGACAAGGTGGACATGATGTGGTTAATTCAGATGGTGATATAATATTTGAAAAAGATGATCCAGTTGATAATACGCCCAAGAAACGATTAACTGTTGCATTTACTGAGAATGACTTTCAATCTCCGAGATTCAATATATACTCTCCTTTAAAAGTATTATGGAGTCCGGAGAAGAACTGTAACTATAAATGTCAACAATTAATTACAGATTTACGATTAAGTCAAGGTCATGAAATGGTTCAATTTTATGGTAAATGGCCCTTTGTTCGTATTTTAGGTATGCAAGAGTTTTACTCTACTATATTCTCCTTAGCCAATTTTTATGTTCATTATCAAAGTCTCCGAAAAGTGATACTACAAGTCCATAAAAATCTGAAAGAGATTAATACATACAAATATCGTACTATGACATTGCAATATTTATATTTGATTGTTGTATCAATGTTTGGTTGGACTTTGAGTTCTATTTTCCATATTTGTGATAATAAAACAACTGAAAAATTTGATTATTTTGGTGCTGGAGCTATTATTTTAACCAGCTTAAATTGCATCTTTATAAGATACTTTGAATTGTTCAAATATTCTAAAGTTACAAGATTGGTAAATCTTATATTCTTGATTGTATTTTTATTCCATATTCGGAAATTAAATTTGAAATGGGATTATCAATATAATACAAACTTCAATTTAGTTATTGGAGTTTTTTCGATTATTCTCTGGTCACTTCAAGCTATAAGAGACTATAAAACATTCCAGTCAAATTATATTATATATAATAATTCCATACAATTGTTACCATTTGAAACGAAGATCCTCAAAAGGATAAATATCTCAGTTAAGCATATCCCGTTATTACCTATCTTCTTTAATTTATGGTTAGCTGTTGGAATAGCATTTGAAATCTTTGAATTCACTCCTTGGTTCAGATTAATTGATGGACATGCAATATGGCATTTAATAACAGCATTCCCGCCATTAATATGGTACGACTGGAATATTTGGGATATTGAGTTATTAAAGATTAGTGATAAACTAGCTACATCAAATTAAACTATATTATATTATTATAATTGGGTTAAGAGTTGTTACAGGTATAAACAGTACTTTGTATGACTAACTATAAAAATAGATAATTCCCATTAAAAGGAAAATAAAATGCTGAAAAAGTTGTTAAAGAAATGAATGATGACGTATGAAAGTAGAAGCCATGTATGGCAAAATTAATGCTGAAGATTTTGTTTCTAAATGGTATAATTTGAAAATGCAAAGTGAATCAGATGGATACTAAACCATATCTTCTGGTTTTTCGATCTTTTGACCGCTATCACTACGGCTATGACTAAAATGACTGGATTGATGAAGTTTTTGAATTCTTCTGTGACGAATAAAATTATTGATAAAGAATCCAATTTGAATAAGACATATAATTAATAAAATGGCTAATATAATATATTGTGTTAAATTCAAATGATGTACAATAGAACTTATGTCGAAGATTGAGTTGTCATCTGGATTTGACTTAATTATCTTTGCAGGATCAAATTGATAGTTCAAATTCAGTAACAATTTCTTGTCTACATCTCCTTCATAAAATGCATGTTCGCCTAATAAAAAGGGATCTGAATCAGGTAATGGGATCATTTTCTATGAATTATTGTATGAAAATTAAAAATAAAATGCAAAAGTAAATAATACCAAGGACAGTTAAAATCTTTGACTTTAATAGAAATAATATAGATTATAGATAAATCAAGGAAAACTGTAGTTATATATTCTTAAATTTATTTTGTATGTCTTGGACCCCAGTTATGCAGACAAGTGGCTTGAACAAATGATGACTTTCTTTTTCTTTAAACCGATAAATTGATTTACAGTAGTCAAGTAATAACTAGGGAAGATAAATTAGGATATAAGCGCAATATTTATATGTAGAGATGAGAATTAAATGAATACGAATAGGGATCATTGTTAATAATATTATTATTATTAATTGTGGTCATTACCTACCAGCAGTTGTTAATTGCATCCTTAACTTTTTCAAAAATAATTTTCCGTGTTATTGTTAAGGAAGACTATTATTATGTATTATTCTGCCACTGCTTTCATTTTCTCAAAGATTCATATCTAATAATAGGCGATACTCTGCTCATGACCAGCATTTGCCATAGTGAGAAAATGATAATATAAACAGGTCACAAAAAAGAAATTTTCTTTGTTTGCTCTTCTCTAATGCAGGAGTTAGCTGGAAGTATTTTAATTACATTACAATAGTCTATAATTATGACAGTTGGGGTAATGTTCCTGGTAGTTTTGTATCTTATTATGGGACTGATTACACTAGACAAATGATTTAAACGTTTAACTAATCATATCTTTTAATTGGCCCTTTTAATTGACTGCGTTGGTAACAGAGTTACTTATCTTACTGAGTTAGCCTGATTAATCAACTATACATTATAAACCAAGAATTATTCCCAAAGGGGCCACATGGGTAGTATACAGATAAATAAATGAATGTACGTAAACAAATGTCTTAAAAATAGTAATTGGAAAATTAGGACTGTTACTTACAACCTCAGTGTGTTGCGTTCCTGAAGTGGATAAGTAATAATCTGCGTGAGACTATGATGCAATTTTACATAGAAATTGGAAGCGAGCGGCTTTACTAAAAATCTAAATACTTAAATTTGTAAACAAAAATACGGTTTACGGAGACTTCCAAAAATAATCTTTTTAATGAAAGCTTAGATTTAAAGTATTATTTTAGTAAACACAATACAATATGTCAAAATAAGCCAGAACCCTATTTTTGGGAGTTTTCGAAGTCTGATTAATAATGCTGTGAAACAATTTCAAAAATTATATAAAGTTAAGTTATAATCTTTACAATAAGTGACGAACTTTTAGTAGAAAATCATTACGTGTATTCAATATTTTTCGCTTTACGTACGATTAAAACTAATTATGGATAAAACAAGCGATGTTTCTTCATTAGCTTACTTTTAACCGAATCATTATCTAAAGATGATGTTGATGATTTTTGACTTGACCTTGAAATTATAGAAGACTGGACTGAATAAATACTATGTTTTCGGTCATCTTTTTCTTGGCTTGTTGTTGTTGTGGAAGAATCTCTAACCAAATCAAGTATTACATATTTTAAGAAATGTTCCCACATTTCATATAATCTATCTAATTTCTTAGAATTAGATATCTTTAATCGGAAATTATCAATTACGGTTGTAATCATAAGTTCAATAGCTTGTTCGTTATTTTTAAACAAATTTTGATGAAATTCTTCATTCATGTAACTAAAATATTGGTAATTTAAATCAGTGAAGTAAAAATACTGTTCATTATAATCTCTCAAATTAACAAAGAAATATTCGAAGTAGTCGTTAAAGAAATTCTGAAGGTTCGTTAATATGGGTAGTTTCTCGTATAATTCATAATTTTCAAATTTGATATCTTGGTAAACGGCATTCCAAAATAAGTTCGATTGAAAAATGTTTTCTACATTGTGAACTTGCTCGTGTTGTTCGAACTTCTTAGACTGAGGTGATACCGGTGATGATTGACTCGTAGATGGTTTTCTTAATCTACGTATATAGTAGAGATCTTCTTCATATTCATCAATAACTAACTCACTAAGACTAAAACTCGATCTGTCAATGCTGCTATCTGTAATAGCATCATTGGCGGTTGTGTTAGATTGGCCATTCAAGGATGTCGAGTCTTCTGTCTCTTCTTCACTTGCTTCTTCATCGTATATTTTCTTCATATAGGCACATTTAAACTCGTTGTTTCTCACATAGGTATAATCGTATATGAATTCTTGAAAGTATGAATACCTTAATAACTGAACGTGCCTGAATGACATTAATTTGTGAATATGGTTATTGTCAGACATGTAAATAGCAGCATTAAGCTTTTCATTGAGGTGAGCATATTGAGTAGATGCTCCAGGAATTGAGTTTGGTGAGAATGGTGGACTAAGTGGCAACTGTTGTTCTTGTTCTTTAGGATTGTTTATTTCTGAATTTCCTCCTTGAGCTAGTCTATGAACTTGAGGAGATGCGACTGGTGAAGTTGAACTTCCAAAGCCAAAGCTGAAAATCTTAGATTTTCTTGTACTACCATTTGTACTGGAGCTCGAAGTAGATGAAACGCTTGGCCGTCTTGACGAAGGATTAGATTGTGAACCTGACCTTTTACGATTGTTCTCGGTCTTTCTAATGATCTGCTGTTGAATGGCAGCATTGGTTAAAAATAAATATGCAGACATAACGGCAATTTACCACACCTAATTTATAAAAATGTTCATAAAGGATAAAGGGTAAAGAAAAGAAAAATAAGAGGTATGTGAATTACATTACATTACATCACAATATGGGGGATCATGTATATATATATATATAGTAGAACATTCTTACATTTGAAAACTGGAGTTATAATAGCATACAAAATACCAGGGGTAGCATCCTATTGTTTACAAACGAAAGTACAAAAACATGCCGAAGTCTAAATCAATTTTTGCATTCGTCAAATTGTATTAAGCAAATATGCCACAAAGACGTGAAGCTAAAATCATAAATTATTAAAAGTTATAGGTTATTAAATTTAATTTTAATTTTAATTTTAAGCAAAAATAGTTAGTTATAGTCAGCCACCCCCTTCGCTATCTTGTCACACCTTGATAACAATAATCTAATCTAATTTATGTACCAATGAGTTTATGTGGAAAATCTGTATGTATAATAATTATGTATGTAATTAATGGCAAAATAATAAATGGAGCCGCGTAAATCATTGGGTTAAATTTGACACAAGATTAGATATGATAGTAACCGCCTTTTTTTATTTTAAATGTAATTAACTATAATTAATAATTAATATATTATCAGATGACGAGTCAATTCACGTGTGATGATGATGTTGTAATGTCGAACTTTGCTTGTTGATACTAGTATAATCTTTTAAAAGTTTCAGATTTTACGATCTTATTCAGTAATTATGTGATACCTACAACAAGTGAAAATTTTTCTTAACAATGAGCTCGTCTAGCCATTGTTAGTATTCAAACCATTAAATTAGACCAACCCCTCTCTAAGCAACGGCAAAACGAAACAGTATAAAGTGCAAAAACATGTAAACAATACCAATAGCCGTAATTTAACATTTCGGACTACATATTAGACAATGTAATTAGTACATTAGAGACAAAATAATTGAATTATACAATACGTATGATGGTTACATTTATGCATTCATAACTCTGGATAGACGTGGGAATATGCGAAAAGGGAAATTGCGATTGGCATTACATTCAATAAAAAAGCCGTTAGTATTGTTACACTGTAATGTATCATTAAGCCAAAATGCATATATGTATAAAAACTTCTTGTCAGGAGGTGTATATTAGAAGAGTAACTTAGAATCAATGACCAAAATATAATTAAAATATTGGATAATTAAAATGTTGGATAATTAAAATATTGGATAATTAAAATATATCTCGGGGTCAAAAACATACTGATAGTATAAGCGCTGATTCATTTAATAAAATAAACATTTGGTTTTTTCGATAATCATATTCGTTACTATTAAAAAAGTGGCTGAATTACAGCTCATTAGCCATACCATACCATTCCATTCCTTCTAATAGTTTCTCTAATTTTTTCTTGTCTTAATAAGAATATGATCCTTAGAACACCCTCGGCGTGCTATGGCATAATCAATGATTTAATTTAGTAAAAGCTAAAGAAAATTCTCTTCTTCCTAATCCGGACCGGAAAATATCAAGTTTCAGACCGGGAATTTAGAGTTGCATGGGATTTACACACATTCCGAGTCATATTTATAAGCCATTATCTATGAAATATGAGCAAACATTCCACTGGGAGAGCATTATCATACTATTTGCTGCGATGTACCTACTAATGGGACACATTGATATGAAATTGAATTCATATGATTTACATTAGGAGATTAAGTTATATACTAATTTACAGATCTCGCTAAATAAAAAAGATTTACTCGTCTAAAATTATTTTGTGATTGCCTATTTGGGATAAATTGAGAAAATTTTGCAAATGATTAACAATCGTATGGTAGCGTTCCAAGTCATGCGTTTGGTCACGTGTGTTATATCAATCAAGAAATTTGTTCTGTTAATTGATTATTCTATCTGCAATCCAGTGATACTTCACTTTACATCGGTCTATAATTCATACAGAAGTTTAAATAACTGCTCTGTTGGTATATAAAAATGGCAAGAAATCCAAGAGAGTCAGCTTCAGAGTCTGAATCGTCGAGACATGCATCTTCATCTGTCACTACAACTAAAAGTTCTCAAAAGGTTAAGAATCAAGCAGCTTTGCAAAAGCAACAACAATATCTTTCAAAACACATAAATTCTAACGGTCCACAAGATCAACCTAAGGTAGAGCCATTAGATTTTGAAAAGTTTGAAGATGACGTCTTAATCAAATATAATAAGAGATATGGGATGAATTTGCCTAATCCTACCAGTGTAAATAATGATATTTTAAATAGTGAAATTGGTAAAAAGACATACACGAAAAGGAATGAATCGAAACAATCCCCTAATAAAATCACCAAAGTGGAACTTGCAAATAAAACGAAGAATCATTTCTTAGCTTTACCTACCAAAGAGAACGAGATAATAACAAATTTCTTATATAAGGTCAAACATCAAGAAGATGAGTTTAAATTAACATTTAGATAGAGGTAGGGTATCAGTTAATTTAATTTAATTAGAATTATTAATTTTCATCTTACATTTATTTTCCATTCAATTCTTCCTTTCAACTAATTGGTTATTTCTACAGATTTAGCATGTATCATTATCATTATCATTATCATTATTGGTGTCTTTGACATTATTGGTGTCTTTGACATTATCACTTTTTTTAAACCGCCTAGCACATTTAAGGTTATATAGTACACTATTAAATACATATCTTATCTACTTTTTCCATTGCGTAGTACGTCTACTTGAAATAGTCGTATCTCTTCGTAATTGTGTAGTCTCATCTAAGTTAAGGCCGAGTTTTCCCCGGAAGAAAAAAGAAGCTTCTCTCACCACACTCGAAAAAATAAATCGTTGATAAATTCATTATGTAAATCACCTGTAGCAGTAAAGTACAGTGACTTGAATTCAATAATAACTACAATGGATTCATCTACCATAATTTTCATTGCCACATTGGCCATAGCATTTGTGTTCTTAAAATGGTTAATCACTCCTATACCTAGCTCACATGAACTTGAGCAATCTGTCAATCAATATCAGCAACAGCAACAGAACCAACAGGTTCAACAGAATCAACAAGGTCAACAAGGTCAACCACAAAGACGTAGAAGACAAGTAACAGATAGTATGATTGAAGTGGTTCAAGCCATTGCTCCTACTTTGACTCGAGAACAAATCATTATGGATTTAAATAATACTGGATCAGTCGAAGTAACCATTGAAAGATATATGGAATTAGGTGGATTACCATTACCTCCATCAACAGGTACTTCTACAGGTATTTCTGATATTACAAATATTAATGAAGCTTCTAGAACTTCTGGTACTACCAATGAACCAGTTATTCAACCTAGAAACGAAGCTTCTAAGAGTAAATCTAGTATTAATTTATTAGAGAAATACGATATTAAAGTTGATCAAGATACTGCAAGTTTAGCAAATAAGGAATTCTCGGAATTGACATTCCAAGAAAGGAGAGCTCGAATGATATTGGATGCTAGATCCAGATATGAACAGAGTTTGAAATAAGTAAATGGTTCATGGGGGTAACTATGTATATAGGTAATGCATGTATTGTTATAGAAGTAACTAAGTTATCAATGTTGGTACAATTCTACGCTTTGATTTGTCTTTCTTTACATCATCAGCAGCCACTTTAACAAAAAATTGATCTATAGTCTTCACTGTAGATGGAGCTTCTTCTATCGAATTCTCTTTATTGGATTCAGTATCTGGTGTTATTTCCTTTTCTTCTTTCATGTCTATATCGACAACTTCCCCTACATCAATATTTGTATCTTGAATGGTCACTTTGTTCTTTTCTTCTTCTTTCGCTTCATCTGATACCTCATTTTCTCCCTTTACAGGCTCAGGTTGTGCCACATATGGATCACCAAATGCTCCTTTATCAAATGAAACAATTGAACAGAATCCATCTGTTGATGATACAATTATTGTTTCTCCAGTAGGGTCCCATGCTACATCAGTAATATAACTGTAATGCATGTTACAAATATACCCTAATGGCTTGAAATTTATAGTATCATAAATGACTACTGAGTCTTGTGTCGCCACAGCAAAAACCATCTTGTAGGGCATTGACAATTTTGGCGATGATAATTCTGTTGGATGTAATTTATATAATTTGGGATTAAATGATATGGCTGTAGCTGGTTTATTCAACCCTGATAATTTAAATATTGGTGAATTACCTAGACTCTTTCTGCTATATATATATACGGAATTCTTAATAGAATCTTCTTGATTATTGTTATTATTTGTATTATTATTATTTGTATTATTATTGGTGATGTTGTTTGTTTTACTTGGAGAATTGCTTCCATTATCACTGGAAGAAGTTATAGCTGTTGATGTATTAGAAACTTCTTCAATTCCACAAGGAGTAATTAATAAACTTCCATCAGGTGAAAAATTCAATCTTCGGAAAAATGACTGTAATGTTTCAGGATAGTACATGAAATGATTATTGTATTTTAATAATTTGTTGGAGTACTTGACATCCTTAATGGTACCATCAGGTGCATGAATTATCTTATATATTACAACACTTCTATCAGATGATTGACTTGCTATAAAATCATTCTGAGGATCCCATGTAACCCCTTGGATATAATGTGAGTGATTTTTAAATGTATACACCAATTTCCCATTTAACCTATGATTAGAAATATCTTGAAAATCTAATTGATAAATTCTTAATGTATTGTCCATTGATCCAGTTACAATATATTCATCATTAGGAGACCAACAAATATCATTGATTTCAGACATTGATGATCTTAACTGTAAGATTACTCTCCATGATTCTTTTACATCATCATCCTCTTCATTATCCCCCTGCAGTTCAAAATCTCGTATGATTTGATTCGACATTTGCCATATCATTACGGTTCCATCATCTCCTGCTGAAGCAAGAAGAGTACCTGCTTTATTGAATCTCACAATATTTACTGCCTGAGTATGTTTTCGTAATGTACTAAGATATTCAACATTTGTATTGGGTTGGACTTGGCCATTAGATTGACTAGTTTCTATATGTTTATGATTGATACTCCATATTCTAATATTATTATCTCCACCTCCAGTAACCAATCGGGATCCTTCTACCCCAGGTTGGAAAGTCGCAGAGTATATAGGCTGGTTATCGTCATGCCAATGGACTGTGATGGTCGACGCATTCATCTTGACTCTTCAATGTTGAGTATTTCTTCTGTTATGACTTGAATCATACGTTGAGAAAATTAAAGCTTGGACGCGTTTGATGAATTAATTTTTCTTCTGCTTATTTACAGGTATAGTTGCAAAAAAAGAAAATGCAACAGTACCGCAACCTTCTCTACTATTAATTACATCCCTCAAACTGCCTTCTGATCAATATTTCTGGTATCTCTGAAATTAAAGAGTATGACATGTTCAGTTAATTATCAAGGCAGAAGCAAGGAAAAATCGAATTGCAACATGACTATACAATCACCAAAATTAGCTTCTAGATTCTTTACCTGATAAAATTTAAATTATAGATCACTTGAATCAGCTTGATGTTCTAGACCTATGTCTTGTCAATTCAAGGTTTTATTCGTTGTGTATGAACCAATTATTCAAGAGAGCATGGCTTATCAGTCCAGGTAGCGATAATCCCATAATTCATAGAAAATTGAATACATTTATACATACAAGTTTCACAATCATAAGTCCAATTAAATATTTAGAGTACGGCAATTCTCGTTTTAGGAAAAAATTTCAAGTCTTTGTAGATGAGGGACCTTTTCATGAAATGAATGATGCACATTACATTAAAGTCGCTTACTTTGAGGATCACGAATTTTTCGAAAAGTCAATGTTTGAGTACAGAGTGTTGGAAATAGAATTCACTAACAGAACGAATATCCAAACCTATATTAATGATATACAAAGAAATAAAAATTTCATTTGTTTGTTTAAACAATTGAAAATTCTGGCTGGAGGGCACATACCTGATGAAATTATCATCCAACTAAAAGGGATCTTTTTTGGAATAAATTCTTTATGTTTGGAAATTTACAAGTTTCATGAACAAATCTGTCTTTATTCCAATGTGAAAATATCAAAGAACTTCAGTTATATTTGGGTCTCGATTTGAATGATTATCTACATTTTCTTCCACTCATGATAGATTCAATGCCAAACTTAAAGACACTTGTAATAAATCCACTGTTATTTCCATTTCCAATAGAAGCATTAAAGCAATTATCTAAATGTTTACTCCAAAAATTTTGTCTAGATGTTTATGTGTTTCCTCTGTCAGAACATTCTAAACACAATAGTGACTTAATCAAGACTTTATTTAATTATTGTGGATCGAGTCTCGACCTTGTCAAGATAAGTGTGTCACTAGAGACAACATTATCAACAAGTGATTTATTTTATGAAAATGAATATGATGACAGTTGTACAGGTTTGAGGAAAGAAGTTAAAAGGATAGTCCTGTGGATAAAAGAAAATATAAAACTTTACCCAAAGCTTCAGTATTTTACATTCTATAATTATCTGTTTGTAATAGACAGATTAGTTGAACCATGTCAGTGGATTCAAATTAATGGAAGGAAGTTATAAAGCTCTTTTTTTCTTTTCGTTTGTAATTTTATACTATAGCATGTTAATAATCTAAACTTGAAACAAGACAATCTTAGGATGTGGATTTTAATAAATGACTTATAATTTGGATGAGCTTTCCTTACACTTTAACTGAATAACATAAGGAATCTATACATTTCAAATTTTCTTTTCAACCTTCTATTAATAATATGAATAATGTTTGTGTTAGTCATCTATATACTGTAATGACCTTAATAAAAAGTATCTTATTAGTGGTAAGATATAATTTTGCAACCATGAATTTCAAATTATATTAGTTGAAAACGTGACCTGCGATCATGTGATTCGCATATCAAAAATTTTTTTTCTAGAACTATCAAGAACAAAAAGACTCACTAGCACATCTCGTTGTGAATAATCAAGACGGAGAAGATCCATATATTCGATCTGGTAAGAATATAGATCTAATAGAACTAGACCAATTTTCATAAATAACCTGTACATATTAATATTTGTATTATTTTTTATTTCAGATCTCTAGAAATGAGGAATACCATAATATTAGCTAGTTCTAAGAACTTATTATCACGCACTATGTTTAGAAGGTCACTTTACAGTATTGCTAGATCAAATCGTTCATTACCTGCTAACTATAAAAGATGTCAAACTAGGTTGTTTCATTCATCCAACAGAAGTCTAATAGACTTTGATCCTTATAAGATCTTAGGAGTTACAAAGAGTGCAGATCAAAAGGAAATCAAAAAAGCTTATTATCAACTTGTCAAGAAATATCATCCTGATGTTAATAAGGAAAAGGATGCTGAAACTAGATTTCACAAGATTCAAGAATCATATGAATTATTGAGTGATAAAGAAAAGAGAGCTCAATATGATCAATATGGTGCTGCTGCATTTGATGCCAATGGGAATGCTAATCCATTTGCTGGTGGTGGTAATCCATTTGGAGGTGCTAGTGGTAATCCATTTGGAGGTGCTGGTGGTAATCCATTTGGAGGTGCTGGTGGTATGGGATTTGATTTTGAAGATTTATTTAGAGAAGCTTTCACAGGTCAAAGAGGAGGATCTGGCCGTGGTAGATCTGCTTACGTTACTGAACATGTTGGTGATGATATTGAAGTTTTGAAAACTATTTCCTTCAAAGAATCTATTTTTGGTTCGAAATTGAAAATCAATTATAAAGCAGTTGATTCTTGTAATACTTGTCAAGGAAGTGGATTAAAGAAAGGTAAGAAGAAATCAACCTGTCCAACATGTCATGGTACTGGACAAAGTACTCATATTTTGGGAGGATTCCATATGTCATCTACCTGTGGTACTTGTCATGGATCTGGAGTTCAAATTGCTAAAAATGATGAATGTGGAACCTGTCATGGTAATGGAGTTGAAGAAATTCCTAAGTCAACTGAAGTTGAATTACCTCCTGGTATTAAAGATGGATCAAGATTAAGAATTCCTGGTGCTGGTGATGCACCATTTGTTGCCAAAGATGCTTATAATAGAACTAGAAGTGGTGATTTGATTATTAGAGTAAGTGTATCTAATGATTCAGTTTTTTCAAGAGAAAACAATAATATTGTTGTTAATCAAGATATTTTAATGACAACCGCAGCTTTAGGTGGGGAAGTTGTTGTTCCAACCATTGATGGAGAAAATATTAAATTGAAGGTTAGACCAGGAGTTCAAAATGGTAGAAAATTAACTATTCCAGATAAGGGGGTTCCAATTAATCGTAATATTAACAATAGAGGTGATTTAAATGTTATTTTAAATGTCAAGACTTTAATTCCAGAAACTCCAATTCAAACTGCCTTATTAGAAGCATTAGCTGATGCTTTCAATGATAAGAATGCTAAGAGAACTGATTCAGATTGGAAATTAGATTTAGGTGATGATAATAAGAATGATAAAACAATAACATATGATGAGAATGATTTACATCCTTCACATTTAAATCGTATTGGGAAATTTTTAGGTAAATTCTTTAACTTTGAAGGTAACTCCAATAATACTACTACTAATAATAATAATAATAATACTAATAATAACAAGGCAAATAAAGACAAATCTAAGAAAGATAGCGGTGAGAAGCAATAGAAGAGTATATTTATTGAAAAGATTAGGTTTGATATGATAGAGTCATCGCTACTTGTAAATATTGAAAGATGAGAGAACTTTTTTGCTGGTGCCTAATTTGTATATATTGATATATGACTATAGACTTTGTAAATATGTGTAGTCATAAACATATTATGATTAATTAATGTTTATTTATATTAGATATTAAGGCACTTGAGCTTTAAAGCGTATTACAATTTTGAATTAAAGGTGTGGTGGCTGAAGGTAAAAGCCGAATCCCGAATACCGAAACCCGAACCGAATACCGTATACCGAATATCGAGTAACGAGTATCGAATATCAAACTCCAAACACCAAATACCGAACTTTGATCACATTATGGACCCATTCGCACACAGTTGACATATCAGATCAATTCCAGTCTGTCATATATCCGCAAGTTCCGCAGGATGGGGTTTGGTGTTTGGTGTTTGGTGTAGATTGACTGCAAAAACACATTGACGCGTCCAACTGTAAACGCGAATTGTTTGAATTTTTTTTGTTTACATTTCAATGGAGTATACAATCTCTGGAGCAAAATTACTCTACACTAAACTAACCACAATGATTGCTCAGGGTATTCCTGCAAGCATAGTCATGTCAGAGAAGGAGCGAGGGAGCGAGGGAGAATTTCACTTCAAACACGGTTGTGATTTATAGTTTAGAATCAGCACACTTTAGAGACATTTAACTTATAATGGTAGTCTTAACTTAAGTTTATCATAGAAGTTTAATTTCAATGAATAAACGTTAAAGATCAGTAATTAAAAAGATGGAAGTATACGTCTACTTACCGCATTGGCTTTTAAGAAAGCATAGAATGGGGAATTTAATGTAGTTTATTAAATTGATGTGATCCAATTTGGGAAGAAGGGGGAACTGGTGGCACAAAATCTCGCTAATGGATAATGCCATACATATTAAAAAAATAGTAAATGAAAAAAATTGTTCTTAACCGTGTCACACATATTTAACAATCAAATAACTTATTATCTCGTATATTACATCCATAGCATTCCGAGTGAGTTCAGTTATTGTTCATTGTCTTCTCGAGGTTCAGGTTCATCGGATTGTTATTATTTTTTTTATTATTATTTAATATTTGTTTTTATTATTTATTGTTATATAATACCGTTGAATACTTATTTGTGGTAGATGAATATATATACTAAATACATCCCAATATCACCAACTGTCTGTTGATCTCCATCTCATCCCATTTACTTTTACTTTTACTTTTACTTCTACCAGATCCTTGTAGACCAATTAAGTTTCTGATTGGATAAGAAATAAAAAATAACAAAGCGCAAAGCGCAAATATCACCAAAAAAAATAAACTTACGCTTTTCGTCTAATAGACGATAGTTCAACTAACCAAATTCATAAGATCCCCTTCCTAATTAGGGCCATCCAAGCCAAGTATCTTGAAGGTAACAGAGTCTATTGGTCCTTGTGGTATCCACCTAGTCATTCCTTTTTTCTTAATCTTATCTCTAGCTTAAGTTAGCATAAGTTAGCTTAAGTTAGCTCACTTCAGTCTTTCGTTTATTATATAAAATGTCACTCGCTACAAAACAACTACCAAAAGTTCCTATAATTATAGATAATTCACCTAAATTAAATGATAAGGATCATGAACATGATGTGTTAAAACCTTTAGAAAGAAATAAAAAACCATCACCATTAAAACAACAAATCACTCGATCTTCATCTTTAAGTAGTAATGAATCAAAAAAATCAGCTTCAAGTACTATAAATTCATTAACTGTTAATATGAATAAAAATGGTACCAATGGTACAAATGGTTCTGCATACTTAATTCAAGTAAATAAAACTCCTATTAATTTAACTCCATCTCAAAGATTAATATTAAGAAAATCTCAATTAAATGATTCTATAGGACAATTTAAATCAAATGATACTCATATTGGAGGTAGTAAAATGAATATTAAGCATACTTATAATCCTCAAGATTTTGATTTCCAAGATGAAATCATTGATGAAGGTATTTATCGTAATGCTTATATGAATAATTCAGATATACCATTTGTTCAACCAGTATTATCAGTTAATTATCATGATTTATTATTTCAAGATCCTTTGCAACAACATAATATATCGAATAGCAACAATAATATCAGGAAATTTTCTTTAACCAATACAGATTCTTCAACTCGTACATCATCTATACTAAGTATGGTAGATGATACAGGAAATGATACAACCAATTCATCGGTTGTTAGTGTTAATGATGAATATTATGAAAGACCCAAATTTTATAAGAGTTCCTCATCATTATCAATTAGTCAAGTAGATTTTAATAGAATATCAAAGGATGCTCAAGAACTTACATTATTATTTAATCAAAATGATCAAGTACAAATGTTTGAAAAGAGTAATCAAATGAAACAAATGTTGACGAATTTTAAGAAATTGAATTCTTCATTACCTTCAATACATTCAGAGACAATTAATTCGCCTCCATCACCATCAACAGATGTTGAATTAAGACGATCTTCATTACCTAATTCATATCAATCATTCACCAGACCCACTTATTTACCTCCAAAAGATATTAATGATAGAATAAGACATCAAAGACTTTCTAATGAAATGTTAAACAAAGCAGTTATGAAAGAATCTGATAAACAAATTAAAAATTTACATCGATTAGAAAAGATTAAATGTCAAAAACAACAAGATCTTAAGATATGGAATAAACTTGTATTAGAAACAGACCTTAAAGGATTTAATGCCCGAATTAAATCGACTAAACATTTTGAAGATTTATATTGGAGAGGATTAGTTGATCAACCAGAAGATGCAAATGAAGATAATATCAGACGACAAGTTTGGTGGAAAGTTTTAAATTTGAATTATTCATTAAATACTAAGGAGAATGAAGAATTCTGTGATTACTATTTTGATAAGTATGAAACTCTTAAATTGGGTAAATTATTAGAAATCATAAAGCAAGATATGGCTACGGTATATTCCGATATGCTTTGCTTTCAAAATCAAGATGTCATAACTAAATTAACTAGAGTTGTAGTATGCTTTAGTTGTTTCTTACAAGATAAAGATAAACAACAAGTTAAAGATAAACAATATGAATTAATTGAGTATTATAATCGAGGGTATGTTACATTGGCTGCTCTGTTGTATTATAATTATAAAAACAGTTATAAGACATTAATAACTTTACGACAATTCCATCAATTTAGTGAAGAAGTATTATCAAATGCTCAATTCACTAATAAATTTGAAGACAGCTTTAATGCCAACTTTCATCGTCTAAGAACACATTTTAAGATTATAGATTTAAATCCCGTCGAGTACTTACCGGAATTAATAAAATTCCTGTTAACTAATTTAGTTAATTTTGAAATATCTCAACATATTATAGATCTAATAATATTTGAACATTCAAGCAATTATGAGAATTTCTTAATTCAATTAGTACTTGGACTATTTTCTCAAATTAATTATAAATTATTTGGATCAAAGGAAGAAGTTCTTAATGTATTAATACCGCAATATAAGGATAAGGAAAAGGATAAGTATAAGGTTAAGGCTAATAGAAATAATGAAATGAATGGTTATTATTTAAATGTGGGTCATGAGTTTGATTTTATAGATATAGTTAGAAACTTAAAAGTATAGGTATGGTATGACATCGTAGTTGTATATAATACAGATCCTATTTATTATTACTAAAACTATTGCTTAGCTTCATTAAGACACTTCAATAATTCTTTACCATCATCGGCCTTCTTAACTTTAACAACATATGTTTCCAATTTACCTTCACCATTAATATTAGGAATCTTAATCATTGATCCATCTCCTAATGATGAATATACTATTTTCAGAGATATAGCTGCATTAAATAATACTCTTAATCCTCCATCGGCTCTCATTAAAATTCGTGATTTACCACTATCTTTATTCTTTAAAATTTTAAATTCTCCAACTCCCTTATTAGTATATGGATTTTCTTTATTTTCCGAATTAAATATCATTAATTTAGCTCTTTGACTATATAAAGTATCTTCAGATTCTTCTCCAGTGCTACTTTCAACTTTTTCACTAGCTAATGAGGCTACTGGAGTGAAATTACCTTCAACTTCTACTTCTTCTACTTTATCATCTTCTTCTTCTCCGGCGGTGGCAGTAACTGAATCTTCTTTCTTTTCTTGCGGTTTGAATGAAAATGAATTACCTCCAAATAAACTGGATCCTCCATTACCATTACCATTACCAATACCCGTACCATTTGCAGTACCATTACTACTTCCGAATGAAAATGCTGGCTTATTTTCATTAGAAGTGTTATTAGAATTGAATGAAAATGATAAACCTGAATTAGGTTTATTATTATCAGTGGTTGTTGAATTACTACTTCCAAATGAAAAGGCTGGCTTATTTTCACTAGAAGATTTATTAAAGCTAAATGCTGAAGTTGTGGTGGTACTTGCACCAAAACTGAATGGCTTTGGAGCTTCAGTCTTTTCATCTGAACTAGTTGATGATGCAGGTGGATTAAATGAAAATGGTCTTGGAGTACTACTAGAGCTATTAAATGAAAATGGTAATGGTTTGTCTGAAGAAGTTCCATTGTCTGATGCTTTATCTTCCTTAGCAGGAAATGTTGCAGTTGGAGCTTTTATAGATCCGAATGAAAATGGTTTAGCATCAGTAGATTTATTTTCATTACTGAAACTGAAAAGTGATTTGGGTTGTTCGTCTTTCTTTTCCGTGCTAGTAGTAGATGCACCAAAGCTGAAAGCTGGTTTTGTTTGTGATCCATTTGATGCACCAAAGTTGAAAGATGGTGCTGGAGCTGGTGTTGATGTTGAATCATTGTTAGTGGTGGTGGAACTTCCAAATCCAAAGACTGGTTTGGTGGTTTCATTGTTAGTAGTCACGCTTGAACCAAAAGTAAATGGTTTAGGTGCCTCTTCTTTCTTTTCAGTTGATGGTTGGAATGAGAACAATGGTTTTGGTACAGCTGGTTCTGATGCTGCTGCTGCTGGTGCTGCTGCTGCTTCTTTCTTATCCGCAACTGCTGTAGCTGCAGGAGGTTGGAATGAGAATAAAGGCTTTGGAGCAGCCGGTGTCTCTTCTTTAGAAGCTGAATCGAATTTGAAAACATTGTCCTTGATAGGTTTATTAAAGGTAAATGTAGGACCCTTAATTTCTATTTCACTTTCACTATCAGAATCTGAATCAGAATCATCCTTTGGCTTTTCAACTTTAGGACCAAATGTAAATGGTGATCTTTTAACAGTAGGTTTTGATTCAAGAGTAAATTGTGGACCTTGAATCTTTATATCCTTTGGTTTATCATCTTCATCGTCTGATTCAGAATCAGATTCGGAATCTGATGAATCCATCGATGCATCTTGTTTCTGAGTTGGTTCAGGATTTGAAGCAGAAGTTGTACTACCATTAGAAGTTGGAGGTAATGAGAAATTAATGGAGGTAGTAGGTATACTTGAAGTTTCTGATTGTTTAGTGTTGGTTGTAGTTGTAGTTGATTCAGACTCCTTTTCTATTTGTTGATAATATTCAATATATTTATTAAGTATTGGAGTAAAGTTTACAATGGTATTAGCAGTATGCTTTTCCTTTAATGATTCTAATAATTTGATATTTAATGCCTTTATCTTATTATTTCTATCATCATCTTTACTGGAAGCAGATGATACTGGTGAAGGAGTTTGAAAGTTAGAAAAAGGATTCGATGGAGTTGACAGAGGTACGGTAGCAGATGGAAATTTTATACCTTTAAATCCATTAGTACCTGTATTACCTAAATGACCTCGAGGTTTTAATATCTTTCTCGAAGATAATATTTCAGTCGATGCTACTTTAGCATTACCTCCGATGATACCATCTTCACCATCTAATTCATGGAAATTCTCTCTAGTTAATTGATCGTCGGCGATTCTTTTAGACATAGTCAGTATTCCAGTTAGTAGAAACTTCAATGAAGGTAAATATATATGTGTAGAGACTTTATTGTTATAGGTTTACGGATATTGATGGCTAGTTATAATTAATGTTCCCTTTTAGTAGGAGTACTTTTCCGGCACGTGCAATATGCTCATGTCTGGGGCTGTAGCCCTCAGAGTCACATAAGCACCTGATATTGCTGCACGTGACACGTATTCCTGTACATATGGATCATAATTCAAATAAAAATTTTATCTCATAGTTAACAGTCGCACTGAGACATTTTGTTAGGGAGAGTCAATATCCACTACATAGTTAATTAAAATTTGATATAGTTTCTTCTTTCAACTTTTAGTTTAGAACAGTAAGAATCGTCAAATAAGTATGTGTTCAATAAGATATATTAAGATGAATGAAGTAGAATAATGGAACAGGAATCAACTGATCAGAGGATTAAATATCAGTATTATTGTATTAGATCGATGGAGGAATTACTAGTTGAAAATTTATCACAAGTGAAGTGACAAGATATAATAAAAGAAGTTGTAGTTGAAGCTACAAAGTAATTTAAATAACAACTACGAAGATAATATCAACGACTTTAGTAATACGAATAGAGTAAATCCAGTGTGTTTTAGTTAAACAAAAAGATTTTGATCATTAAAAGTAGTAATGTGAAGAGGAGTGCTTAATGTCATCACAAGATCAATCAATACATGTGGAGTGTGTGGGAATTCGGTAATTTCAGAATTCTAATTCTAATACTGAATCCATGCTGTCACTGTGATTTGTCTTGTTTTGTTCTTTTTTTATTATTATAGTATAATTAAAATTATTCATCCGAATTTTAATTGAAATAAAGTTCATTATCCCTGATTCAATTTATTCATTGATTCTGTGTTATTCCTTCAATTCATCATACTAGTTCTTTCAAAAAAAACTTTTATACTAACTATCTCTTTTAGAAATGGCTCCAAAGGTTCAACAAACTAAGGCTGCTAAGGCCGCTGCCGCTTTAGCTGGTGGTAAGAAAGGTAAAAAGAAGTGGAATAAAGGTAAGGTTAAGGATAAGGCTCAACACGTTGTTGTCTTAGACCAAGAAAAGTACGACAGAATCTTAAAGGATGTCCCAACCTACAAATACGTTTCTGTTTCCGTCTTAGTTGATAGATTAAAGATTGGTGGTTCCGTTGCCAGAGTTGCTTTAAGACAATTAGAAGATGACGGTATCATTGTCCCAGTCTTAAAACACTCCAAACAAGCTATTTACACCAAAGCTAACTAAATTTTTTAGTTATTAATGTATAATCATATTTTCATATTAATATTATAGTACACCATATTGTATTATGATATACAATACATATATATAATGAATGTATAACAAACACAATATATATTACCTCCACGTATAATATTACCCTATATAATAAGAATTGGTCTTCGCTTAACTTCCCTTTTACTTTGCTTTGCTTTGCTTTTCTTAGCTTTGTCTATGATCGTCTACAAATGACGGTCAATTCTCGTTGAGAGCTATACATTTTTTCACACCTAAATAATCGCCAAATTGGCAGCTAAAATCTCTCACCATAGTATACATGAAATGATGAGATCTGTATCTGTAGGTATATCTACCCTCCGTAGATCTACTTACCGGGCTGTTGTGTGGCCTTATAATACTCATCACATTATTGTTCAAGCTCGTCTGTTTGTAAACTTACCGAAACCGATATCATTATTCAAATCGGAACCGCAAGCTTATGAAATCACCAAAGTAATTACTTCATGCAATTCCAAACTCCTTTTCGAGATTGTGAGTTCAGTGGATCAATACCAAACCTTCATTCCATTCTTGCATGATTCCTTTGTTTCCCATCGTGATGAAGTCACGGGTTTACCATTAGTGGCAGGTTTACGGGTAGGATGGAAACAATACGATGAAATATTTAATTGTAATATTAAAACTATCACAAATAAACAAGTGATTGCAGAAAGTGTGAGTGATGATCATGAAGCCAATTTAAATACAAGTCGAGAATCGGTGTTTGAATTCTTAAGAACCGAATGGAATTTTGTCGATGTCACTCAAAACAAATGTAAGGTGCATCTTAAGTTAAACTATCAATTCAAGAATCCGCTATATAATTCGCTCAGTTCACTATTCAATCAACAGATTACCGACATTATGATCAAAGCATTCGAATCAAGAGTAAGGGAACTACAACGACATCAATGAGCGAAAAAAGAAAAAAACCTTTGTATAATCTATAAACCAAATCTAAAAAAACATTAAGATTAGTATAAATAAACCGACCGAACCATAACTTGTATAAAATGTATAGATAAATAGATAGAGGGTCTTTTTAAAAAAAAAGACCAGAATAGATGAAGTTCATAATAATTGAACTGAATATATAGCGTCAAGTCGTATTTTGTAATATTGCTGGGTTAAAGCTCCTTAGGAATCAATCCATGGGATCCAACAAGATATTCTTTTAGGAAATGATTAGGAACTTTTGTTAAGGCAGTTTCAGGTAAGTTAAACCCACCCATTGAGAAACTACGAGGTTTCCTTGAAGATTTAGAACTTGAACTATTGGTGGATGGACTATCCATAATATAGTTCAGTAATGAAGTGGTTGATGGTGATGAAAATATTGATGAATTTAAACTTACAAGACTTGTATTACTTGCTGGAGAAAATAATCCTGGTGATGAAGATAATGGTTGTTGTTGTAATTGTGAATCACCATTCATAATACCTGGAGTATTATATTTAACATGTTTTAAATATGCAAAACTTAATGGAGATAATGATGTTGGTTTAACTAATGATTTTGAAACCCATGAATCTTCCATAGTTAAGGGTTTAATACATCTTAAACAATTCTTATAGTATCTTCTTTTGCTAGGAGCCTTTTCAGCTGGATTCCATTTATAATCTTCAAATCTAGAATAAGTTGAAGAAGGGCGATTAATAGGTTGAGGAGTAGAACATGAAGATAATAAGGATTCTTCGATAGCCAAATCATTAGGATTAGGTTGGCTTTCTTCTTCAACTTCATCTTCTTCGTCTTCTTCATCATCTGAATGATGTAAATCACTTAAATTCTGAATATCCTCTTCATCATAATCTTCATTATAAGTAGAAACACTCAAGCTGGTTGCTACTGTTGGAGTTGTCATTACAATCTCAGGGATAGTATTCGATCTTGTTCTGCTATTGACAGTGGATGCTGGTGCTCTTCTTGAAATTGAGGTTTCACTAGCTCGGCTCAACAATTCATAGTCTTCTTCATCATAATCATCTTCATCTTCGAAAGTTGAATTCAATGCTGAATCATCTTCGTATTCAGATTCTGAATAGATGGAGAAAGTGGGTACAGAGTTTGATCTAACTGGTTGCAATTTAGATGATGTGGTAGGAGTTGTAGTAGAAGTTGATGGTGTTGAATTATGACGGTTTCCAGAGGATGATGGTGACATGGTAGTAGAAGCCAAAGGCGAAGATGAAGCTTTTAAAGGAGTTATACTTGTTGATGAAGATCCAAATTTAAATTTCAATTTAGATAATTTGCCTCTGAGCTTGCTATTTGGATCAGATTGTGATCTTAATCTTTTATTTAACACTTGGTGAATTAATTGTTCGTGATTACTGGTTGTTGTATTTGATGTAGAAGCGTTACCAGTACTTCTTCTTCTTCTTCTAGGTACAGTTCTATATTTAGGTAATTCACGATCATTCAAGTCCAAGGCAATATCTTTACCAATATTAATGGCCATATTCCAATCAATCAAATCCTTAGTATTACTAAAACTAAGAAGAATTTGTTCACTTTCAATACGTAATCTTAATACATTGGGTCTCTTCTTATAGTCTACTGCAAGACCAATTCTCGAATGCTGGAGGGAATAACTTCTGATTAATTTTTTATTGGTAACATTAGATGGAGTAGATGATGATAATGAAGACAGTGATGAAGAACTTTCAATAATATTCAATCTTTGACAGAATTTGAAAAATTGAAGATCATGATCATCAGTAAAATGACTTATTAAATTCCTTAATTCTGATTCTTCAAATTCATTATAAGTTCTATCAATTGATTGAGGTATTGGCTTAAAAGATAATAAATGGGTTTCCAAATTTGAAGGAATTGAATAGAAATTTAATTGAGTAGAATTTAATTCCATGATAATATGCTTCCATGATCTTGAAGGTGAAGCTTCAAATGGAGTTAACCATTCCATTTTACGTGCTACAATTCCAATCTTATAAATAGATGGTGAATAATTTGGAAGTTGTTCTTGGTGAGGTGCAGGGTGGTGATTTATAACGGGATATCTCGGACATCCACCTGGTGGTAAAGTATCATACGCAGGAGGAGATACAGGGAATGGTTCTATAAGTTGCAAAAAATTATCTTGGTTTGAGTAGTAATATGGGATTGACTTTTTATTATTAGTAGTATTAGTATTAGTATTAGTAGTAGTATTATCAATATTGGACTTTTGCTTAGGAGAAGAATTTACTGAAGGACTATTAGTAGTAATATTTGAAGTAGATGTGGTAGGAGGGGTTAAAGGTCTTGATTTGGAGGGGCTGGGAGGTCTTGATGCAATATTATTGGAAGATGTTGAAGATGCTGAATCTGAAGGCAGATATGACGGAGATAAGTCTGATGCGGATCGAGTAGAACTTGAACTCGAACTCGTACTTGAACTAGTTGAAGTAGATCCTAGAAGTACTGCATGTTTGGTAGGTGAAGGAGATCTTTCATTTGTTGATGTGATGGATGTTTGTACTGTCATATGATTATTAAGTACTGTTGGAGAGAGTGAGGGTACTGTGGATATTATTGAAGACATATTTAATTCTGATTTGCAATTATTACTAGGACAAAAATCTTGTTATTTGGCTATTTACGATTGGAACGTAATACCTTATAAATTTGGCTGACTTCGTAATAACTTTATGAATATATATGTACTGGAAATTTAACTCGTTAACGATTAGTGTATCCTATCTATTTTTAACAATCATGAAACTGATTAACAATGAGGAAAATATATTTAATGGGAACTGAAAAGTGTGGTTGGTGAGTTACAGTTGCAAGTAACGGACGGATAAAGGACGGTAACAGTATAGAAAACAAGTAGTTGTTGAATAATAAATATATAAAAATCACCAAATAGTATTCAAAAGAATTTCCGATGGTTAACCGTTGCGTAATGAATATAGTGAACGGTGTAATTACTGAGGGTCTGCTTGTGATTCGGTATGATTTGATAGATTAAGATATAGAACAAAAAGAAACTTTTGTGCGTTAACTTCTGCCAAAAAAAGATAGGGGCAGAAACAGTAACTAAAGCTGGGAACTGAAGGAAATTTCTTTTTTTAAGCGGTAATGGTAATGAGGAGGAGCAAAATATATTTTTATAACCGCTGGAGATGGACAGTTCCGCTAGTATTTATTTAAATTTCTGAACTAGGTAACTTTTAGTGTTAGTTTTTAAATTTCTATTTGAATAAGAGGAGAACGAGAAATCACAGTAGTGATGAAGTAAACCATAAATCGGATCGTACTTACAAAAAGGAATAAAATCTATTATATAAAATTATATGACCTCTGCTGGTACGGCCGATAGAAAGAAGAGGAGATATTGTCTACAATATATATATTGTGCCATTATATGACACAATTTTCATAATCAATATAGTAGAGAAATCTTATCGCAGGGCTGACAGTAAACCAGTAAGCTTCCAAAGTAAACGTAATATACTCTCATCTGTTTCCCGAGGCAATTATTTTTAAAAAAAAAAAAGAATTCTGTATAGTAATACTATCCATTATTGCTGTCAAATACAAGTCATCTGACAATGTTGCAGAAACTATACAATAATTTATGACGTTAAATTTCGATTCATACTCTTGGTTTCCTATGAAACTTAATTTACTATAGTTTTTCTTATGAACATTTGCTATTCAGTCTTGTATCAAGCAATTTGATTGCAAAGAATCTTGGTTTGTGATCTTACAGAAATAATAGTCTCTTTTCTTGTTGCACTAAATATTATTATTTCGTAGAGATGATCTTGCAATAATCCGGTGTCGTATGTAACTTCTTCCCCTGGAGGTTTATTATTAATCTACGCCGCTTTTAAAACCTTCCTTTGCGGAGATAGAGACCTCTTATTTACATCTTCTTTTACTCTGGTCGTAAAGGTGATTCATATTAAACTTAGTAATACACTACAACCCATTTATTTGGTTTTGGTCATGTAAATCAATTTTTCAGAAACGGCTATTACCTATTTTAGTAGAAAAATCCAATGTATAAGTAATCGATAAATACCTCGATTACCCGAGATCATCCATCATATTTGCAAAATTAATTGTTCCACAGTTGCCGAAGTTGAAAAAAAAAAAGATCTCAAGAAAGTGCTCATAACATAAAAGTCAAATGCTTGTTACTGACCAAGAATTCTCCTCAGTCTGTTAGTATATTATACAACTGTCTTAAAACTTTAAAACTCTAAGTCATATATAAACAGAATAAGTCAGACGATAGTTGCAAGTAGATATGGCTGTAACACATTTCCTATGATTTTTGTAAGATTATCTCGGCTTCTCCTTCTCGTTTTTTATGTGCCTGATCTTCCTTTCACCCTCTTGTGACAGATTTCCGATAAGATATTTTCTCTTATCGGTTGATGCGTGGATGCAATAATAACAGGGAGATGCGATTATATAATCACTATCCTGCAGAAAATTCACATGGTAGCTCTGTTGCAATTTACTTTGAAGATTACTGAATCTCCTGAATATTCTTTTTATCTTTTTGATCAATTGTCCTTTTCATTCAATTGTTTATTTCATTTAAAACACGTGATAGTTAGAACGAAATGACTGGTTGATTTTTCTCGTTTTCATTAATCTATTAAGTTTGGATTAGACTCGGATTAATTTTTAACCGTCTCACTATTAACTTTCATTATCTTTCAATGAACGAAATGGGGCCATACTAAGCTTCTCGATTTATTGTGAAGTGTCTTAAAATAACAAGGATAATATTTAACTACTGAGGTCTGAAAGTAGAAAGAAAACTCACAGTATCAAAAATCAGCTAACAAAGGAACAGATTTTAATTAACTGTAAGGAATAATATATCTAAATTAGAACATCAGTACTTGCTCTTGTGTTTATATTTGATTTTTTTTTCTTTATTTTATTGTTACTTTCCTTAAATATTTTAGGATTATGAAAGTTAGATAAGCTAATTTTTAATGAAAATTGTAACTTTTTGCAAAATAAAAGCGAAAAAGGAAACAAATGATTAATTTAACAAATCTTGCAGAAATTGTGAAAAGTTTTTCAGGAAGATAACTTTTTCTATTAGAGATAGCATTTTCTATGTTATCTAAATATCTAAAATAAAAAATTGATCCATATTATTAATTCGTCCAACTAAACATTTGCCCTATAGAGATATGAGGATTGGTGGTGGGTATATGTTTTATCCTCCGCTTGAGATTAATGGTAACATTTTCAGAATATATATGAAGCATGAACTCAAATTAGTGTTACATATTTTGATATATTCAAAGAAGAAGATCAAAATGGAACCAATTCTAAAGTTTAACCGGCCCGTCAATTTAAGTCCGTTTGCGCTCTTACTACTGATTATGATATCGGTAATCAAATCTTCATATTATCTATCTAATAAACTAATCAACTGAAGATTAGAAGGAAAAATTCGTCTGGAGTAATTGTTCCGAGGTAAAAGGACGGAAGGAATACGTCTTATTCAGAATTTGGTAATTCTTACAAATGTAACAACATAAATTTTGTTTACGTTAACACAGACAACCACATTGTAAGCTATTAAGTTTGGATTTTTAATTGCTCTCCTTTTAAATCTATTGGTTTGTTTATGTTTTCTTTCCACATATGCATTACCTCCTCCCATTGTTAACGAATTGGCCTATATATGTGCCTACTATTTCTCGCCATTTCTAGCTTTGCATTCTTTTGCAACAAGTTCAAGGGGCACGACCTATATTTTTGTTGATGGTTACATTTTTTTCAGTGAGGTTACATTTGTTTGTTTAAACTATTTACAAATGTATGGAAAGATGTACGAGACCACCTCTTACAATGATCAGTATCGCTATTTAGTACTTTACAATCAAACATACGAATAATTATGCCAATGATTTATTCTTTTGAGTTGTCAACTTTATTTGTGACCTTTTATCTGAGCGGCTCCAACTAATACCCCGTCTTATCAATGAGAATGATTAAAAATATATGCCTAATAGATTTTGATCTTCTAATTGTTACATTCATTTGTAATTGTTCTGCTGACTAGCTTCCAGAGCTGCCTTACTGTTGTTTTCATTTTTTCATGTTATCAATGTATCAGATTGCCTGCAAACTAATGGTAGCCCAGTCCCCACAAAATCGCAGACCAAAGAAATCTAAAAAATTATTTCAGGGAGATAAACACAAATTAGGTAATAGGCGTAAGGGGCCAGTAATCATATCAATTGTTAATTGTATGTGACGTATTTTTAAACCTATGTCGTATTTTTTTATAAGTTTCACAGCCATTTAGAGAAACATCAATAATAACACAACCTCGATATTAACGTACATACGGAGACATCTTAATTGGGACAATAGGAGTAATACGATTAAGCGACCAGTGCTCCATTCCAATCAATAACTAGCCTAATCTAAGAATTTATTGTCTAATCTTACCTATCCTATTATATTTATAATACTATAAGTACAGATGGAAATATCTTTGACTTACTCTTATGTAGACTTCTTTATTCATTCCTTTAAACATTTATTTACATACATTTATACAATAGGTTCCAAAAGTATGAAATTATTGTTGTTTCTAATATCTTTATTTCATATTGTTCAAGTATCAGTTGGAGCCAAAGTTAATCCTTTGCCTGCTCCAAGGAATACCACTTGGTTAGACAGTAATTCTATCGAAATCAATGTACCGGCTTTAACTCTTCGATTAAACAGACCAAATGATGTTCTCGAAGATGCATTTATAAGAATTAAAGGACTGATTGAACTGGTTAAATGGTATCCTGCAGCTACTGAAGGTCCAATGTCATCGATGCAACCTTTTCCAACCGCTACTAACTTGAAGAAAAGATTACTCAGAAGACAGATTGGTGGCATATCCACAGTTGATGTGAACGTTGATGATTTCAATGCTGATTTACAATTAGGTGTCAATGAAACTTATACCATTGATGTTTCTTCTTCGGGTATCACTATTAATGCTGCTACCGTATGGGCTGCTTTGGATGCCTTTACTACATTTCAGCAATTGATCATTTATGAAAATAATCAGTTTTCTATTGAAGGTTCAGTATCAATTTGGGATCTGCCACTTTTTGGCCATCGTGGTTTGTTAATTGATACTGGGAGAAATTTCATTAGTTTGGCCAAAATCTATGAACAAGTTGACCTTATGTCATTAAGTAAATTGAATGCTTTGCATATTCATTTTGAAGATACTGCAAGTTGGCCCTTATTTATCGAAGCTTTCCCTGAAATGACTAATGATGCTTACTCTCCTCGTGAAATATATCAGCCAGGAGATTTAGTTAACTTAATCATTTATGCAAAGAATAGAGGTGTTAGAATTATTCCTGAAATTGATGCTCCAGCCCATGCAAGAGCTGGTTGGCAACAAATTGATCCTCTGTTAATTGCTTGTGGTAATAGTTGGTGGTCAAATGATGTTTACACTTTTGCCACTGGTAATGAGCCACCTCCAGGTCAATTAGATATTTTGTACAATAAGACGTATGATGTTTTAGATACCATTTATCAAGAATTAGGCACTATCTTCACTGATAATTTTTACCATATTGGTGGAGATGAAATTAATGGTAATTGTTACAATTTTTCATCTAGAATTCAAGAATGGTTTGCTGAAAATTCCACTAGAACTTATAATGATTTAACACAATATTATTTAGATACCGCTATTCCTATCTTTGAGCAAAATAATCCAAATAGAAAATTAATCATGTGGGAAGATATGGTCTTAAATAATAACACCGTTCCAAAGGATAGAGTCGTTTTGCAATCATGGAATGGTGCTCAATATATTCCGCAATTAGTTAAAGAAGGCTATGATGTCATTGTCTCTTCTTCTGATCATTTCTATCTTGATTGTGGTTATGGTGGATGGATCACCAATGATCCTAGATATCTTGATATTCCAGCCAACGAAGATTTTAATAATGGTAATGGTGGATCATGGTGTAATCCATATAAGACTTGGCAAAGAATCTATGATTATGATTTCACAGCCAACTTAACTGATGCTGAAGCTCAACATGTATTGGGTGCCGAAGTAGCCTTATGGTCTGAACAAGTTGATTCTACCGTCATTACTCAAAAGATTTGGCCAAGAGCAGCTGCATTGGCTGAATCGACATGGAGTGGTAATAGAGATCCCGATACTGGTTATTTGAGAACAACAGAATTAACTCAAAGAATATTTAACTTCAGAGAATATCTTGTTGCCTTGGGATATGATGCTTCACCTTTAGTACCAAAATACTGTATAGTAAATCCCCATTCTTGTGACTTCTACAAGAATCAAACTATCTTAGACGAATTTGGTTTACAACAAACATAAAAAGTTTTTAAAAAATAGAGTATTGCGTATCTGCTATAGTAATACTTTACGTTTTCGATTTTATACTACGTTATCTGTTTAATTCTTTCCCTTAGCTTTTCTTAGTTTTTCAATATATATAAATATATATGAATATATATGAATATATATTAAAATATTTTTTTAAAAACGCTAGAGCTTGTACAGTATAATCTGTAAATTACTAATTATTACAATCTTCTTTAATCGTTCCGAAAGGCTTAAATACATGGTCATATTCTCGAGCCAATGTATAGTGTAGATTCTCAGATAATTTCTTGCAGCCAAATTTTGAAGAGGTCGTCCCCGACTCAAATAATGAAATAGTTTTGAGCTAATAGTTATTACAGACTACAGTACTTACAACTAATCACAATTCTCCTATGCAGCATGCCTTATGATTCTATAGAAGATGGGTTGGATACTATTTCGAAGATTCTCCGTTCTGAATCTCCTATTGAAAGTTCACTTATAGAAGAGTTACAATTTCTTGCATCACTCATTAATGCTACAAGCACAAGCAGTGGATCCGATGATCATCTCACATGGAATTATTTGGAAGAAATTATCAGTCACACATATCTTAATGATGAAACTATGAGAGTACGGTTATACCGAGCAGTTCTTGTATTGACCAGAAATATTATTATCCACGAACCATCTGATGTGAAAATAGTCTCCAGTACGATGACTAATCTTGAAAAGTTCGCTACAGTAGTATCTCCATCTCATGAATTTTATGGTAAAACTATAGAAATATATATTCAAATATTGGCTAACATTCAGAATCTTGAATTAAGTGATACTCTTATAAATTATTTGAATGATAAAATTATACCGATCATTTCCTATCAAGATGCTTACATTCATCCAACTATCACATTTTTAAGTCATGCTTTCTCTTCGAAATCCGATGACGAGACTCATCATAATGAACAAATATATGCCTTGTTACAAGTTCCATATGGCTCAAACAATATCATGAGATATCTTGAATCAAGTTTCTTCAAGGTAAATCCATTAGATGGTAGTAATGGTCATGACCATTCAGCGTATGACCATATACTTTATAAGTTACTCATTGAAATCATAACTCACGAAAGCTTCACAAAATGGATTACTAGTGAAACTATTGGAGAAGAAGGATTTATTGAATGGCTAAAAATCAACCAATTATTACTCACGGCCGAAAGTAACTGGAATAATTATCAATTAACAGCGACTCTTTCTTGGGTCATTAAGGCATTTCAAACTTATACTCCACTAACTATTGAAACTATTGAGGGTATGAAAACTAATCAGGATAATGTCAATATGATAGATGGTAAGCATGAACAGTTAATAATTATTATACTCGATATAATAAGTGATTTGAGCAAGTATCATCAAGCTCAAAAGATGTTGATCCATTATAATCTTCTTGAACCATTAGTTAAACTATTCCGTTCAATCCACCAGAATTTCCAAGCCATAACATTGAAGTCAAATACAACTAGTGATCTGAGAATAAAGAGTCCATTTCCAGATGCTAAATCAATCATTATAGAGATTATATCATATTTAGCATATGAAAACTTTGAAGTACAGGAAACTATACGTCAACTTCATGGATTAGAATTAGTGCTATCTAACTGTATAATAGATGATGCCAATCCCTATATTCGAGAACGAGCCATTATTTGCTTAAAATATTTGCTAGCTAATAATTCCGAGAATCAGAAATTTGTAGCAGCGTTAGAGGCTCAAGGTACAAATCGAGCCAATGAAGAAATCATTGAAAAGGCTGGTTATGAATTGGAGTTTGTCGATGGTAAAGTACAATTAAAGCAGAAGCCATCTACTTAATTTATAAGCATGACCAAGTGATTAACATATTTTAGTTTATTACATAAGTCAATCTATATAGATAGATATTTTATAGAATTAGAATTAAAAGTTTAAGATTTCAATGATTTTTTGTTGAACCTTTTCAATTGATGCTTCATCAATTAATAAGATTCTCTTTTGTTTGGTACTTAAAGCCTTTAACTCTTGAGGTAAGACATCCTTTTCAAAAGAATATCCTGGAATAGTATCTAAAGCTCTATTGACAACTTCAGAAAATTTAGCAGGATGAGCTGTAGATAATGATATATATACTGGAGTAGAATCTTTAGCGATGAATCTATATGATGTAGTAACACCAACTGAAGTATGAGGATCAATAATATATTTTTCAGGATGACTTTCGTAAACTTTTTTAATTGTTTCAATGGTTTGTTCATCGCTAACACTTTCAGAATCAAAGATTGATTTGGCACCTGCTACAACTTCTTTATCGGCAGTAACTGATCCAGTTTCCTTTAATTGTTTCATCCAACTATTTAAGGTAGCTCCAGCTTTAGCATCATCTTTTTCTGCCACTGAATCTCTTATTAAATACCATAATAATCTTTCAAAATTTGAAGATATTAAAATATCCATGGCTGGTGAATAAGTAGCTTTAACAGAGCTATCACCTTTCTTTTCATATCTACCAGTCTTGAGGAATCTATCCAATATATCATTTTCATTAGTAGCAATGATTAACTTATCTACTGGTAAACCCATCTTATAAGCATAATATCCAGCTAAGATATCACCAAAATTACCAGATGGAACAACAAATCTAACTTTAGAATTTGGTTGAGCTTTCTGTAATTGGAAATAAGAATAGAAATAATAAGTTTGTTGAGCTAATATTCTAGCCCAATTTATGGAGTTAACAGCACCAACATGATACTTTTCATTGAATTTAACATCACCAAAGATTTGTTTAACTATATCTTGACAATCATCAAAAGTACCATTAACTGAAAAAGTATGAACATTAGCATCTTCAACGGTTGTCATTTGTTCTTCTTGGATAGGACTGATTCTACCAGTTGGGTATAAAATAAATACATTAACATCTTTCTTACCTCTTAAACCATAAATGGCAGCAGAACCAGTATCTCCAGATGTAGCACCTACAACAGTAATAAAATCTTTAGGTTCACCTACAGCTTTCTTTGCATTACTTTTAGTTAAGAAATATTCAAATAAGTTACCAACAAATTGTAAGGCAACATCCTTGAATGCATAAGTAGGACCATGGAATAATTCAAGTAAATATAAATTAGTATCAATATGTTTGATAGGTGTAACTTCATCAGATCTGAAAGTAGAATAAGATCTTGCAATTAAATCCTTCAAGTCAGCACTAGGTATTTCAGATTCATTGATATACAATCTTAAAATATTAAATGCTAACTCATTAAATGATAAGTCAGCCCATTCAGTTAAAAAGTTACTTGGTAAAGTTGGGATCTCTGATGGTAAAAATAGACCACCATCCTTAGCTAACCCAGTCATAACAACATCCTCAAAGGATAATTTTTGTTGAGGGTCATCTGAACGTGATGATCTGTATACTTGTGACATTTTGACTGAATCTAGAAAAGTAGACTTCAATTATTTGACGTTTTAGCTTAGATGATATAATACCAAATTGACTCGTTGCTTCAGTATTTGCTGAAAAAAATGTCTGATGAATCATAGTTCTGTGTGCAGGTCAGGCTTTATAATTTAAACTTCGCTCCTGCTCCGGTTATTTTTGAGAATCGTGACTATTAACATGTGATTTTACACGTGATTGTTTTTATTTTTGAGTTTTTTCAAAAATCTCTGAAACATTGGTCCTGTTGACACTAAAATAATCCCGTCTCTATTCGATGGGGGTTACTCATAACTTGTATAGGTGAGACTCGTTCTAATACAGAGATACATACATATATATTCAATTGCATCAAAAAAATATTTGTCGTCTTAATTGACTGTGCAGAGCCTCGAAGAATATCTTATATAATTGCAAAAGGATAATAAAACTAACATCAGTACTTTTGAGAATATACTGGTGGTATGATAACAGTTATCAGACGAGGAAGATGGATATTTAAACAAATATACAGGTTTAATAGTAATTCAACCGTAAGACCGAGTGGAACTAATAGTAATAGTGCAAATTCCAGTGGATACACATTCACATCCTACACAACTCCATATAATGATAAATTCTATCAACCAATAATTTCTGAAGGTTATCGAGGATTTGATAAATTGATTATTCCGAAGGATTTTCAAGCCAAGAACCAAGAGATCGAGTTTGATGGCTTAGTGCAGCAGCAGGAATTAAGAGAAATTGCTGAAAGTTTTAATTTTGAACAGAGTCCTATAAAGGTATCCATTGGATATGGATCTGGTGTATTTCCCCAGAATGGATATAATAATACTCCTGAAGAAGGAGATAAATTGTCGGTTAAAACTGAAGAAGAAGAAACGCAAATCGATTTAATCAATGTTGTAAAGGATAATCAAACTTTTCATCGGTATAATTTACAACGTCATCGAGATCATTATTCAATAAAGAGTCTTCCCATTATCAAATTTATTCAGGGCCGAGATGGTATTTATTTTAATCCATTTGTGAAATTAAAAGGTCATCTTATAAAGTACGGCATTATATCATCAGGGGCAGCGCAAATGGACCTTATGGAATGGTCCTCATTATATTTTGCAGGACGCTTGCAGAAGCCAGTGAACTATATACGATTGGATGAAGATGAAGGTCAGATGATTAAGTTTCTTAATCAATACAACTTAAAGAATGCAATGACTGTCGGGATAATCTTATTACAAGAACAGCAATTTAATGAGCAAGAGTTGTATGAACAAATAACTCGCATAAGTTATATGGGAGATTTTCGAACTTATGTTGGTGGAGAGAATCCGAATAAAGTAAAAAATATAGTTGAAAAGCAATTGAAATATTTTAAACTGTTATATGAACCAATCTTACAGTATTTCATTCATAAGAATTATTTAATTATTGTCGATAATAATGAAGAACAAAAAGTATTTAAAAAGAACCTCAATATCAACAACAAAATTAATCTTATATCAACTTTACCATTAAATTTCCGAATTCAATTATATCAAATGTATCAAGACAAATCACTTAAAGAAATTGCTAAAGATAAGGATTTACCATTGAAAATTATAAAGTTAATTCAAAGGGTAGTTAGAAACAGTTCTATTAAGCAAGCTATAATGGGGATATTCAGTTCAGGAATTATTAAATCTATAAAATATGCATTTGCCAAGCAAGTTAAATACTGGCGAGCTCGTTAGATAGTCGTAGTACAAAACTATCTGACTTTACCAACCTTGACCATTAGCATATCATATCATATCATATCATTACATAAATAGATTGCGTATGTCTTCTAATATTGAAAGTTGGACAGACAGACAGAAAATCAAACAGACAGACATTTGTAAAATTAGTAGCATAATAATAAATATCTAATAATAAAAATTTAATAATAATCGTATAAATTAAATCTAATAATAATCGTATAAATCAAATCAAAAAGTTCTTAGGTGCAAAATTAAGATTTTTAGACTTTGGGCGTTTAATGAGCTGAGGTTAATTGGGTTCATTCGGGAAGTTAAGCAAATTCTTCTTTCTGCCTTGGCAACAAGAAGTGGATCAATAATAACAAAGGAGAGTGTGAATGAGTCTAGTCATTCTGGCCGAGGTCGAGCGGATTAGTGGGTCTACGAGGAATGGGTCGGGCCAGGCTGTGAAAATAAAGTTGGTTATCCCCCATGTGTTCACTTGCGTACTAACTTTGATTAGTTTTATATAGGCTTAAATATGTGGGGGCACTTACTCGATTGTTTAAATGTGTTTGTAAAGCCAAGTGGCTCCGCTAAATACGGGACAAGAAGTGAAAAGACATGGTAAGAATAAGAATGAAATATATACAAGCCTTCGAAAGGGGGGAGATATTCACCGAAGTAAAACTTAGAGTTCAGCAAAAAACGGTTGACAATTCAAACTGTAATTTATGACAAGTGACTTGCTCGCCGTCAATCATATTGTGAGAAAAAAAAAACACATAGCCTTTTCACAAACACAATAGATTAGATTTTGTTCTTAATTTCTTAAAAACCGTACAAAAGTAACAACCTCACATATACGCAACCAGAAACTAAGCTTTTTAGTGGCTTGCACTTGTACAGTTAAAATACTTAATAATATTCTAATCATAGTGGAACGACGAACGTAGCTCGATACAATTGTTACTCTACTTTAGTAGGTTACGGGATGAACAATCGATCCGATCATAATTCAAGCTTGTGAAGAATGTGCTGTCTAACAATGTTCGTGAATGATTACGACTTTATATGCTTACCATAGCCTGATCAGAATTAAGAGAGATAATAACCAGCTAGTAATTCGACGTAGTAGATCAATACGTAGCATTTATTAAAAAAATCTGCTAATAAACTTAAAAGATGCTATCATTAAACCGTTGCACGATTCCAACCTTTTTTACCTTGTTAGATTAAAGATGTTTTAATCTCATCCCGATATAAAGCGAGCTATTGTTATTCCAATAGTTTAGAACATTGAAAAAAAAAACTGTGTTCAATCTCGGATCGAAGTTTTTGTAGCTAGTCGGGAACTATCCTATTCTCTTTCGGGAAATTTGGTCGCATGATTTTTTTTAAATAAATTTAAGGTTCAAGAAAAAAAAAAAAAGAAAGCTGCTTACTAACTGCAAAAAAAAGAAAATGGATTTATCGGTCGCAGTCTACTAACATAATTGTAGCAACAGTAGTGTATTCTCCAGGTATCTTTATTGCTCCTTAAATTGTAAGAGACTAGCAGGGTTGGAGATGAATGACGACTGAATCTCGAATTACCTTGACTTTTTAGATTGACATAGGAAAGACTTGGCTCTCCTTAGAAGGATTAAGCGAATATATGCTAAACTATAACTAAGCACAAAAGCGTAACAGAACTTAACTTAACTTAAATTAAACTAATCTAACTTAACTTGGCTTAGATACATATGATTCTTAAGCATGCCTATGATGTGCCCATATGGGTAAAGAACAGCATCATGATATTATGACCTGATTATATAGTACGAACTGTTAATGTTTTTCTTTCGAGAAATTCGTAAAAAATATGGACTATCATATAACCTTAAATCTCATGCTTAAGGCGTAGGCACCCTGAAAGTATATTTTTAAACCCGTTCATATTCAATAGCCGTCTCTTCTACGCCGAATAACCGCAATATTATCTAATTATCATTTATTTATTTTATATGCAATAGGAATAAACACAAGAGAAATCAAATGAATGAGACGACCAACCTAGAGATTAATACAAATCTATGCAAAGCATTTGTCTAACACATTCAAAGTATATGCATCATAGCCTCCGTTATAACGAGATCTAATAACTGGAACTTGGCCAATAGGAGGCAAGGCAGGGATACGAGCTTGCTGTGATTGTTGTATTAACATGTTTGAGGCTGATGGGGTTATTATATAACCCGAAGAAAGCTTTTGGGATGAGAATGATGGGGTGGGTATAGTAGATGTAGGAGGAGTATGTTGTTGGAACAGTTGTTGTGCATTTGGAGATGTGGTTATTACTGTTGAGCTATTGTTTATAATTTTATTTGTAGTACCCATAGCTGGATTAGTTATAGAAGTAGTTGTGGATGTAGATGTCGATCCAACTTTTCTTCTCTTATTAGTTGGTGATAATGTAGTTGACTTTGAGGAGTTTGATGATGCAAGGATTTCTTTGTTTGAAGTATTGATTGGAATTTCAATTAAAAGATTCTGTGGATAGATATCATTACTTAAAGCAAGATCCTTTAAGTAGGGATCTTGACTTGGTAACTTAGCTTGCTGTATAGTCGTTTGCTCTCCCTCTTTCTTGATTCCAGCATCTTCGTCATCAGAAGCTGTGGGAGAATCCAATTTCCTTTTCCTTATATGTATAGCAGAAGCTTTCATTTCCTCCAATTGAGATTTCTTGAAGTAGTAGATTAAATGTAAGCGTTGGTAATCTTTCGTTATTAATGAAAAGCTTTGCTTTATAAGACCGTCACCATCATCGGAATCGTTACTAGTATCGTCTTTCGTGGATTTTTCATAGTAAATTAAGAAGTGATTGTTAAATACTTTAGAAGCTGACCACATCTTCCCATCGGTCCATCTTTTCATCCCACAACTTGTTTCATTCCAAACAAAAATAGAATTTGGCTTTATAAATTTCTTGCGTTCGAATGTTGATAAACGACGGTTTATAGTAGGCAATTTACCAATTCTTGTCGCTTCTAGAACAAGTAGAGCATCATGAAGTGACTTGATCTGTCCTTTGTATGTGACTATATTATTATTGTTCATATTGCTATTATTGCTACTTACATTATTTGTCATTTCAGACACATTGGGGGTAGAAAATGTAGATGCGGAGTTTGAATCTTCTGAGTCAGACTCCGATAATAGTTGCGGATTGAACTCAGATATGATGAACATTATCAAAGGTAATCGCTAATTAGAATAAATGGGTATGTACAGAATAAAAGTCAAGGAATATGTTAAGGATAAAGTCAATTCTAAATTAACTACCAATTTATTTGTAGTAAAGATATCGTGGAGGATACGTTAAAGTATATATAAAAGATTTGCAAGGTTATGATCCCATATAAAAATAATAATAATAGAATTAATAATAATAATAGAAATAAGAATTTAAATGAAAGTTTTAGAGAGAAGAGAATAGACAATCGGGCAGATATACGGGACGATTAACTTTAGTTGAAGAATTAATTAGTACCTACATTGAGCTTCACTATGCTTTCTTTTTTTTTGAGCTGTATTTAGTGAGCTGCATTGCACTGGATTGACTGACGTATATATTCTTAATTACGTATATGCTTTTTTAACTTATTTTTAACTTTTGTCTTTTTTTCTGTATATCTGCAACATTTTTTTTTTAATTTTTTTTAATTCTTTTTTTTTTTTTAAGTTTTTTTATTCCCAGATAAATTAGCGCGGAATAAATATTAATTTCTTAACTATTGCAAGACAAAAAAAAAAGTATCACTAAATGAGAGCAAAAATAAGATGGCCCTACTTTAAAAAATGCGTGGATTTGGTGCTTAAAAAAAGGTCTTTCTAGAATTTGTAGAATATTAGAAATCAATTTTTAAATCTTAATTTAGTAATAGACTGTTTGAATTTGTAGGAGGATTGTACAAAAACAACAAATAAAGGACAATGGTACAAATTCAATTCCCGGTTAACTAGAATTTTTTCCTGTCCATTTCTTTGTCTACTTTTTATTTTTGTCATTGTCCAGCTTTAGACAAGTTTTAATTACTGTCTTATTTATCTATCATTTTAAGGTTGTAACATTCTTCTTCGTCTCGAGCAATAGGCCCTCTTTGGCGATTTAACCCCTGGAGTCAATCGATACAAAAAGCATAGCATGAAATAAATGTGCAAGATGTGTGTATATAGTTCCATTTTTAATATGCAGTTCATGTATCCCATCTCCAATCGGATCGATATTTACTTTTTTCATTATGGAATTGTACGTATTTATTCCGGGGCGTGAGAAGTAATTCATCACCTCAAAAAATTTGCTTAGTTTTACATCCCTTGATACCATAATAGTGTTGAACCACCACTCATCACTTTTAGAGATGGATTATCACATTTTGATTATGATTATGCCTAATGTACACCTTAACCCCTTCTAAAACAACAAAAGATAATAAACAAAAGAAATAAATAAAAGTTATGTATTTTAATTATATAATTAAAATCTTTTGTCGTTTCATCTTGACGTAGATGTACTGTTAACTACTGTATTGTCTAAGAAATATTTAAGAATAATTGTCAAAAAGGTAAATGCCATTGGGGGATAACCTCCAAACGACGATATGACATTTATTATATTATGAGTAAAGTGAGAAACAAAGCCCCCTTATGTTAGTACAAAATAAATCTTTTAGATGAGACGATCGGAGTGGAGTTACATTTGTTTTTATTCCATCTTTACTTGACCTTACTTTAACAGTGCATATTACTCTGGTTATTCCATGCAATATCTTCGTCTCATTCATTTCATCTTATCAATTATAAGCCCATCAGCAATGGAAATATGACATTTCCATTTGAAAGCAAGTTTCACCTTATTTCCATAGTTCTACAAACCATTACACAGTACTTACAATATTTATCAAGTCAAATCATCCTATTGTGTTCCCTCTGGGGTTAAGTTGTTATCTCTATTTGATATAGATAATCCAACTGAAACATAATCAGTTTGGATAATCATATATTTGAAATGAATGGTCTCGACTTTGTTTCAGATTTGTAATTCACTAGACAATATTATTTAGGCTTATTTTTAAGTATCGTAACTAGAGGACTGAATTACACATTAGCAACGATGCTGGTAGTCTTCCATTTGTTGCAGTAGGGGTACATTTTACAGGAGCGATCCGTATACTCTAAGATCGGCTCGGGTGATTATGTAAACAATAACAGATACACAGCAGACATTCTTATGGTTAAATTAGGAAATTACACCTTAAATATCAGGGCAACAAGTACCGCAAAGAATGGAAATGGACATAAAAAAAATAACTAGAATGTAAATAAAAAATAAAAATGAAATATAACGTTAATTCTTTAATTTGCTTTTTCGCTTTTTCGCAGTTTACCTAAAGAAGCATTTTTCGGATATTTTAAAATTTAAATCGATCTCGACCTTCATACAGGATGTTGACGGTTAAGGGTTTTCTATGTTGCTATCCGTATTATACCGAATTCACACATTTTATTAATATCTTGGTAAAGTTAATGTAAGCCATTACGATGTGATAATATGTTCCCCTATCACTATTACCACATCTTAATTGAGAAAATTATGAGTTAAATGAGAGGGGCAATGCTAAAGGAGGAGGCGGTGGAGAGGCACAGCCAGGATAAGCAAAGACGGCAAATAATTCAAAATTAATGGATTCGATCGATATTTCCCATCGTAATTATTATGTGCAATCAATTATTTCCTACAACGGGATAAGCTATATTTGGGAATTATATTTGCTCAATTCAGTAAAGCGTATATTGTAAGCGACCACATAGTAAGTACGCCCACACACTGATATTTGGCACGGGTCCTTCTCTCTTCTTCCTATATTTTCCTGTTCTGTAGTTTATTATGCATAATTGTAGATCTTGTATAATATGAACTCGCTTAATATTGCTGTTGGGTATATTACTAATTATCGGGAATAGAATAAGATTTTTGTAAATGGGCAAAAGGAATCAACTGTCGATTGTCATATAATTCCAAACTTAGACCCTACAGTATTTAAGACAATGGAAGTGGTTGTGGTCTGGGTACAATAGTGAGGGGAGAAAAGGTTTACGGTAATAAATTTATCCTATGAAATATGCAATGTTAAAGTCCAATTTGAGCAATCCCGTTCCCCTCCTTTGGACCCAAAAAAAAATCACTCTGAGGCAACTGACTGTGACTTTTACTTAAATATATAAAAGGGTTGAAGAGGCTCATGACTCAGAGTCACAAATATACGAGTTGAAATTTTTCAGCATATATTTATTAAGTTTGCGTTATAGATATATATTTACATAAGCTGGACGTAGCACTAATACTAATAGTAATAGTAATCAATTAACTAAGCAACAATTAGAACTTCTTATCCCATGAGTCTAACTTCATAGTACCGTTTTCTTCGAAATTCAAATGCATCTTGAACACATCTCTTAAAATGTGTGGTTCATGTAAGGACTTCTTCTTGGTAGCATAGAAGAGGGATCTGTCATAGTATTCTCTCAATTGATCACGGTAATCTGGGTGAGAACATTTGTTAATGATCTTGAGAGCTCTTTCTTTTGGTGACAAACCTCTTAAATCAGCTAAACCTTGTTCAGTAACAATGACATCTAAATCATGTTCAGTTTGATCGACATGGGAAGCCATTGGAACAATACATGAAACACCAGTTGGATCAATCTTAGATGGTCTGGCTGATGGAGTGTGCATGATAGATAATTTGGCATTACGAAGGAAATCAGCTGAACCACCTAAACCGTTCAACATTCTTGATCCCATAACATTGGTGGAATTGGCATGACCATAAATATCAACTTCAACAGGAGTATTCATAGCAATAACACCTAATCTTCTAATGATTTCTGGTGAATTAGAAACAACTTGAGATCTTAAACATAACTTCTTAGAGTATGCATCCCAATTTTCGTAAAATCTTTCAAATCCAGATTCAGTTAATCTAATAGAGGTAGCAGTAGCGAAATCTAATGATCCACTTTCAAAGAAATCAAGGAAGGAATCTTGCAAGACTTCAGTCCATACAGTCAAGTTCTTGAAGTTAGAAGATGCTAAACCTTCAACGACAGCATTAGCAATATTACCAATACCTGATTGTAAAGGATGTAAGTTTGCTGGTAATCTACCTTGTTGAACTTCATGTTCCAAGAATTCAATTAAATGGTGAGCAATAGATTGTGATTGAGCATCAGATGGAGTGTTTGGTGGAACAACATCTCCAGTAGTTGATTCAACAATAGCAATAACTTTAGAAGGATCAACTGGAATAGATGTTCTACCAACTCTGAAATCAGCAGATGTGTGAGGATAAGGTTGTCTAAATGGTGGATTAATTGGTAAATCAATGTCATGAATACCTTCAAAAGATGGAGTCTTAGTATTAACTTCAATAATGATATTATCAGATACAGATAACATTTCTGGAGATGCACCAACAGCTGGACCAGGGATAATTGAACCATCTTCAGTTATAGCAGTGGCTTCAATAATAGTATAGTCTAAATTAGCATTATCTGGCTTATTCATAGTATAGTATCCATAAGTTAAATCTTGAGGAAACATAGATAAATGTTTATCAAAGAATTGAGTTCTACCATCATTAATAGCAGCAGCAATTGGTTTACCAACTTGATGAGGAGATCTTCTTAAAAGCATGGAATTTTGTGCCCATCTACTTTCTTCAGGACCAGCTGAGGCTCCAACAAACAAGTTAAATTGTAATTTACCTTGTAAGTTATTCTTTTCTACATGATCAACTAATGCTGCTGGAATAGCCTTTGGTGCACCTACCCCGGTAAAACCAGACCATCCTAAATATTGGCCATGTTTGAAAAGTGGAATACATTGTTCTGCAGTTCTCAACTTCTGCAAGTAAGGAGCATATCTAACTCTTTGTTTAAGGATTGCTGACATAATGTTGATATGATTCTATATATATGATTATGACTGAAAAATTGTGGGGAAGATCAGTTCAGTACTCTATGACTATAAATTGTAATGAAATAAATTGAATAAATAGGTTCTATGTAATGAGAGGGATGGTTGACGCGATCGAAGTATTTCAGTTGATTGAATCTACTGGTTATGATAAAGAAAGTTTGCGGGAAAGTAGAAATTTCTCGAAATAGAGGGAAAGAGTTAATTCACAATTAGTTTAATTTACTTAGGAGCAACCCTGTCCCCTTTTATACCCATTAGTTTGTACATATTATTACTGAAAAACCGATCACTTATAGAAGAAGGTTGACATCCGGTCATGGCCTGCACACAAAAGGAATAATGGGCAACGGTGGTTTCTTTTTTATTTTTTTTTTCTTTTTTTTTATTTTTACGTGTTTATTTTTGTTCGATTTGTTGGAATTTCTTTTACTTGCTAGGTCGAAAGTCGAAACTCAACCTTCGCACTTTGCTTTTCCGGTTCTCTCCCCTTACTTTCTGAGTCGGAAATTTCTATCTGTCTGCACCTACTTAGGCTCCCTAAGTCGGCGCCTGGCTATCCCCAAGCTGAATCTAAACTAACTTCAGAATAGGGACTTTTGGACATTATATTGCCTACATGTTCTACTTGGGCCTAACTAGTGTCTTATCATGGTATATATCACCTCTGCCTTATGACTAATTTGTTTACTCGTTTCTTTTTCCATACAACCTCATCAGCGGGCAAGCTAAAGGAGGGGATTCATCTCTAGAAAAGGAGGGGAATATTTGTTTACAAAAATTACTGGGTCTATTTAAAGTGTTGTTCTTCTCCCCTCCTTTCATGATGAGATGATACACTGATGAGATGTTACAGCCTCACGTTGTCGTATAGCCTTAATATATATATATATTACTAGTCAACTCTCGTTTATTCACATGGTTGTCATTGTTGAGTGTTTTACAAGTACCTACTGATGGCTACAGTTGTTGCTCTACGCAATTCTCCACCTGTTGCCACCATCTGGTTTCCCTTCATTCATTCTCCGCTATCTCCTCTCTCTTATTCTCCCCTAAATCTCCTCTCTAGCTTATCTTTCTACCCTGTAGGTATTTTAGCATTTCCCTACCCAAAATTCTTAGAGTCCACCTAATTCAGTAGTGTTCCCTCGGTAAATGTATTTCCGGTTTGGTAAGTCTATACACAGGAACAATTATTGAGAAGGTTTACCGGGAATGAAAACGAAAAAAAGGCAAATGAAAAAAATAAAAAAAAAATGTTGGTAATTTAAGTTTGGGTCAAAAAAAAAGAACGACCACGACAAGAAATTGCGAGGCATCCGAGCTTTCGTCATGGTTTCAGATATTCACTCACCAATATTATCTAATTAGATATACCCTTTTATCCATGATGTAACCAATTAGCTACATATACTAAGAAAATAGCTCACGCTACATTTGAAATGGCTCTAAAGGCAGACAAAATAAACAAAACTTTTTGAGCCAGTAGAGACGAAGTTGTTCAGCGAAAAATAGTTAATCCGTGACTCGGGGTAAAATAGTGGGGCACTCTCATCCTTCGCTGTCAATTAAGCACCAACTCACGTATTGTCTTTGACATATTGATCTCTGAGTGCAGTAGTGAGCAAGTCCGAAGTAGTATTGAACAAGTTGATTGGCTGGACACATTAATGAAGTCGTCTGATGTTTTTGTATACTTAACCAGTTTATGACTACTAGCCATAAAATTCTGTGAGTACATAAAAGGTCACTAAGTATAGAAAACGGTAGAGAAAATAGTAAAGAAAACAGAATGGGCCGGGGATCAGAACTTTCATTGTCGCTAATTCAGGTGAACCAAGCATAGTCCAGCAAACCGGCTCTCGAGAACCGGTAGATCTATAAATTTATTTAATTTATTTAATTAAATCACTATTTTTATTTTTTTTTTATTTCCTATTCCATCATATCATTTCATATTATTGGTATCATACGTTATCATTGTGGTTCGTTTCCAGACTTTTTTCTGGGGCAGGCGATCAGATTTTTCGGTCCAAAGTATTCTTTAGATTTATGCTTTATTGCGAAGAAGCTTATATGAGATTCGGTTTTCTTTCACCTGCTGGGGCCACCACCCCAAATTTCAACTCTATCTCCTCGGCCCATTTAGTAGAACTATTCATATAATGATTATTTACTGGTTGCGCTAATTAAAAATAACCTTTTGACGCCGACCGGAGTTTTCAATTTTATTATTTTATTTCATTTATTTTTTAATTATTTTTTAACATTGTTATGCTCTGGGGTATACAGTAAGTCATATCCCTTTTCGATACGTTTCGTTTCGGTTCGAAAGCCAAGTTCTTCCTTTCGCCCGCCCGTGATATTCCTGGAACTTGATTGGTCATTGAGAACTCCGAGCTTGCGCCTTGTTAGCCCAGTTGTTCCATCGACTATTCCTTTTCATTTTCTATGTTCCGCCGCTCTCCCTTGTTTCACTAACTGTATTTATTGCACTTACTATACCTACGTGTACTCAACTAGTATACTGTACTATATACTATGCTGAACTGCACCATACTAAACAGAATCTTACGACTACTATCGACATCCGTTAGCCCTCTCTAGTCAAGCCTAAACAAACCTTATTCCGGTGCCGTTCTAGAAAATATAATCGCATTATAAAATTACGACTCCGATGCCGAGTAGTGTCACAAAACCCCATAACCCGATTTTACTCATCCCCGGATATTTCATGCAAAAGTCAAATTTGGTGATTAATTCCTTTTTCATTGGCTAGCTGCAGAATAGGATTATACAAGCCAAAATACTGTGCTTTGTGTGTGTGTGAACTCCGACCTGGTCGAATCTCGAAAGCAGTAACTGATTATGTAATAAACAATAAGTTAAACAATAATTAGCAACTAGTGATGCAATTAGGTATTTACGGTGTTAAGGAATATGTGTTAAGTAATTATGTAATTAGTGACTAGTAGTAAATATTTAGTATGTACAGTTATCCCATTCGGGCAGCTTTGAATCTACTTACTTTAACAGTATTGCCGTTTTCGTCAATAGGTTCAAACTCCATTTCCTCTTCCGTTTTTAGGTATCCTTTACTTTTATTTTCAAAGATAATTCGTTGTCGTAACTTGTGATAGTTGGTTATGATTTCTTGTTGTAGTATGGAGTCATCAAATGCCTCATCGTTGATATCCATTGCCGTGTCATTCTCGACAATTTGCTCAAGCAATATGGGCCCATCTTCGTCTTCGTCGTGTTGTTGTTCGTCTACTTCATCTCCTTCTTCTTCGTATTCGTATTCATCTCCTACAATTTCATCCAAGTCAGCATCAAATACATGCAGATCCTGCAATCGCATATTCGATATGTCCCCCATATTTTTCTGTTGTTTACTCGTATCGGTCTTCGATGGCATTGATTCAATCATCCTGTTCAAGATTTCAAAGTCTTCCATCTTATTGACAACTGGCCCATGCGTCTCAATATCATCATCGTACAATCCCAAGACATACGCTTTGGCCATGGAGTCCACATCACTCTGTAAAGAATGGTAGTCTAATGTCGTTTCTCTGATCTGCTGTTCATCTTCCTCTGGAGTTTCAGCTGGTGTTGAAGCTTCAGTTGAAACCTCTTCTGGTGGAGGGAACTCCTCGAGCTTCTTAGCTTTAAAGCGTGACACCTTTTTGGGCTTTTCCTGAGGTTCACTCACAATTGCTTCTATGGAACTTACTTCTCTCTCGATTATAGACTCACTCAAGATCTGACTGTCTTCATTTTCAACAATATCTTTTTCAATAATGGCTTCGCTAAGCACTGTATCAACGGCTTTATCACCAAGCTGTTCGTCTTCATTTTCAGAAATAGACTGACTGATCAATACACGTCTATCAAGAGGCTCTCCAATTGGCGACGATGCATCCTTAATGATCTTAGGCTGAGACTGAATCCTTTGGGACCCGTCATTACTAATGCTTTGTTTGAATCTAGAAACTTTTCTAGCTGGTAAAGGGGGTGGAATATCTGACTCTGAGTCATCTATATCTCGTTCTACTACATCCAGGATAGCATCTTCATTTTCATACACTTCATCCTTCGATTCCATGATATCTGATATTGTCTCATGCTTTTGAACAATACGTTCTTGTCTGAATAGCGATAGCTTTTTGCTTGGCTCTAAGCTCATATTCTTTAACTCTTCACTTATGTTCTCGATCTCGTTAATTTCTAAATTGTCGGCAAATCTGACAGACTTCTTCTTTTTGGAATTGACAGGTATACCTTCCTCGCCTCTCAGCTGCCTTAATTTTATCACTTCATCCCATAATCGGTTAGTGACAGTTTCATTCTGTGATGGACCCAACGATAATGATCTGTTACCATATAGTATATCATCTCCATACCCATCGTCCTCGTCATCGTCTTCATCGTCGTCCTCATCCTCGACCTCATCCTCGACGGCATCGTCTTCTTCTTCAGAAAAGTCAAAATCCCACTCTTCATTATCGGCAAAGTTGTTCACGGAATCATCTCCTTCATCGTCTCCTTCTACAGTGTCATCGAATTCATCCGCAAGTATCTCAAGCTCCAATATATCATTCTTATCTATTGAATTATAAGACTTGCCCAACGGAGTACTGGTGGTAGACGTATCCAAATGGTTCTCTCTAATGATGGAGGCCAATACTTCTTCTCTTTCTTTACCCTTGACTTCATCAAGTGAATTCTCCATTATATCAGGAGTTACATTGGCATCTTCCTCAGCTAAATCCGATTCTAAATTTATACCCTTTGTAGCATCATCTCCGTATATCTTACGATACTCTTCTAAACAAATTTGCTTCAACCGGAACTTATCTTCCGGACTGATTCTTAGTTTATCGATCTTCTCTAGTAAATCATGAGGGTCTATAGGCGTGTTGTTGTCTATCACCGTCTTATGCTGCTTGTCTATTATTTCCATATCTTCAAACAACTCTGTCAATTGGTCATCGATGTTGGAGTTGTACTCTGATTCTAATTTGGACTTTGGTTCTTCTTCTACTTCTTCTGATACATTTTGTTTATTGTCTGTAGCATTACTGCTGTGAATGACATCATCAAGGCTTTCTTCGATGTACTGATACTCTGTTTTAAGTGGTAGGACTTCCGTTACTTTGGGGATCTGTACACTTCGGTTATTGATCTTCACCTCAATGACATTATCATCGTCATCCAAGCCTTCCTGAATGTCCATAAATGGTAATCCCTCTTCATTCAACTTCTCTTCTTCCTGTTCGACTTCCTCTTGTTCATCTTTACCTAGTGTCATCTGCTTGAACTGCTCAAGGTTGTCTCGCGTAGCATTAGCCTCATTGATCTTGTTATTCAAGTCTAGCACAGCATCATTCAAGCTGTCTATACGCCCATCCAAAAAGATATGAGCATCCTCGACACTTTTTTCTACATAGTACCCGTCGCCTAGCATCACCATCACCTTTCCCTGATCGATTGTTCGTATTCTTTCATTAGTTTTGATTTGGTTGTGGAGTTGTTGATATGTCTCCATTTGCTTCGCCAACGCTTGCTGTTTCAGGATTAAATTGGTAATGGTAGATTCTAGACGCCGGGTGAGTGCCTCAGCATACTCAGGCTTACTTAACATGTCTAGTTGTTCCGACATGGTGTCGTATGGTTCCTTATAGTACACTTATTAATCATCTCTGATTCGGATTATAAATTTTAGGTCCGATATTGGGTGCGCACACGACACACCAAAAAGAATGCGAAGAAATGCGAAATGCAAAATGCAAAATGTCGTACTCGATGAGATGCTATGTACAATGTAGTTACTGAGACTACGGAGATTAACCTAATTATATACTGACACAGCTGAGACTCTGATCCGAAGTCTACTGAGACTACTCAGCATTCTCTTAGACTAGTCTCTAGTCTGCACTATAGTCGTCTCTAGTTTACCGTAGTCTACTCTAATTACTCTATTACTGTTGGCCTTTATTTTCTATTCTCCCACTCCTCTAACGACTTCTCATACTCTTCATCTTCTGTAAGTGGTATTTCCTGTTGTGGCTGTTGTTGCTTCAACAACTCTTCGTCTTCCTCTCTTTCCTGCTTATCATACTCATCCTTAAATTCTATCCATCTCTCATGAACATCCACGTCGGCATATGGTAGACCTCCCTGTCTAGTAGCTTCACTCCAAATTAAATCTCCTCCTATTTCACTACCAAAACTATACCCATTAGCCTTATCTATTACCAGAAGTAAATGAATCATACATCGTTTATTTTCTACACTCAAAACTTCAAATGATACCAAATTGAAATCTTGGACAAGCTCTCCGATTAACTCCGTCAATCGCACATAGTTTTGACCAAGTACTGAGTTGGATTCCTTCTCCAAATGAGGAGTTAAATACGTTAAATCTTGTACTTCGGTATAATAGTCAAGTCGGAATGGTAACTCACCGTACTGTCTCAACATATCGATTTTACTTATTACATTAACATGGGGTAAATCTAATTGTAACATGGATCTTAGACTTAATAATAGTATCGATACATACTGTGAAGGACTAGTAATATATATGGAATCCACAAGTGATACTACACAGAGACGCAATCGGCTCTCCTTAACAAGCTTCTTAAATATCTTATACAAGGAATTGTGATGGGTGAATAATTCAACTTGTCCAGGACAATCGAATATAAGATAATTCTGCTCATCCACTAATTTATTAACCTGAGCAATAAACTCATCAACACCTTCCTCATCCAAATTTTCTAATGCATACATTAATCCACCATTAGGTCCCAAGTTCAACTCCTCCATAATCTCTTCTAACGTTATGTAATCTCGTATATCCAATGCCACCTCTTGCTGATATGGTAAGTTATCATTAGCTGGATCTAAGTTAATGATAGCCAGTTTCCGCCCGATCGCCGAAAGAAACTGGTACAATCCATAACTGTAAGTGGACTTCCCCGATCCTGGTGGTCCGATAATTATCTGACCGAACATCTCCTATTTCGTATAGATCCCAATAACTTGCCTCTTACACTAATCAGTAGTAATTAGTCTTTTAGTAGTGAATAATTTTATTAGTGATATTTGGCGCAGGCGCACGACCAGCCTCCACCGATAGTGAAGGCAAAAATGTGAGCACCATAATATACAAGTCAAGTCAATTGACAGTTGAGTAAGCTTCTATCATAAACAGACAAGATGTCGGAAGTTACCACAGGCATAGCCAATGAAGTCACGTTTTTAAGTAAAACTGTTACCGTATCACCATTGGTATTATTATCAGTAGTAGATCATTTCAATCGAGTAGCCAAGGATTCTAAAAAGAGAGTGGTGGGAGTGATATTAGGAGATAATTCTAGTGATATCATAAGAGTTACTAATTCATATGCCATACCATTTGAAGAAGATGATAGAAATCCCAATGTATGGTTTTTAGATCATAATTTTATAGATTCTATGGGGGAAATGTTTAAGAAGATTAATGCAAAGGAAAAGTTGATTGGATGGTATCATTCTGGTCCTAAATTGAAACCTTCTGATTTGAAAATTAATGATGTATTTAAGAAATATACTTCTAATCCATTATTACTTATAGTTGATGTTCAACCTCGTGAAGTTGGTATACCAACTGACGCATATTTTGCAGTAGATGATATTAAAAATGATGGATCAGCTGCTGAAAAGACATTTATTCATGTTCCATCTCTTATAGAAGCTGAAGAAGCTGAAGAAATCGGAGTAGAACATTTATTAAGAGATATTAGGGATCAGGCAGCTGGGAATTTATCATTAAGAGTTAGTCAAACTTATCAATCCTTATTAGGATTACATCAAAAATTAACCGAAATTGCCAATTATTTGGATAAGGTTTATTCGAAAAGTTTACCAATTAATCATACTATCTTGGGTAAATTACAAAATGTGTTTAATCTTCTACCAAGTTTAAGTGGTACTGATCCAAGTTTAATTGGTCATAATGGTACCTCTAATCCTTTATCAACTGCATTTACAGTTAAAACCAATGATCAATTGATGATTGTCTATATCAGTACATTAGTTAGAGCTATTATAGCCTTTCACGATTTAATTGAAAATAAGTTAGAGAATAAAGTATTGAATGAAAAGAATAATGCAGTACTTAATGGAGATGCAGAAGATTTAAATGGACCTATTTCTAATTTAAGTACTGAAGAAAAGGGTGAAGGAGTAAGTAAAGAAGGCAAGTAGATGCCATACATACTTAATAGAACATATCTAATAGTTCATATACATTAGTTACATCATATTATTGTAGAAGTAGTAATAATATAGTCGGGCTCTGGATCTACATTAGTTCCCCATTAAGTCAGATGCCGTCAGAAGTGGGTCGTGTCCTCTGACCCAATATCTCAGCAAAAAATTTGGAGCCTATACTCAAGGACATATGGCTTGATTTCCACTGGCTCAGCTATTTACCTATTCTGTACTCTAATTCCAATTGACTAGGCATTGTGAAAATCATGGCCAGTCGAATAATTAGTATTCCGCGGATGAATACCGTGGGCAGTTTTAATTTTTTCTTTCAGAATACTAAGAGGAATCTATTGTTACATCAAAACTTTATTGGCAATCAGTATCTAGCATTAAATCATGGAAAGAGTAGGCGAGTGATATCATCAGTAACGAAATCGGACTCAGGTTCAAATCCTCATCATAAATCATTCATTTTGGAGAATGTAGCTAGTAAAATGTTGAATTGTCAAGAGCCAGGGGCTAAGCTGTCACAAAAATTTGGTGATGCTAGCATTGAAGGTCATGATAATATCCCTTTCAAAGTGGTACCTAGACAGCCACGAGTTGGTACAGATGGTGCTTCATTGCCGTCTGACACTTCAGCAGCTGCCACCGCATCATATGATATCCAATCACTTCCCAAATCAAAGGCTGAATTAATGACTTTACTTGGTCCATACATAAAACTAACTAAACCCAATTTAACTGTCCTTGTGACATTAAGTTCTATTTGTTCTTATGCCTTGTCTCCATTATCTGTATCTTTACATGAATTACTATTTTTAACAGTGGGGACTGCTTTATGTTCTGGAGCTGCCAACGCTATAAATATGGGAAGAGAACCGGAATTCGATCGTAAAATGCCGAGAACAGTAGGAAGACCTGTAGTAAGAGGTTTAATAAGTCCTACACAAGCATATCAATTTTCTGCCTTAAGTGGTAGTGTTGGATGTATAATGTTATGGTTTGGAGTTAATCCAATTGTATCTGGATTGGGATTTTTGAATATCATATTATATTCTTGGATATATACTTCACTTAAGAGAGTATCTATTATTAATACATGGGTAGGTGCCATAGTTGGAGCTATCCCACCCTTGATGGGTTGGGCAGCCTCGTCATCATTGATGCATCCTGGATCTTGGTGTTTGGCAGGATTATTGTATGCTTGGCAATTCCCCCATTTCAATGCTTTATCGCATAATATAGCTCAACAATATAAGCAAGCAGGGTATGTTATGACAGCTGCTGAAAATCCTCGATTGAATGCTCGAGTAGCCTTAAGATACTCCTTATTAATGTTCCCATTATGTTTTGGGCTCAGTTATTTTGGAGTAACTGATTGGGTATTTCCATTTGATTCTGCCTTAGCCAATGGTTGGTTGACATACTTAGCCTATCAGTTTTGGAGTCAACAAGAAAAGAATTATAAGAACGCTAAACCAACAGCTGATGGTTTAGCATTGGCTGGAGTCCATGCTAAGAAGCTCTTCTGGTGTTCAGTATGGCAATTACCAGCTGTGCTCATATTGGCCATGCTTCACAAAAAGGGTCAATGGGATAGGCTATTTACGTATATGGGCTTGAAAAAGTCGAAAGATGCTAGACTAGTATAGTCAGCGACATTACATAAGTTATTCTTGTAAATACATAAACATAAATACATTATAAAAAATGTTTCGGGTTATCCTCTCCGTCTACACTGTGCTTCACCAATGAGCCTTCATTTACTGTTAATCACATTATTTATTAGTATGGGCAGCATTCACAACAATTTGGTTTAATGTATGAGATCGAAATCCACTCCATTGAAATATGTCTCCCTTCACTTGATCGTTAGCGTCTACTAAATCATCAACATACGTACCATCACTAACTGATAACACATCCCCTACACCTTGCTCGTCAACACAATCGGCCCATAATATTAAATCAAAATTACCTGTATTTCCCGGTGTTAGTACGTAATTGCCTTCTGTTCCTTCCCATATGTTAATATTAGCAATTTTTGTACCCAAACATTCACTGAATTGTGATAAATTAAGTGTGAAATTTAGTTGTTCAGTATAAAAATCATTCTGGTGATGATGACGATATCCACTCCATTCAAAAATGTCTCTATTTATATGATTTCTAGCATCTAATAAATGATTTGCAGCTTCTAAGCCATCAGTATATGTGCTATCACCAAAGGAGAATATGGATTCTACATCTTGTTCTTCTAAGCAAGCTGACCACTCAATCGAATTGAAAGTAGTACCTTCTATTGGAGTAATTACGAAATCACCCCCTGTACCCCATATGTTTATATTACTAACATTTGTACCTACACATTCACTAAATTGTGTCAAATTAAATGTGACATTTAGTTGTTCATAAAATTCAGCATGTGCACTTGATAAGTCTTCTGGGCTTGATTCTGTGCTTGACCACTTTAGAAATGCTATTACTGTAAAAGTTAAAATACTATATAACATATTATAAAATATGAATTTGATATCTAAGAAACTGTATTATTTTTGCAACCCTATGTCTTCGACTTACCCCAGCTTTAGATATTATCAGTTTGATCAGTAAAAAGTATTACACGGCTGTATCGGAGGCACACTTATATGTATATATACTACTAGTACTAGTTCTGTTATAGTAATCAGATATTAATAAACTAAAATCATCCCTATTCTATATATCTATTAAGGAAGGACATCTTTAAATTTCCTCTGCTTCTATTTATAGAACTATCTTATCGATTGTATAAATATGACTCACCATCCGCTTTTTTTCCCATTACAGATGAAGATCAAGTCCTTCCAATCAAAGTTATCCCCATTAATGTAATCACTGGTATCTACTAAATGATTAATAGCATCAAATCATCAATATATGTGTTATTACTAACTGAGAGTAGCCGTTCTACACTTTGGCCGCCGACACAATAAGCCAACACAATAAATTGAAAGCAGTTGCATTTACAGATGAAACTATATAATCGCCTTTTATACCCAATATGTTTATATTTCTCATGTTCTTCCTGAATTGTATCAAATTAAGCGTGAATTAAAGTATAAATTCAACATGTTGACGATTCCGAAAAGCGCTTGATAAACGTGTTGTTAATAAAAATTTTAAAAAAGAGCATTCTCTTAAATATGAATTTGATATCAGAGAAACTATACATTCTGTAATATTCCTGATTATAAAACTAGGCCCTTTTGCTTCTATAAGTTCAATAGCTTTAATTAATTTGGGTGGAGAAACACGTTATAATGCAAGTTTCTAACTAAGGTTATGAATCAATCCACCGTCCCGCTTATTCTTTCATTAATAAATACTCGCTTATTTGTCGGTTAACCAAGTTAAGCTTTCTCTAGCCACATTATTATCTGATACATTTCTCTTCTTCACTTGTTTACGTGGTTTTACTTAACTCTGATTTAAGCTTTTACGATTGCATACGCTTTTCATTCAAACTCGGGGTATGCTTCTCGGATAATTCGCAGCCAAAAAAGTGTAGTGCTGAGAAATGTTTTGTTTATTTAACAACAAGATATAGGTTACTTATTATCCTTAGCCGGTTAATCTTACAGATTATTTGAACTTAAACAACAAGTTTGATATATTCAATTGATGAAAAGTGCATCCTTTCACCATTAGAAAAAATTACACACATTATAAAAAAGATGTTTCGAATCATTAACCATTTGGTGCAAGTCATACCGACTAAAAGTTAATATCACTTACGCCTATATTTCACTAAATGTTTCACTTAATATTACACACACACAGTTAATTACACTCCCATCTCACAACAACGTAATACATCTCATGGTCCAGCTATCAAAATATTTCCAATAACTTGTGAGATAAGGTCATCACTTGTACCATCACCAAGGGCCCCCAATAAGTCTGATTCAGCTTGTGTTGTTACGCATTCAAACCATGTGTTAAAGTCAGTAACATTCAGACTAATGCAGTCACCAAACAGTGCCAAGTCGAATTTGGAACCTGCGGCACTTGAAGATCCAGCACTTGAAGATCCAGCACTTGAAGACCCAGCATCTCCATTTGAGGGTTCAGTTGTCAATTTTGGTAAAAGACCATCAAGTGAAAACTTTGGGATAAGACCGGCAGTTGAAAACCTTAAGAAAACTGTAATTAAAATAGTAAAAATATAGAATAACATGTTATGAAGTATGAATTTGATGTCTTAATATCTAAGTAACTGAATCATTTTCTGAGATTTTCTTGTAGTATTTATATTCTGATTTGGATCCTTTGAGTTTCAATAAGTATAGGTTGAGTTTGTTTTAGAAATGAATAGTTTCCAAAGGGTATGAATTCCTACCCCTATTATTTCAATATTAATTATATTCGTCTAATCCTTTAGTTAATTAGGTTATATTTGTCTCCAGAGAAATAATCCTATATCAAGTAATTACGTATTATGGGTCTTCTTTACTCCACTCTTTGTGTTTCCTATTCCCGCCTCTTGGCTGTAAACTTAAACCTCCACCATAATATAACTAAGTAGTTGTCTCACAAGGCTATTAGAGTAGTGTGACATATTAGTCCCTTACAATTACGTACCCCTCTTATGTTCACTTATATTTCTTAATAACTGTCAGATATAAGAATTTACGGATCATTCTAGAAAAGATTTGTTATGCATTAGTACATTCAGTACATAAGGACGATAATACTCCTAATTGACACCCTTTACTTATTCGTAGTGACTCGTTTTGTTTTGAGACTTTCAAGTACAATGAATCCGACCAGGCTTTGATTGCTGTTCACATTTACGATTATCACATGAATTCACATCAATTGAAGATGAGAAACAAACATTCTTTGTTAATACGCGTCAATATAAGTAGGTATCACTTAATTCGATGTTTAAGTGGCAATTACAGAAGCAATAGAAGAGCATATACTTCGTAAATTTGGCACATGAAAATGTAGAAGCTGTGAGAGAGAATAGTTGTATATGAACCATTACTAAATTCTTCAACTTACAAAAGGGTATACATAATACCTGAACAAATTGTCCACAAAAGATTTTCACAATATCGTATGATTGATTAATTAGCTTGCAGCCATTTATGTCCTACTAGGTCGTTCACTGCTCAAACGTCCGTTGTTAGTAAATCACGTGAGATGAAGTATTTCATATATGGTATACTCTATCAAGTAATATAAGATATAAATATCCTATACTTTCTTATCCGTTGTTCTGTATATAAATACGAAATTTAGTGCTTTAACTATAAAAGATAGTGATAAGTATCAATATTATAACTTCAGCATAGGCTACCCACCAGTCACGTGTATGAGTGAATCAACAACTTTTCATTCCATCTATAAAATTATCAGGATCTGTATTCCCGTGATTATTGTCGCACTAGCCTTAGGAATCCCCATTGTCAATTTTGATTTGATACCTTTTAGACATCAACAAGACGTAGATCCAAAACCAAAACCACAAGATATAGAACCAGAATCAAAGCCAAAGCCAATGTCGCAACTCATACCAGCAATCCGTATCTCAGCTATAACTAAGCCTGCAAAATCAGCCGTCATTATCGTACATGGACTTGGCGATACCGGTGAAGGATGGTCATGGTTTCCTAATTTGGTTAAGCAAGCTAAAATCCTTAAGAATCCTGAATCAGTAAACTATGTATTTCCCAATGCTCCTCAAATCCCCATTACTGTCAATGGTGGGTACGTTATGCCTGCATGGTTTGATATTTATGAGTTTGGTAATCCGAATGCTCGTCAGGATGTTCCAGGGTTCTTCAAAAGTTGTGATACATTAATTAGCTTAATCAAAGAACAGACCGAAGTTCATAACATTCCTGCAGAAAAAGTTATCATTGGAGGCTTTTCTCAGGGAGCTGCTATCTCATTGGCTACTGCTAGTTTGTTAGATTTCAAAATCGGTGGGGTAATAGCCATGTCCGGGTTCTGTCCCATTAAGGATGATATCAAGGCTAAACTTGATGGTAAAACTCCAATTAATGCAGGTACACCAGTTTTCCAGGGTCATGGAGAAGCAGATCCAATGATTGTTAAAGCCTATGGAGAACAGACTAGTGAGTTCTATAAGAGTTTAGGATTCACTAACTATACATTCAAGACATATTCTGGAGTAGCTCATAGTGCAGGAGATGATGAGTTGGTGGATGTAGTCAAATTTATTGCTGGTATTTTTGATTAGAGTGTAAAATTATGAAGAATATAGTATATAGTATATAGTAACAATAGAGCAATATAGTACAGTACAGTATATAATTATAGTTATATAATTTATAGTTAGTCTATATCGTAGCATTTTCGCTTTCGCGTTCTCTCGGCTCGGTTTTCGAAAATCGGTCCTCGAAATTCGGAACTACGTGTTCTACAATAAGAATCTAACCATACTCCATTCTAACCAACACCTCATTGCAACACACAGTTAACGTATGGAACCTCCTGGTAGACAGATCCTCAAGGCCGTGCCGTTGCTCGGCTTAAATAAACCAGGATCTCCCGACAATTTGTCGGCTAAAGACAAGCGATATCACCAACAAGTAGAGAAAGCGCTAGGTACGTTTGACAGTTTAGAAGAATGGGCCGATTACATCTCATTCTTATCTCGATTACAAAAGGCTCTTCAATTGAATGAAGACTCATCTAGAACACATTCTACCATTGCGTGTGGAGCTCAAGTGGCCAATAAGTTATCATTATGTTTATCATCACGATTACCCAATGGTGTTCATCAAAAGACTCTTAGTATATATGAAAGTATATTTAGTAGTTTAACTACTGAAGCATTGAATTCTGAATTATCTATTTGGTTACCTGGTCTACTTCCATTATTATCGTATTGTTCTATTCTGGTTAAACCTCAATTAATTCATATCTTTAAAGTATACTTATTACCTTATATCAAGCAAAAGAATCTTCGAATTATTTCTAAACCAATCATACTAAGTCTCCTTCCCGGACTTGATGATGAGAATTCCGAAGTGTTTGGTGATGTTATTGATTTGTTGGATACTTTTAAAACCAATTTAGATGATGATAGTCATTTTTGGCAAAGTATGTTTCTTTGTATTATCAGTAATCCAGAAAAACGGTTAGGAGCATTATTTTGGTGTAATAGAAGATTACCTCAATTTACTGTTAAATCTCCACAAGTTCTTGCATGTCTTACTCCAGAACCAGGACTCTTAATTAGATCATTTGCTACTTCAATAAACTCATCTACAACTATGAATTCTGCTAGTGATATCATAGTTGTTAGAGGTTTCTTTGATCTATTATTATCTCATTTACCACTCGATAGTCCTGTGTTCGACTCAATTATCTCACTTAAGGATAAACAATTATTAATATTGGCTTGTAGTAGAGTCACTTTAAAGAAAGATATGTCTCTCAACAGAAGATTATGGAACCTTTTCTTAGGTCCTGAACCAGATGCTGCTGAACAGAAATCATTAAGTCGATCTCAGTACTTTGAAAAGTATGCACTTGAAGGACTTACCGTCAAGTTATTACTGTTAGTTCAATCTAATTCCATTCAGGATACCATCGATGCATTCAAGATCTCCTTATCAATCATTATGGATAAGTGGGAGATCTCTACGTTAATAACTCCAAAATTATTCTCTCCACTCTTACAAGTGTGTTATGAAAGTAGAAACAATGAAGAAATCTTAGCATCAGCTCATGCATTCTTTGATGGTATAGAATCTTCATATATCTGGAATGATATCATTGATATCATCATTGAACAAGATTCTCAACGTCTTGATATGTTGGATTTTGTATTAAGAAGCTTTAACTTCAATGAAGAAGAAATGATTACTGTTCATGCCCCCTTGGCTGTACTTTCATTATTGTCTAAGGCCATTACTGAAGGTATAAATTCTGATATCATTACTATTCTTGAACTTTTGATTAGCTTAATTCCACAACGAGCTTATGGACCATTATCCAATACTGACGACAATTCAACTGCATCTCCAATTCCAACTCCAGAAATTCTTCCCATAGTCAGAGCCTTCTATGATCAAAGTAAAGCTAGTGATATTGAACTTCCTATTACCAAACAAAGATTTTCAGCTCTGGTAATAGATATGTTAACAAATCTCAGTATTTCTTATCTTAACCAAGTTCCAATTGCTTATGCTTTAATCACCATTCTATGTGATACTTTGAAGACTATTCCTAACGAGCCAGAATATGTATGGACCAATAATAAATTAATCGATACATTATTGATAAATCCATTGAATACAGACAATAATGATCAGGTATTATTATCATTTGCTCTTGCAAAGGTCTTTAGTATAATCCATAAATCATTAACAGTAGTAGAAAAGGAGAAATTACTTAAACTTATTCTTTCGAATCTTCTGGTGGCACTTTACTCATCCAATCCAGCTGATTATCAAGTAGAAGCAGTTAGAACAATCTATGATTTAGAATTAAGTATTCTGAGTTATAGTATTGAAGCAGGATTAGTGGAACTTCTTCTTAAACTTCCTGTTTATCTTCGAGTCAGAGCATTTGAAACTCTTTGGACTCATTCTACTTCTATTGCTGATAGTGATCGTATCTTATTGCGTCCTTTACAACTTTTATTGGATTCTCTTGATATTAAGGATGATCCACAAGCACAAGCAGTGATTTCCTTTATTGGAGTTTCATTAAAAAATGGTTCATCCAATAGACTCTTGAAACTTATTACTAGTCCTGTATTAGAATTTGAATTTTTACAAGCAGATAGATTGGAATTAACTATAGATGATGATTTGAATATCTTTACTTATTATATGTCTACAGTATTAAATGTTCTTAAGACAAATGGCAAACATGTCAAAGAAGCATTTAATAATGAATTTGCAGTAATGGATAATAGTTCCAAATTAAATCTTATCAAACAGAATGATTGGGATATTTCTACTTATAAATCATTAATGCTTTCAGTGATTGAACGATTTTTCCAATTGAAACTTGATTCAACTTTATTAAATGATGTTAAGGCATTGGATTCCTATAGTAATTCCATACAAATAAGTCTTCAACTTTTGGATTTATTAATTACTGGGGGTGAAACTGTATTTGCTAAGAAATTCTATGGTCTTATTAATGTTTGTTTCTATTATATGGATACAGTTACTGATAATAAGTATATTATTGAATTGATCCAAATAAGAGTTCTTAAATCTATCTTTAGATTTTTGGAACTTGCTGATGATTCAAATCTTAATCATAGCTTATTACATGTAGAAGATAATGCTAAGGAACCGGTAATTGTTAGCTTTATAATTAAAGGTATAGATAGAGCTAAGACTTCACTCTTATTAGAGAGTTGGATATCATTACTTACTCGATCTTTATACTTATTTAATGATGCAGTCTTTAGTGTATTATTAAGTTTAAATGATGCTATTATTAAGAAAATCGAAGATAACTTTGCTAGTATTACTTCATTTGAAGATATAGATATTGTCCAGGATGTTGAACTTTCTATAAACATATTAGTATCTGGACTTGAAGATTTTCTTTCTATAAGTCATAGTTTCTTAATGAGATCAACTCTTGGTAATGGATCAGAAAAGGTTTCCTTAACTACTTCTGAATCAGGATTCTTAAATACCGTTATTCAAGGTGTATTCCTGATTGAATCACCTGCTATAAGAACTTCAGCATATAATAAGCGATATTCAGTATTATTAGCATTTCAAGATGCAGCAAAGGCTTGCTTTAATATATGGAGTTGGTCAGATTCAAAACCTCAATCATCAAAGGATAAGTTTAGATTAACTGATAGATCCTTAACTTCTTTAGGTCATAAACTTAAATTTAGAGCTAGAAAGTTATTAGAAGCACTTATGGATTTAGAACGTCAAGAAGTTATAGAAACTTTAGTTGAAATATCTCCTTCTGATGATATAACAGTCAAACTTTTACATATTCTTGATGGAGGTAGATCTCATATTACCCTTCCTCATCTCTTTGATTCTATCTTAACTAGATGTTATCCTCAATTATTAGATGATCAAAAGAAATCATCTCAAACCAGTTCTATTACTGAAAAGGATCTTTCAAGATTCTTAGTACTGTATTTCAATTCCATTGATATTGATTCCTTATCTGATATTTGGTCAATGTCTCTTCAATTCTTTAAGGATGCCTTAGCTCATGCTAGTCATTTTAGAATCATTTTTCCAGAATGTTTAAAGATTTGTGCTATTCTTTCAAATAAACTTAATGCATCAAAATTAAGAGATCAAAAGAAATATAAGAAGGAATTAGCCGATTTCTTTTCTAGACTTCTTAATAGTACTGTAAGTACTAAAGGTAGTCTTGGAAATTCTGAATCAGAAGAGAAAGAAGAAGATGAAGTTAAAGAACTGACACCTGGTGTTGAAGGAGTAATTATAGCTCAAGATGATGTTTTAGATGCCATAACTGTAGTATTAGAACAACTTGATAGTATCCTTCAAGATTCTGATAAAGTGATTCCATCAGTTAATATTATTATTACTTATTTAATCACTCCTCAAATTCGTCCTAAAAAATTAGGAGAAATTTCCATGAAAACTCTTAGTTTACTTGAAATTATTGGTAAACGTCATCCTATAAAGCCTTGGAAAACAGCTGTATTTGATGTATTTATGGATAATAATTTCTTTAATTTCAGTGCTAATAAGATGAAGGTATGGAATTCTATTATTAGTCTTTGGATTAGTAATGATAGAGAAAGAATTAGTGATATGATAGTTAGAATCACTCCTACCGCTCTGTCAACTCCTGGTATTTTCACTTGGAATGAAAATTCTGAAATTGAAAGTAAAATTGGTAGTCTTAAGAGAATCACCTATCTTTTATTGATTCAACCAACTGATTTCTTTCTTAATTATTTTGATGAAATCTTTAATAGAATTGAATATGCATTATCCATGTCATGTCCTATAGCTTATAGAGCTGCAATAATAATATTGCTTAGAGCTCTTACCCTTAAATTTAATGAATTACATTTACTCCCTCGTTGGACAATAATTACTCAAGAATTAATTTCAGTATTTGAATTATTTGCTTACAAATCTCAAAAGGAATTAAACAGTATACCCAATGATGAACTCAAGTTATTATTAAATGGCTGCAAATTATTAGATCAATTGTTAATGCTTGGATATGACGAATTCAATCTTCAAGAATGGCTTTATATTTCTAACAGTCCTGATGTCATTAATGGTACTTCACTGCCCAATCTTGTAGCCATTATCGATAGAATATCTAAATCATTTGATTTTACCTACTTGAAGGATGAAGCTATCACTATAGAAGCTCCTCAAGATTCACTCGTCCCATTACTTGAAGGTGTCAAAGATATAACCAGTATCACCAAGTTACGTTTATTCTTTGATTCCCTCAGTCTCATCCATTACGAGAGAACTTATGGACTCTATGCGGTAGATATAGCCCGATGCACTAGTGATATCTTAACCGATTTGGTGTAATTGCTGCTAAAAAAAAGAAGAACAAAAGGTCGTGGACTTTGAGTAGACGCGCCCTGTCCCAAATAGGTAATACTTTTACAATATATAATTTACAGGTTACACACTACAAAATATAAACCATATGGAAAACTCTCTCATTATAATAAGTAAATATAGGCCAATCCGTAATATACCACTTACTTACGTACAGTGTGATGCACCATTCGGACGAGGACGATTACTCGGACGAAGAGTTTGATGAGACCGGAATTGAAACTCCGAGATCACTTCGAAACGATAAGCCTATCGGAAGTTTCAGCTTTACGAGAGATCGAAGTAATACTCTGATTCATGAATCTGTATCCACAGTACCGTTGAATGATAGTCTGAAATATACTAAGTATAGATCCCGAAATGGAACTCCCTTGAAACAGCCTCCTATCACTTCTGGACGAATATCATTTGAGGAAGAGGAGTTTGAAGATGATCACTTTATACGGTCCGATAAACTCATATCTCCGGCCAAGGATAACTCCAAGTATGAGTTTTCTACGCCTGTGAAGAAGAATAAGTACGTTGGGTTCAGTTCTCCTCCGTCCAATCTAAAGTTTAATACATCGATTGAAATCGAGAATGGCTTAAGTAGGCAACAAGATGAAGAAGTAGAGGTACCTCAAACACAGTCTGTGTTCGATAGTAATGCCCATGTTGAAGAATTGGAATTCGATTCTTCAGATAATGAAGATAAACCAAAACCTTTTTCAACTTCTTTAGAGAATCCTAGTACTCTGAAGGATCACAAATTAATACCTTCTCCCAGTCATGAAGTAGTGGTACGGAGCTCAAACATACCGGAAATTCAGGAATCATTACCCATTAACGATGTATCAACTCCAAGAAAGCATTCTTCTCCGGTGCATAGATCAGAGGTTGACGTTTCACGAGATAGCATTATACAAAGAGTTAATCAGACATTAAATGTTCTAAATCAACCAACCAAGAAATATCCAGAAGTACGCTCATCTCCAAGAGTGGCGGGTCAACTTCTAACTAGAAGTACTAATATAAATGAAGATGTATCTAGTTCCCTAGACTCTGAACCTGAATTTGTCAATGACTTCCTCCTTCATCAGCGAGAATTCAACACTATCAAAGATCAATCTCCAGCACTTGATTTTCAGATTGACAGATCTCATCAGTCTGTGCCAACCATAGAGACATTGACTGATGTATCTAAGCTGACAACTCCAGTGGTTGAAACACTCGCTAGCAAAGGATGGACGGCCCAACAGTGGAAAAATCTTACTAAGATAGTACGACTGAAAAGTATAAAAAGGAGAGAAGCCATAAATAGTACGTACTTACTCGAGGTATTAGGATGTACTAAAAAGGAATTACGACAGAGGTATGACTTTATAGTTCACTTACGTCAGAAAAGAAGGAGAACAACTCGAAAAAAGTAAGCCTTACTCTCCGTTGCACTATATGTATGTGTGTATATGTAACTATTATGTAAATTATAAATGTATTATCATCAATTAACAATATATAAGGTACTAGAATACTGGTACTAGAATACTTTTGATAACACCGAGTTTAATCTATCGCTTGGTTTTGCATCGTCCTTTATAGAAGTATCAGCATCTGCTCTTTTACTACTGACTTTTCTTTGTTTAAAACTTCTCCTTATTTCTTCCTCTCCTCGTTCAGCTTCATCACCTCTTTCTATTTCCTTTTCTTTTCTCTTTCTTTGTATATTGGAGATCATCTTGGACTTTTCTACATTGTTAACAAAAGATTTATTCAATTTCTGTTGTTGAGATAATTCTAAAGCTAATCTGGCTTGCCTTACTTCATTCTCCTTGGCAATTTGTTGAGTTAAATCAAACCATTTAAATCCAGAAAGGTATTTGATATTTATTACATCATCATAATAATATGAAGTTTTCTTACCGCCAAGTTTATTTCCATTTAAAGTAGATGCACACATTTTGGCATCCTTTTTGCTAACAAATTCTATCCAACCTTCTGTAAAGTTCTTCTTTTTATTACCACCATATTTGACTCTCTTATGGTGAATAGCGGCATCTTCAGGTTTTAAGAATAGTCTATCAATCTTACCAAAGCGCGATAGTATAGATCTCAAAGTTGATGGCTTCATGTAAGGTGGCACTCTTGATAAGTAACATACACCGGTCTTCTTTATCCTTTTTTCTTCCTTCTGTAATTGTTCTGGCGTCAATTTCTTTAGTTTCTTATTCAATTGTGAGTCTTTGCTTTTTGATTTAATTTGAGGTACCTCATCGCCAAAACCCTCGATTTCACTATTCTCGTCTTCTTCTTCATCATCATCAAACTGATCTTCTTCTTCCTCTCCTTCTTCATCATCATCTTGTTCTTCCTCTTCTTCTATTTCCTCATCATCATCATCCTCTTCTTCTTCATCTCTAAATCTGTCCACAGTCAGTTTCTTCTGCACAAATACTTGCTTACCTTCATTTTCATCGTCAGATTCGTCAAAGTCAGATTCATTGAATCTGTCATCATCCACGACTTTGGACACCTCTTCTTTTTTGTTTCTGTTGGCCATTACTGCTGAGTTTAGTTATGCCGCCCACTCATACAAAATTTAAAGATGAGCTGAATTTTTATTTTCGCATCGCGAGTATACGGAACCTAAAACAGATTCTGTGTACCAATATGTTAGAATTCAATACTCTCCAATATGTTATAACTCAATACTCTACTTTCTGGTATTAATATCTATAGAACGTATATACTAATAGTATAATAAAAAAAAACTACACAATTACTCAGCAAAAATACTTTATTAGTATAACTAGAATATATTGGGGTAATATTACAATAAATACAAGACCCATTCAGTTAACTCTTTTGAACTTTAACTTTGTGGGTCTCATGTGTTTCTCATTACTACTTTTATTTTTATTATCATTATCATTATCATTATTATTTTCATTTTCGTTGCTGTTGACGAAAGAATCATTTTCTACTGAATTAGTCTGCTTTCCAGTGGTAAACTCATACAAAGAATTGGACTCTTCAGCTGATGAGTTTCCCTTCGAAGATTCATTCGTTTGTATCTTCCTACTCTTAAACTCGTCCATCAATTCAGATTCAGTTAGGTTACTCCTCCTAACTTGATCTTCTTTAATCAAATCTTTTTGTTTGAGGATTTGTTGATCCCGCTTGTAGCGTTGTAACTCTCTCTTCCTCCAGTCTAGATATTCTTGTTCAGGGTCAAGATCGTCTGTATCGTCTATGCCATTGAAATCATCATCCGCTATCTTGGAAACATCAATGTCTTGTGATGTGTTTTCAAGATTAGATAGAGTTATTTCTTTCGCTCTATTAGATTCATGGAACAGTCTATCTTGTGGGCCCTTCGATTGAATCTGACTTCTCTTTGCTTTCGATAAAAATACAGGTTTCAATAGCAATTGTTCTTCCTCTGATGACGACGAGTTTTCCTCACTACTTTCTTCTTGTGAATATTCAGAAGAGACATCTTCCTCCGAAGATCTGTCTACTTGGCCACTCTTAGACGGTATTCGTGACATAGTTGTATTCCCGCTGGTGTTTCTTCCGTGTATACACATAGGACCGTAATGTTTGCTCACTAAATTACTATTTCGCGCAAGAAAATCCGATTGCAAAATCTCACTATTGAACTACAATGAATAATTGTCAACTAGTTGAATTGTATTTATTTAAGTATATATGTTATATGAAAAATATTTAGCTATTGGTTTTTAATCCAAAGCTTATTTCTTGGTAGCTTCGGCACCAGTTTTAGCACCTTCATTAGCACCAGAAACGACTCCAGAGACGTACTCAGCGGCATTACCAATGGCTTCCTTAGCTTGCTCAACATAACCAGATGCGGTTTCGCTTAAACTTTCTTGCTTTTGACCAGCAGCTTCCTTTGCATCTTCAGAACCAATTTGAGCTTTATCAGCAACAGTTTGTGAAAAGGATTTTTGGTTATCTGGAGTGTTACGTGCAGCAAATGAATCAAGCTTATCGGTTACAGTCTCCTTAGCCTTATCATAAGTTGTCTTTTGGGAGTCTGGAGTAACAGATTCATTGAGTTTATCGGAAAGATTTTTTCTACCTAAGTCAGTCATTTTTGTTTAATTGATTTTTAATTTCTAAATAAGTTTATTTCAATATTCTTACCAATTTATCACATTATTCAGGAACTTTTCAAGTCCTATTTATACTAACCTCGGAGAAATTTCGTCATAAATAAGATTGCTATGGCTGCACTCCCGTGTATGACCAAGCAATTATAATTGAGAGAAAGTGAAATTTACGTTGGCTGTATGCCACATGTCAGATGCCAATTGGCAAAAAAGCTGAAGTTTCACAGCAATCCTGAGAGCATACTTATGACCGCGAAAACATTTTTGTAGCTCATTATGATTGCTACTACATCATTACAGCTACTGCATTTTATGCAATATCTCCGCTCGTATTATTCATTATATGCACCCTTACAAAAGAATATTAGGATGTAAAACTTGGCTGATACGCCTCATAGCAACCATATAATAAAAGTACGGGGGAGGTCATTTAACAATGAATTCTCGAAATAGATTTCGAAACCGAAGAGGAAGAAGAGCCTAAACCCAATTTTAAATCCTTTATTAGAACCTCCTAACTTTAAACTGTGTTTGATAAGAAAATTTATGAATTCGGAAGAATGGCGCCTAAGGCAACTAATTGCCGTTAAAGAATTCATCCCATTTGAGTTGGGGACGACCCATATTGCTTTAGCTGCAAGTCACAATCCCTCTTGCTTAACATATCTAAGTAAAAAAAAGTCTTTATTAATATATGTTACTAAATAAATTACATTGCCTCATTTGGCAGATGCATATATATGGGTCATCTAACCAGAATAAAGAAGCAATTGCTTCTTATTAGTAATGGAGTAAAGAGTGAAGGCTAAACTAGTTTTGACCACCTAATCTCCGTTTTGGGAAGCAAATTTTGTGGATGCTTGGATGCTTACACAAGGATGTTTGGATGTTTCCTTCAAAAAAGGTGGATAGAACATGAAATCTTTCACGTGGCAAATCACCTGATTTAACATGTGAACTTTTTTCTGTACAAAATATTTTGAGATGGATATTTTTACTACTTAAAGGTTTGTAGATAATTATTATATTCATCAGAGCATCCAGAAATGGCTAAAGCGAACTCTCTATCGGCTACGCTAGATCAGAAGATTTATGACTTTATTCATGCTTTACTAGAGGAAAAAACGGCAAAGAATAGGAAAAATTCTTCAGCGGAAGAACGAGATGACCCATTAGCAGGTATAGCGCTAGCCAAGGATTTAACGGTAGCAGAGATTGTTCAATATGTTCAGCTTAAAGATTTTCAATTGAGACGTATGAAGAAAGTAGCGTTGGAAAAGTCAATCACTTCAGTGTTGGATATAGTAAGAAGTGATGAAGTAGCCGAGTTAGGGGAATTGATTTCACAAAGAAATGAAAATATAGATAGTGATTTCGACGGAGTATCTGAAAGTGATCTAATGGAAGTCAAAGATACTAACGAATTAAATAAATCAGTAGTTTCACTTTGGAATATTAATGATAAAGAAAATGGTAATACAAAGGAACAGGCGACTGATGAACCAACAACAGTTGCAACTAACAATGATAAGTTAACGGATGAAGACAAGAGGATACCGAAGAAAAGAACAAAAGATTCAACCAAACAAATCATTAAAAAGCAGAAGTCAAAGATTGATCACACACCTCCAACGTCCACTTTATCATCATTGGGAGGGTTAGAGAACATTACTACTCAATTAATGGAATTGATCGGTTTACCAATATTGCATCCAGAAATATATCAATCAACAGGTGTTGAACCTCCTCGCGGGGTCCTTTTATATGGACCACCAGGTTGTGGTAAGACAACAATTGCTAACGCCTTAGCTGGTGAATTACAAGTCCCTTTCATTAATGTCTCTGCGCCTTCTATTGTTGCTGGTGTCTCAGGGGAATCAGAAAAGAAGTTAAGAGATTTGTTTGAAGAAGCTAAATCAATAGCCCCCTGTTTAATATTTATGGATGAAATCGATGCTATTACTCCAAAGAGAGATGGGGGTGCACAAAGAGAAATGGAAAGAAGAATTGTCGCTCAATTATTAACATTAATGGATGAATTAACTTTGGAAAAGACAGGCGGTGCGCCAGTAATAGTCATTGGTGCAACTAATAGACCAGATTCATTGGATTCTGCCTTAAGAAGAGCTGGGCGTTTTGATAGAGAAATTTGTTTGAATGTACCTAACGAAGACCAAAGAGCTTCTATTCTTATGACAATGACTAAGAATATTAAAATAGAAGGTGGCGATTCATTTAACTTCCGAGAATTAGCTAAAATGACTCCAGGGTATGTTGGTGCAGATTTAAAGAGTTTAGTGACAGCTGCAGGTATAGCGGCTATCAAGAGAATTTTTGAAAGCTTAAGCGAACAAGAAGAGGAATTGCTTGCAAGAGCTATAACTACTGATTCAATGGATGTTGATTCAAATACTGCATTAGTACCAACTGAAGAGTCTGAAATTAACTTTAAAGAAAAGAATGATTTGGAAAAATTATCAACAATTCAAAAGTTCTTAATAAAACATCCTAATCCTTTAACTGATCAACAATTAGCTCCATTAGCTATCAGGTATTCAGATTTCTTAACTGCTTTACCTACCGTTCAACCTACTGCTAAGAGAGAAGGATTCACAACCGTTCCTGACGTCACTTGGAGTACAGTTGGAGCTTTGCATAAAATAAGAATGGAATTGCATATGTGCATAGTGCAACCAATTAAAAAACCAGAATTGTATGAAAAAGTTGGTATTACTGCTCCAGCAGGTGTTTTGATGTGGGGTCCTCCTGGTTGTGGTAAGACTTTATTGGCAAAGGCAGTTGCCAACGAATCAAGGGCAAATTTCATATCTATCAAGGGACCTGAATTGTTAAATAAATACGTTGGTGAATCTGAACGGGCAGTCAGACAAGTATTTCAAAGAGCAAGAGCATCCATGCCATGTATAATATTTTTTGATGAATTGGATGCCTTGGTTCCCAGAAGAGATACTTCTCTCTCAGAATCAAGTTCAAGAGTTGTAAATACCCTTTTAACAGAATTGGATGGTCTAAATGATAGAAAGGGTGTTTTTGTGATTGGTGCAACTAATAGGCCTGATATGATAGATCCAGCAATGCTTAGACCGGGACGTCTTGATAAGACTTTATATATTGAGTTACCAAGCAGCGACGAAAGAGCCGAAATCTTAAAGACGTTAGTAAGAGCCAACCATACCCCACTTGATGCTAACGTTGATATGAAATTGGTTGCCGAAGATAACAGATGCCGGAACTTTTCTGGTGCTGACTTGTCATCTTTAGTTAGAGAGGCTGGTGTGATTGCTCTTAAGAAAAAGTTCTTTAACAACCAAGCTATAGATCAGTTAGATGCTTCTGGATACGTTGATCTGGAAAATTTTGAGGATTCAATTACAGTTACACTAGACGATTTCCATGAGGCACTCTCTAGTATTAGCCCAAGTGTTAGTGATAGAGATAGGGCCAGGTATGAAAGATTGAATAAGAAAATGGGCTGGAGCATTATAAAGGAAGAAGAAAAGGCCGAAGAAGCCCCCAAGAATGAGAGCAATACCAACAACTGAATAAATCATTATGTATTATTATTTTAGATAGGACTATGAATGTATACATTTATCTTTGAATTGATTTTTATCTGCAAATAATAGCACAGCCAATGGACCATGAGCATAGACAAGAGCTGAACCCTATTTCAAATGCTTTTACCATCCATTACTCTTTAACCATACCGCATCAACTTAAAATTATTATCCTTAGATTATCATAATAACAAAATATTTGTAATGGGAACATGAAAATTCTTCACCTTTAAGACCAGTCATCGAAGACATTATCTCCAGATTTAATGACTGTTTGCTCTAGTATTCTCTTGAGATACCCCTACCTGATTACTGAAACAGCAAGTGCCAACATCAACAATATTCGATCTTTTATGTCTATACAAAAACAAAAAATATTAGTTCTTCTTTGTTCTTCACATATTAAACAATAATTTGGATCAAATCTTGTAATGGTTAATTTCTATTAGTACAAATATATAATATAATGTCCATGGTAACATTAACATGAACAAAGATAATCAAATCTGTAAATATCCAAAAGCAGTATATTACAACAACAGCAGCAATTTCACTCTTCGAAAATTTCATTCAAACATCCGAAGTAGAGTAAATACAATATAACGTTCATATTGCTTTTACATTAGTGATAACTCTAGCACAAACAAACTAAGCTTGTTGTTTTAACTAGCAAAAAAACATACACTACTTTCTATTTGTTAAATTACCTTTCCAAATGCATATAAGCATTGCAAGTTTTCAAATTTGTGTTTTTCAATCGGCAAATATGACTTGAAATGATGATAAACACCCGAAAATAAAACAAAAACGCCAATTCAACCTTTTAAGTGAGATCGCAGCTTAAAACATATCACTTATAGTGCATTTAAGCGGAAATTTACAAGTCAAAATGTACCTCTCCACTCCATTCACTGAAATATTAATTCAAATATTCCCGAAAAAGTATGTTTATAACTTAAAAAAGTAATATGTATGGAATCGTGGCTAGAAAAACTAAGAAAATTTACAAATTCACTCTCTGAAACTACCCGTATTTTTAAAAATAAAACATGCTACAAACTGTAGTTCGGTCCTCAATCTCACAATGAGATCATCGATATCTTGTTGTTGGATAGATATGTGTCTACAGGCCTACATTACTCTACAAGCTAGTAAATCTATACTTGGTAGTATATATTCATTTTATATCCATATTGCTTAACTTATAAAAAGAAGTTATATTTATTCTAAATCGCCTCACCTAGAAGGAGGTGACTTTTATATTCATGTCGATCCTGCATAGCACATGCATTCTTGGCATAACCTGCATATAGCATATGCGCTACCAATCACAACTAAATATGAAATACCAAACATATCAACATCCTCCCTTAATTCATATTTTGTTTGAATCTAATAAAGGTTAATTTCTCTATCCTTCAATCATACTGTGTCCTATCCCATCTGCATTAATATATGGTTTTGGATTCCATAACATCTGTTAATATTCTGGAGTAACATCCTCCCTGAATTTCATATTTCGGAAATTCTTCATCTTTTCCGTATTGTTGGATTTCATTCCAAAAGGCTGCTATTATATTCCTTTTTTTTTTTTTTTTTTTTTTTTTTTAACCCTAGCTTCAAGTCATTGTGGTATTACCTATTGACTGTTTAATATTGATCTACTACAGACATTATTGTCAATCCTTTTTCACAGATCAAGTTACTCTGATTTAATCTCAATTCCTTTGACAGTTCTTTTCTATTTCAATATGTTATTTCAACCATCAGGTCATAAAAGACCACCGCCATTACTTATAAAAAGAGTATTGTAATCTTCCAAGGATCCTAATATTGTTTCTCATCTTTTATCCGGACTACACTAAATTAATCTCTTAGGCTTCCTATACTTCTTGTATTTCTTGTACCTCTTGTACTTCTTGTACTTCTTGTACCTCTTGTACCTCTTGTACCTCTTGTACCTCTTGTACCTCTTGTACCTCTTGTACCTCTTGTACCTCTTGTACCTCTTGTTCTGCTGTTACTAAAATTCTTATACACGTCCTGTATTTCTTATATCTCATCTTCAGATTAAATATACAGGGTATATTGTGCATATATTTGTTGAATTACGATTCTATGGTCTAGTTCACGTCCATGACCATTTCATGTTTTAAATTTCAAGTCTTCATTCATTCTTTGAAATTTGAATTTATACTTAATAGGCAATTTTAATTCTCGCTTGTTAATCTCACAATTTTAGTCGAGTTCCGCATCCATTAGTTCTTTAATGTTTCTATTGTCGATGATATAACCAATCACATTGTATATCCCATCGCACACTTATCCCTAATATCATCCTCCCTTAAGCTAAAGAAACCTTGAGAATGAAGCTTACCAGAAAACTATAATTAGGGTAGAAACATCGTTCTAATAATCACCCGCAGAGAAAATAGTAGGATTGCCAATATATTTATCATTGCAAGTAGGAAAAGCGAAAAAGCAATATAATACATCATGATGTCCATAATTGCCTACCTGCAGCTTTATAAATGGGTTGCTCGCCAAACACGACGAGAGTCATTTATATTCTGGTGCCAAATATACATCAAATACGTGCCAAACATGCACCAAACCTGTGCCAAATATGCACCAAACAGGCACCAAATATATGCCAAACATGTGCTAAATCAGCACCAAATATGTGCTAAATAAGCACCGCTACATTCTAAACAGTAGCAAATGATGACCTTATGTCAACAAATTGTAACCAACCACTAAGTGCTGTGCTGCCATACTACCCTCGAACATATGTAGTCAATGGCCGGAGATTCCATCACATGGAGAGCACCTCCTTCCAATGGAATAATCTCAAGTACACAAATAAACATGGTGTTACATTAGAAAAACACTGACTGAATAATCAAACCTTGCTACCAACAAAAGGTATATTCAGCCACAGGGTTGCCCAAATAACCACCCAGAGCCACATCTACAGTGCTGTTAAGTAGGGTGTCAAAATTTGATGGTACTATGACTAGCCAAAAAATTGAATCCTGAAGTATCTCTAGCCTACTTCTTAAGGGCATATTCTCTAATATCCCTATTCGTGAAGAGCAATCTTGTCTTCAGGCATTCCATAATAGGAGTCTGCAACCGTATAAATACTTCCTATTACATTGCACTAAGTCCATATAACAATGACTGAAAATGACTTTAAAAAACTGACAACCAAGCTAATGGTGTCCTGCTGGTAGCCTCCGTTCCTACGAACGTTGTACTGTAATTTCGAACAGTACCATATAACTGTTATTGATCTCCAACCCACAGGTAAATTAACGAAATAATGTATCAATCAAGCTTAACCTTTTCCTTATAATAATCGCACCAACATTTTAAAAAACTAAATTCCGTTGGTCTGCTGCTATCTAATACCTTATGAAACATAACGAAGGCAACGAGAATAGGGTTTGCGATGATATTCAAATGATAAAATCACGAAAGGAACTTGATCGGCGTACTTCAAATTAGATAGATCGAAAAATAATAAAATAACCACTAACAAAAATTCCGGACTAAGGAAACGTCCGTCAAAATACGTATATCAATAACTCTCAACGGTTTCTTTGCCAACTCTTGAACATCTGCAATCGTCTGCAAGGGTGTCAAATTTGACAAAAATAAAAACCAAATTCAAACATGTAACCATATCTGTGTCGCAGCACATGGTATATCTAACTGTGACCATTGTCTTCTCAAGACTGTCGGATGAAGGTCCCACGGCATTCGCATAATACAATATGTACATATGCCGACTTCATCTGGTCATTTTCTTCAGCATATGCGTCTCACTTACCGTAACATATGCTGAAAACTCTATCAACCTTATTTGCCAAGATCTTCAATTCTTGTGCTTCTTCTAGGAGCAAATTAACAATATCGTCGTGAGCAACCTTCGGGCTTTGTATAATACACTTCCCGTTTTATAATGACGCATTCAATAATTGCAAATTGGGAACATTTCCAAGAGCGTCATCTAGAGGCAAATTAACTTGCCATATATATGAGCGTTCTTCGTTGAACCCAGTATCGTGAAACATAAAGTTATACAAACTTCAATCATGTTTCATTCTATTACTGCTGAGTCACGATTGTATAAAAAAAAAATAAATTCTTTTGCCAGACGTTGGTAAAATGTGTTATTAATCTCCAAGGGTTTAGTCCTCCTAAAGAGCTGTCTGATAATCGATCTCAAAATCGTTAACATATCGTGTAATAAAGATTTACCAGAACAAATACTAAAACCACTTCAAGAACTTAAGTAAAATGTCATACCAATACATGATAACATTACATGATTATTGCAACTCATTACTTTCTGAAGAAGGTGCTGTTGATAATTCAAGTGAATACCATAATTCATTTCAAGAACAATTCCAAAAACAAATCTATTCTAAAAGTAATTCCAAAATAATTTCAAAAATAATTATTCTACACTAGAGTAATCCTAACTCTAGATTTCCATTGTGAGCACCAAAGACTGTTTGTTAAAAAATGCCCGTAATGTACCTCTCAAGACTTAAAACACTACCCTCCGTGTTCATATTTAAAACAATAATATATCTCTTATCAAATTATTAGGGTACTATCATCGAGTGACGATTTTAATCAAATCAATCATATGTATTGCCACTTGCTTTCCATATAATCTAAGTTGTACATCCTTTCACGGCATATCATTCTTAACATCTTTCGCTATGCTCACATTAAATAACTTTCTCATCAGCCATTTCAAAAGATAATCGAATATCTCTAATTCTTTTGCTGATACATTCAAAAGGAGTCATGGATCTTTATTAAGAGTACACTGCTGTTTTGCCATCGATATTCGTATCTGACCAATCATGGTGTATCAAAACCAGCTTCAAACATAAAAGCATCCATGCTCAGCAATTCGACCAGTTCGTTACTTTATAAACGATCCCAAAAATACTAATCATGTAAAT